CGGAACCAGAGCGGTTCGATTTCCGTAGACGACTCTTTCCATGTCACGTATTTCGTTGGTATCTTTAGTTGGAATTCTCAATAGCGTGCGACGATTGCCGTAGATCCGGGGCAGCGGGGTAACGGAATTGGCGGGATGGCACATTCGGCAGGTTGGAGAAGTCGGCGGGTTAGCGGTATGAACTAATGGAAATATCCGGCAGGTTGCGAATTGAATTTGAAGAGGTAATTGCAGGTCAACGGACTCAGTGTTCGCCCTTCTAACGATAGCAGTCCGCGAAGCAGAGTAAGCTTCCCTTTTGCAGTGTTTCTGCTTAGCGCCCTCGAAGCGGAACGACGAGCGGTCCAAGCAGGGAGGCTCACGATAACAAGCGGTAGCAGTCCTCAAAACAAGGACTTTTAAAGTCAGTAATCCCTGCGTAGCACCCTCAGATCAGCCCGACAAGCAAATCCAAACCGGGAGACTCACGTATTCGAAGCGGTAGCTTGTCTCGTCTTGCAGCAGGAGCGCCGAGTTGGCGTGGTAGACGAGGTCGATGACACCGCCGGTCGGCTTGGACTTCTCGTATGCAAAGAGCGCGAGCATCTTGCTGGACACGTCATCCACCGCGGCAGACTGGATCTGCAACCGGCCACGACAACAATCCCTCCATGAGTATTGCCGGTGCACAAACAAAGGCCTCAAAATGGGTGCTTTCTGCTGCAGTTTCAAAAGCACAACCGCAATCAGTCGCAATCACTTCTTCGCCCATCCTTAAAACCCGGTGCTGCTAATTGCTGCGACCATTGCGGATTGAAAGTGAACCTTCACCCGGACAACATCCTGTCAGCTCCCGTTTGTTCCTTAGTCGTTCGTGCAAATGAGCCCGCTACCACGACCAGCGGTTTGACAGCTCAAAGAATCTCAGCCAGCCCCCTGCTCACCTGTTTGACAAACTTGAAGACGAGCTTGTCCAATGTGAACAAGACGTAGGAGGACGTCCCCAGCATCGCGCGGCACTCGTCCTCGAAGCGCGAGTTGTCGATCTGACCGTCCAGCAAACTGTACAGGATCTGCATGAACCTGCAAAAGAGACAGATTGTGTCAGGAAAGGCACCTTTATGCAACGATAACACTTTCACAGAATGCAAGAGGATGCGGTTCCTCAAAAATGGAAAGTAAAGTGGCGCATCAATAAGATGCACAGGGACTCGGTGAACCTGCCGGGGCTACATTTTTGTCCAGCTTACAGTCCCAATAGCAGAACTTCAGATTATGCTGAAATGCTGAAAGGATTCAGCCCTCTGCTGCCAAGATCTCAGGCCAGAAATAGATCCACATTGCTTAGGCAATCATGTTGAGAGAGAAGCGAGATAAAGTAGACAACTCTGACGCATTCTTTTACGATCCGGGCTACCTTCGAAAGATGGCTCCGGGTTGTACACAAGTCTTAACGCGAGTATTCCAGAAACAGCAACTCCACCTGAGTTCAACATTGCAGGTTCCACGGCGCTGACCCCTCAAAAATGCCGTCCGTTCCTGCACCTTACAGACCTCCCACTTCCAAGAAGGAAACCCCAGCAGAACCCGAAACATTGTTTCAGTGACGTACTTGGCATACAAGTCCGGCGGCGGCGAGTCCTTGGACTGCCGCCACTTCTCCTCCGCCTCCCGCGCCGCGTGCTTCGCTGCCGACACCCGCTCGTACAGAATCTGGTGCAGCCGGAACAGCACGTAGAACGTGTCGTTCCCGTAGAAGATCTTCCGCCCGGGCGCGCTCTCGAAACCCGGGATCTGGCGCGCGGCGAGCGGCTTGCACTGCGAGAACGCGCGCTCTGGACCGGAAGGGGACGTGTCGTCATCGTCGGCGTCGCCGCCGCCCTCGCCGTCATCACCCTCGTCGTCCTCGTCGTCCTGCTCGTCCTCCTCCGCATCGCTGAAGTGGCCTGCGATCAAATACTCATTGTTTAAAATTTGATGTTTACAGGATCTTGGTTTTTTGAGACAAAAGGTCCCGGTTTTTGAGATACTTATGCCTTGCGAAGCTAGAGTAGGGGTTTTGCAGAGCAAATCATTAGAGTCGCTCGTTGTCCAGCTCGTCGTTTTCTCGTCAGCGTTGCAGCCTGAAAATAGAGTTGATAACAGATTAAGTGCTGGCTTGAAAATCATCAGTGAAAGATATACGAGCCCCGCGCGCAGTCTCGTTACAGCACAAGCTTGCCCAAAGACTTGTTTGGTAAGCTCCAACAAACCCATTGAAGACGCTACCAAGCCAAGATTGCCATTGAGAGTCTGGCGCTCAAGAACAGATCTCAACGTAATCCTCAGAATGAAACATGAAAAAAAGAGGCCGTAACGGCGTACCTTCCTCGGGGCCGTCCGAGTCATCCCCGCTCTCCTCCGCGGACCCGTGCCCATCGTCTCCCTCGTCGTCTGCGTCCGCCTCGTTGTCTCCGTCCACCTCCATATCTTCGCCCTCCGGGTGCTTACGGTCTCCGTTAGCCAGTGCCTTGGAGGGACCTGCGGCAGAATCAGTGCCTTGTTAATATCCACAAAAAGGAAAATCAAGCCAATCTGATGTATTGGGATATTTCGAGGTAGCTGCTTTGAGTGTGGAGTAGAAAAGGACGATGAAAAAAAGATCAAGTCAGATAGAATAGCTACTTTTTTGTCTGTATAATGGAAAAGGACGATGGAAAGAGGAAGCTTAGACGAGGGACTGAACCCACATTCGGCGCAAGAGGAGTAGTTAAGGTTGAAGTTACAAGGTTGAGAATCGCGCTAACGAGATTCAAAGAAAGGGTCAGTAAACTCGAGAAAGACAAACCAATGGTGAGGGCAAGATTCAGCCACAAGCAGTCGGGCTGTCGAACGAGCAATCTGAAAGGCTGACGACAAGGGCGCTGATTCCATACGCCGGGATCAGCCATTTCCTGATCAGACATGAGTCAAGCCCCGACTGCAGCACAGCTCAAGTCGATTGCCGCTACTGAGAACAGATACAAAACCTGAAAAGGAGAGAGAATCTGACGACCGTTCGAAGATTCGATAAGCGAAACGATCGAGCCGATCGACGCAAATCTGCCGAAAGAACAAGCCACCAAAAAGTCAAATGCGACCCTAAGTAGAAACCGAGTCAACAAGATGGTTTCGGTACCCACCTGCTGCCCCTGCCTGGTCGGCCCTCTCGTCGTCTCCCGATGGGGTCGCCTCCAGCTCCTCCTTCCGAGCCCCGTCCGCCGCAACCCCGTTCACGTCCGCGCTCGGGCCCTCCGCCGGTGCCGTCACCTTCTCCGCTACTTCTTTCTCCCCCGAAATCCTGTTCGTCTCCTCGTGCCCCGGAGCTCCCTTCTCAATCGAAACGCCCCCCTTGACTTTCTCGTCCTCCTCCATAGCGTCGACTTGTGGCTTCGGTGGAGGCCCTGCGGGGGCGGTGGGCGCCTCTGAGGGGCTGTCCGAAGCGGCGGCTGTCGCAGGAACGGGGCCCGGAGCGGGGGCCTCCCCGGCTGCGCTTGCGGCTGCTGCGTCGGCGTTTGCCGCGAGGGCATGAGTGGCGCCGGCGGCGAGCCCCGCAAGGGTTGGTTCCGCCATCTGGTCCTTTCCGGGTGACATCGGCGCGGCGGGCTTGGCGCTCGCCACGCCCGCCTTCTTCTCGGGCTCCGTCGGGCCCTTCTCCCCTTTCTCCGCGTTCCTCGCGGTAACGGTCTTCCCGTCGGCGGCAACGGTTGAGGGCTTGGCCTCGATCGCGAGGGTCGCGCCCTTGCCCTTGCCGGCCACCTCGAGACTGTCCTCGAGCACCCGCGGGTTGACGCCGAAGAACGGCTCGATGAACGACGTCCAGAAGGCCATGACCTTGGCGCTCTGCTCCTCGGACAACGTCTCGTCGGCGGCGAACTTGATGATGTTGTACAGGTCGTTGTGGACCGCGGGCTCTGGGAGCTCGAACGTGTAGTCGGGGATGAGCGGGCGGCGGGAACCGCAAGCGAACGCGAGGATGCTCTCGTCCTCGCGGCGCTTGTGCTCGTGGGCCTCCTTGATCTCCAGCAGAAGACCTGTTGCGAGCGGGTTATGATCAGTGAAAGGTGTCGGCCCAGATTACGGGAAGAACGTTTCGAAGACTCAGACCTCAGAGCTGACCATTCAAAGAGAAGACGAGAACTGAAAAGCCCGGAGGTCTGTTTTGTTGCGGACCTGAAAAGAAGTCTTCCCACAAAGGGCACCAGATCCTTAGAAGCCGGCTTAGACAACTTTAAGAACTGAATGGCAGTGAAAAATGTGCAGAACGAGTGACCCTCATCCAACCAGACACGGACTGGACAACAAAAACGACAGATCTTCCCTTGCACGCAGTATTTGAGTCCAGTTATGTCTGCGCCAGATTTGAACCCGGAAATTGACAGTGTGGACAAAAGGACAGCATGATAGTCCAACGCGCCCACCTTTGGAGCTGAGGCTGCGCTTGTCGAGCTGCTTGAAGTAGAAGGAGCGGTGGTCCAGGCTCTTGTGGTAATTCTTGGCGTACACGTCGCGCCACACCTTGTTCATGTCCTCGCGGCACCGCGCCCACTCCTCCTTCTTCTGGCACAGCCGCTGGTACAGCACAGGGAGCGCTGCGCCAGGGTTGCGCCGTAGCATCTCCAGCACGTCCAGCCCGTGGTCGCCATAAATGCGCTCCACGCACCGCAGGTTCACAGCTGCGGGAGGGCGACCAGAGGAGATGTGCTAAGGAAAAACAAAACAGAGAGTGGAGTCGGCGGAAGCACTGCTCCTCCGGAAGATTTGCAAACCGAGATAAGGTCTTCAGAAGCAAGGTCTGCAACATTTCATGCGACGAGACCGAGCTCTCCTGAACCCAGTCTAGAACGAAACCGTGCAGGCCGTCAAAATGTTATATTTCTATGAAAAACGCCAATTCCAGCGCCATCTTGAGTGACTGTCGTTCCGCTTGAAAGCTCAAGCGAGGCACTTCGAGTGGAGCCCAAAAAGACGGGACTAGAGGCAAGGCTCACGGTTGAGCTCGTCTACGGTGATCTTCTCGCCGTCCTTGGCGCAGCGCTCCTCAAGCTCCTTGACCTTGCGCGCCGTGAACGAAGTCGATTCCAGCAACATGTCCAGCTCGTATCTGCACGTGGCAAACTCATGAGATGACACGTGGCAGAACAATGCAACGAGCATTCTCACTGAACGCACCAAAACGTCGAAGGCTTCAATTGTCGAGGCTTTCACCTCATATATTCCGTTAGCTTGTTCGTGTTGGCCGTCCAGCTGTTGAATGCGAAAAGCTGGTAATTTCTGGACAACGAGCGCACTGACCATTGGGTCAAGACTTGATACTCGTTTGCTCCAGCCGTCTGACGCCAGACACAAAAGTAGAGTGCTTCGTAGCTTGCATGGGTCACGTTCCGACGGCTCGCCTCACCTGTCGTCCTCGCAGCGGAAGAGCGCCTCCTCGTACTGGTTCCTGCGCATGTGCTTGAACGAGTAGTCCTCGCTACCCGACGTCACCGACACCCAGTCGTCATTCAGCACCTTGCGGCACAGCTCCGTGCGGTACGTGGCTGTTGCGCGAGGGAACTGCGACGAAAACAATGATCAGAACTTCCGCTTATGCAACTCGGGGTCAAAGATCGATCAAACCAGCATCAGGAAACAATCGGACCAGATTCGGAAAACAAGCGACTAGGCGGGTTGAGAACCGTGTCAACAATCTTTGCAGGAGACCGTAGAAGACCGGTTGTGGGCAAGGGAGCAGCAAGAACCAGACTGCACGAACTGTCTGGACGGAAATTGCTGAAGTTGGCCTTTCGACCAAGACCCGTCGATTTTGCGGACGGATCATGGAAAGGAGCGCAATCGGACCTTGAATGAAGGGCAGCGCAGGTTTGAACAACAGGTTTGAACAAATTAAGAACAAAATATATGCAGCCCCCGCAACTCAACCAAACCTCCAAGGATGTCAAGATCATAAGACGTACGCACGGAGAAGTGCCAGCGAGACTGAACTCACGTTCTTAGGCAGCAGCCGGTAGCTGGGGGTACAACGGTCGCAGGCCGAGAGGTCGAGCTCCGAGATGGGCCGGCTGGTGTAGTCCTTCTTGGCGGGGAGGGACGGCCGGGCCACGTGAAGGTCCTTCAGCGGGGCGGCGGGCTTCTCCAGACGCGGCTTCACTGCTTCCTCTGCAATAGAATAGGAAGGACAAGCGCAACTGTGAGATACGAGCAGAACTTAACGGTTTGAAGTTTCAAGAAGTGCTGTAGAGGACTTGCAATGACGAGACTGCTTTACCAAGATAATTAGGTTTGTTCTGTAAGTTCGAGGCAATTATGCGTTCCGAGAGGGTGATTGTACGTGACACTAGTTTAGTGTTAGAATGCGAGCTTCCAAATGTGGAGCTTAGGGTTCCTACTTTGATCGGTTACTGGACTCACCCAGGCTCTCGCAGCGCGCCAGGAACTCGTTGAAGCCCTCCATCAGGTCGGGGAACTTGCCCAGAATGTCGCTCACCTGAAAAAGGAAAAGGAAACACCTCAATGACCCGTTTTAGGAGCCATACAATTTCAAAGACGGGCTCGGCAAAGAAGCTTCTTTGCAGCCAGCTTAGCCTCATAAACGTCCAAGGAAAAATACTAGTAGCACCACAAGCAAACGCATGGTCCTTCCGACCCAACCAACGTGAGCTGGCTGCGCTGATCCGATCGTTATGAGAGCGGGTTGCAAGGCAGCTTGGCCTCTTGACGGCAGTCTGAACGGTCATGAGGAACTTAAAGCGGCATACTCACGAGGCTGTGCAGCTCGGTGCGGCCAATGATCTCCTGGCTGAACAGGTTGAGGCACTTGAGGAAGTCCTGGTACGTATCCTTGTTGCGCAGCCGCGCCTTCACCTTCTCGAAGAACACCAACTCCTTCTGCAGGTTCGCATCTGCGGGCGCAAAACAAAAGAGTGAGAAGAGATCATATGGCTGCAGGTTTCCGTGAGAGAAGGGCACTGGCATTCGTGAGGCCGATTAGAGAGTCGAGTCCGAGTTTGTCAGAGGACACAGTGTCCCTTGACAAAGATGCAGACAAGGCTGCCGCATTCATGTCCGACCAACAACGCCAATCCTTCAAGAACCAAATCTCAGAGTCATCTTCATCCGGCAGGCTTGAGCAAAGCAACGTCCCGCCACCCACGAGGTTCTCAGGAAGAGTCCGCTCTGCCGAACAAGAGCACAAGAGTCACTAGATTGGAATTTCAAAGCTCCCCAAAAGGCACCATGGGCTTACTCTTGTGCGCCTTGCGCTCCTCGGCCGTCATCTCCTTGACTTCGGGCCCGTCCTCCCTCTTGAGCCCCGGCAGCTTGTCGGCCTTGCGCACCACGTCGCGTGGGCCGCGCGCCTCCACCATCGGCTTGATGTCCTTCTCTTTACGCTCGTCCTTGGGCTTGGCGAGCTCTGGGGGGCCCTGCCGCTGCAGACCACAAACGATGGTTTAGAAAACAGTTTGCAGACTCCTGTCGAAGTAAGCTCACTCCGCAGGAAAGGTTGAGATCCCAGCTGGTGTGAACATCTGCAACAGACTTCGAAGAGCTGTTGAGCTCCTGTGAGGGGGCGCAGGCGCAGCAGACCAGACCAGCCGTACTCGAACGACTGAACGGCATTTTCTTGAGCAGGTGGGTCAAGTCTGTGTCACAGAGTAGTGAAGGAAACTCTCCTTGAGCTTCTGTTCTTAATGAAGGGGCTGCCCACTGAACAGGTTAAGAAGCAACAGGATTAAGCCAGGTTCGATTAACGTCGAAAAAATCCAATTCTTGCTTGTCTTGCAAAGAGTCGTTGGAAGCCGCAGCACCAGACGAGAGAATGCGGAAGGAACAAGATGCCAGCAATGAGCCAAGCCAGAGAGTAGGGGGATCCCCCTCAGCCAGGGCAGAAAGGCAAGGTGCTAAAACGGGGGAAAGGGAAGGAGGGGGTGAAAATAACAAGAAGCAGGGTAGCGAAGAGGTCAAAAAGGTCCACAAGAATCTTGCATTTCTCAAGAAAACCTCCAACTTGCAAAACGAATCCTTCTTTGGCAGGCAAGTTAAGAGGTAGGGTGCACCGCCTCTGCATATGGGTGGTGAGCTTTGGTGGCAGGGTCTATGACGTACTTTGACTCCGATCCGGGAGTCCATTCCGGTTTTATTACAAGGTTTCGATTGTAACCCAAGCGCGCAGTCTGCACTACATTTGAAGGAGCCTGCTGCTAATGGAAGAAAAAGCTCTAAACAAACACTATCGAGATAACCTAGTGTGTCTACGATCAAAATGGCTGATGACAATCGTGACTTCATGATGCCCACAGAAATGCACCCGTCAAGAACAATGCTGAGCTGCCCTGCCGTTGCAACAATAAGAAGTTGCCTGTCAATTACTGACTAGCATAAACAGTGGGCATCAGAAAAACAGACCAAAATAGGTCGCTGTAAAACCTCCAACATGACACAGGTAATCCAAAAGGCTCCAACCAGAACAGCGACGTCACAAAAATCTGGAGCAAGTCACAGCGGCCACCGCTTTTGCAGGTCAGAGATATTTCAGGCTGGAGTGCGATCCTGGTCCTGTCTTCATCCTGACCAAAATTCTCACGTGTAGAATCATCAAGCTGGGGAAGAGAGGAGGTGGTCTAGAAGCTCTCACCTTGGCGATTGGTTGCGCCCTCTGGGGGGGTGGCGGGATGTCCTTGTTGGGAGCCACCTTGGCTGCAATCTGGGGCGCCTTGGGGTAGTACGGCTGCTGCATGACCCAGGGGGAACTGGTGTCCGGCAGAAAGTAGGTGAACTCGTCCAACAGGTCTTTGTGGTCCGCAAACAGCGTCGACACCTGCAAAGAGGGGAAGAAGTGAAGCTCAGAGATTGGAAGACTTTGCATCAACCAGAAACTGCTCTTATCTCTAGCTTCTTGTCTTTGGTGCACATACAGCGCACATACAGTTCGGCTCCAGCTACAAGCGTGTGCCAGGTACAAGCTCTCAGGTCTATGTAATCAGATGAAGCTGTCCCATTGATGGGCAGGACAAACAGATACGCACTCGCTTTCCTGAACGCCAAAGTTTACAAGATACTGTTTCGAGGCAGCAAAGGGCTTTGTCCAGGGGAAGGTTTTGAGATGCTTTTACTTCTGTGCAATCAAGTGATTTCAGAGGTCTTATGACTTGGAGGCAAAGGAGAAGACGCCATTCGCAGAGACTAGCGATGGAAGCGTCAGAAGGACAATTTTTTGTCCAAACAAACCAACCAAGAATGACCAAAACTATGGGCACCAAGTTGAGAGCTCTAGGGCAGCTCATATCCAGGTTAGGCGCATCATTAAATAAAGAGGAGAATAAGTCGAAGTGGTGGTACAGTTAAGAAGAGCTTCTCAACAAAAGATCAGGCTAAGATGGGTCCTTGACACTAGCACGCAGTAGAAAACTGTGCATGATCCAGCTCTGCAAAGGGATATGTAGGCACTCCCTTACAAAAGGGGGTGATTTTCAATAAAGGGGAGGGCGTTGGGTTCAAAGTGGATTGGAAATCAGATTGCGAGTATGTTTGGAGTGATACCCACTGGGACCATTAGCAGCAAAAACAGCAGAAGAAGTCTCTTGAGAAGCAGCACAAAGTTTTCTATTTTTTGGATGTTAGACAACTGTAAAGTGAACATTGTCAAATCCCATCAGCATTGAATCCAAAACGTGGTTTGAGCTGTCAAGTGCGAAAAATGACCATGGAAAAGAACCGACAGACACCAGAGTATAAGCAGTGGTATACAGCAAAACTGTTCAGTGGCTCTCAAATTAGTCAACATAGAAATCCAGCGTAAATATCTCAGATGGCGGATGCATGCTATTCTGAGCTGGTACAGAAAGCGCACCACCAAGGACACAAAGTGTCAGCTGATAAAGGCTAGAATCAATGCAATATTTCAGCAAGCTTGTTTGTAGGCAAACTTCAAGCAAGCAGTACTAGCATGAGACTATTCAGCAGAGCTGGAGCACCCTCTATCCAGATCCATTGCACATGCATTAAATGGGAAAATGGGAAATATGAAACCCCCCAAAACTACATGCGCTGCTCAATGCATGTAGTTACAGCCTTTCTTAGCAGATAACCAGGCACCGACCCAGATTGAAGATATGACCAGCTAACAATAGAAAATCTCCTCAGGACAACAACCTGACATGGACGTCAAGTGGCATCTCACATGAGAAACTCAAAAAAGTCGCTATTCTAATTCCATACAGACCCAGGGGGCAAGTTCCACTGAAAATATAAATATGCACTTATCAGCAATTACTTGTAGAAACAACAACCACAGCAAAAAACTCATAAACCAGGTTAGGGTGCACAGAAAAACAGCAAAAGTTATTGACTTACATGCATCAACAATCTCCAATGAACATTCCCAGCTTAGTACAAGTGGCAATAACAAACAGTCAGGTTTCCTGAGCTCAAACTCGCGAAAATCTACTTTTGCTGCTGGCAACCACAGTAGAACCAGTGATGCCAGTCATGTTTGAGCAAAGCTGACCTGACTTTTTGTGATAAGCAAAAAAAAAATTAAAAATAACTTAGCACTGAAATATTACCTCTTTGTAGACCTCGGTGATCATCTTGTTCCCCTTTCTGTACATGTTGAGAATCTCCAGGAAGGTCTTGTAAACAGCGTCATTGTTGGAGAAGCGGGTCTGCAGGGTGAAGACATATCAGAGTATGAGATCTTTGTCACAGGAGCTTCTTCCAGCATCACATCAGACGTAAATTGCATCTGTCTCTAGGCAAAAACCAGACTCAGTCCCAGACCCAAAGTGGTGCGGTTGTACTTGGGGGCAAAATGCTGCAAACAAGGTGGTGTGAGATTCCTCCTGCGACAATGCACACAACAAGCACTGCAACAAGGGAAAGCACAGCAGTTTTCAGCTCAGGAGTCAGAGATGCGCTAGTCAGCGGCAGTGCACCAAGCAAGCAGTTTACAACCGCCTCAATCTAGGGCGCAATGAGCAGGGATGACATGCCTTGATCTTGTTCACGTAGTTGATGGCTTGGTCGAACTCCACTGGTTTCTTCGCCACCGGGTCTTCTTCTGACTCCTCCTCCAGGGGTAGCGTGATTTCAAACCCCTTTGGCAGAAAAGTGTTGAAACCGAGGATGAGGTTGCGGTGGCCCTTGAACAGCTCCTTGACACGCACAATCACTCCCGCAGTGTCAATCCTGCAAGGAAGCGAGCAGGTGCGCACGAGTTAACACAGGATCCAAGCATGTGGGCACAACAAAGTAATAAGCAAACCATCACACATTCCAGCTGCTGAAGTACAAGTAGAGCAGCAGTAACATCTACTGAAACAGGTGCAGGAACCAGCAGAGCAGGAAAAAGGGCTTGTGTTCAGAAAGTAATCTGCTGCACAAAGCAAGACAAACAGCAAAACTCACCTGGTAGCTTTGAAGTCCTTCATCACTTCCAGGAATTCGTCGTACTTGACCTTGTCATCCCGAAACTTGTCCTTCACCGCCTTGAGGTACGCCAGCGCGTCATCCGTCGTCAGCTTTGCGCCTGGTAATGGGGCCTCGTAAGGCTTCTCCGGCCTGCAGCAACAGAACCGCGTTTAGCACCACACTAACTACGGTGGTCAGCATCATTGCTCAACACGCCACACATGGGACCTGGGAGCAAAGTTTTGCATCCAGCAACAGATCCTCTCATGAACTTCTGAAAGCAAGATGCAGCAGCGACACAGCAAAGAAAGGAATGTTTCACACTCATTCTCATACAAGCACATCGTAGTCGGCTGTCGCAAGCAACTTACCCTGGTCCATGCGCCCGCTTGATTTGGGGCCCTGGGGGCGCATCTTCCCTCGGTCGCTTCATCCCGAAGGACGACGTCCCACGATCAGCACAGTCCACTCAGTTCTATGCTCGTCAGGACTGCAGTAACAGCAATCTTGCAGCGCAAGCAAAGAGCAAACAGCAGCGAGCAAGAGTCTCGCAAGAGCGGCAGTTTTACAACACTGGCTTTCACCAATCTGCGCCAGGCGAATGGCAGACCACCTGTTGTCAAAGGGCCTTCCCCATGCGCTTCAGGAGAGGCGACAAGCGCCAAAGGAAGAGGGAAGAGGAAGGGAATGCCTGAACCCCTCCCCTTTCAAGGCGAAGAGCACCATGAAATCGTGACATCGCAGCCAAATCGCACTCGAATCGCAACAGGAGTCTTGTTCTCCGATTCGAGGAAGGTTTTCCACTGAAAGCGGTTCCGAGCCCTGCGCTAAGATTCTCAAGCCGGGGACTCCACGCACAGGATGGAAGAAAAATCTTGGTTAAGAAAAAGTTAGTGCGGCCCAAAAAGCCGAGCAAGAGCGTAAGTGCGAAATCGTCTGCAAGGAATCGTGCATGCGGGCCGCCAATGCTATTTTGATGTGACTTCTTTTAGACGATTGCTGGGCCTGGCACAACTTCATTATGTACGACACCCTTGAAGGTCGCCCGGGGCACTTTCGACTCACCAGTCGCGGGCTAGCCGCGTCCCCCGGGCAAAGTTCGACGCTCGATGGCCCGGAACTTACTCTGGCCAGCCCGGTCATTTCCGCCGTCGGCCGTCAGCTTGACGACGTTCCACCTGCAACGCACTGCCGTCGATTTCAGCGACACGTTTCAGCGATGCCCTGCAAATCGACTGCGGCACTCGGCGAATGTGGGCATTCCGTCAAGGCCACCGGTAGAGTAAGCCGGGCTTCTTCTGCCGTTTAGACCGTCCGACAGACGAGTCACGAGATGCATGCCACGTGTCATGATGGCGGTGCCGTCCTTTTGTTAGGGTTTTGCCATCCGGATGCCGGAGGCACGCAAATCTGGCGATGCCTGACTACTGTCTTGCGCGCCAATATGGCGGCCAAGCTCTCCAGCTTCGCTGTCAACATCACTGTCATCAGTGTCAGCCTTGGTGAAAGCAAGCACAAAGCTGTGTTGAAGGGCCCCACTTCAATCTATGGTAGTTTGACTTCATTGTTTCATCCGGACAATCCCCATGTGATTTCACTTTACTCTTTGGTACTTCTCTCCTCCAGCACAATTGTGCGGTTGATTGCCAGCAGGATCCTCGGTGGTGAGGATTGAAGGGCAGCAATGGGCCGGACGAAACGCAGCGCTATGGAAGCAAGCGATGCTGAGAGGTTTCTGATCAGTCAGATGTTCCAGTGTCAGCAATTTCTCGCAAGTCGTTCCATTGCACCTGGATTCAACACGGACCCCGATGCCTTCGAAGCTGCTGTTTGGCCCCTCCTGCATAAGAAAGACAAGTCGAGGAAGTTTCCAGGTGAGGCGATGTGCATCTGCAGATCATTTTGAGTGAGGCTGGTGAGAATTGCCTCTGATGCATCTTCAAAGCTGGCACTGACTGTGGCTGCTGTACAGATGCAGGACAAGGATTTGAAGTCCTCTGGCTGGTTGCAGAGCAGTGAGAAGGAGCTACGTGCTCCATCTCCTTATCAGATGCGGATCTTCTCAGAGGCGTTTGATCCTCTGTGTGACATCAACACATAGTCCTAGCATTTGCACATGGTGAATAGCTGCGTGCTACGTGGCGGTGGTGCATTGTAAGAATCTTTTGAAAGTCAGCTACAATCCCATCATACTTTTGAAAACAATTCTAGGTTCTGGTTTGGGGCACTTCTCATCAGCCAATCAAACGGTATGCAGCTGTTACGTTCAATGGATTGACCAATGGAGAAAAGAAGAGTGTCTCCTTTTGATGACTTCTGCTTTCTGCAGGCACAGGCCAATCTACGCTCGGTGTGCTAGACTTCAGCAGCCCCACTCCCCCCAACAAGAGGCCCCGTCTTGGCACAGAGCCCAGCCTTGCAGCACCCACAATGAGGGCTGAAGCTGATGATACAGGGCCCTCCAGAACCTCCACGCCCGCAGAACCCCCTACAGCTCAGGGCGCAGTCGGTGTCAGGGCCACTGACCAGAACTTTGAGCCTTCACATCTGACACCGTCTACTAAATTAAAGACAATTTCCAATGAGCTCCCCGCTTCCACACCCAACCAGCATATGCACCAACTGCTGCAACTGATAGAGCGTCAACAGAGACACCTCCGTGCGAAGGAGGGCGTCTCGCCCATTGCCCCCCCCCAAGTCACGCGTGCAGAAACGGGGGGTGGAAACGTGGGGCAAAGCGACCCCCGGCTGCTGGACCTCCAGCGAGCGTTGCTGTACGCTTCTGCCGCTCGGTTTCGGCATCAGGAGGGGGCGGAGGGGCGTGCGGAGTCGGAACCCTCGAAACTGGTGGACGCAATCCAGGCGTTGATCCGAGCGAAGGAAGCTTCTTCTCATTTGACTCCTGTTGTTGGGGGAAGCGCGATGAGAGATCAAGGGCGGCCCGATGGGAGTGGGCATGTGGCTAGAGATCAAGGGGTGCCTCTTGCGGGGGGTGAGCATGTGAGAGATCGAGTGGCTCTTGTTGCAGGGGTTGGTGCAGGCAGAAACGAAGGGACCGAAAAGTCAGCTCAATTGCACCAGTTGCAAAGAGTCCTTCCGCAGCTCACCCCTGCCACGCTGAGCTCGTATGTGGGGAGGCTGGAGGCGCAAAGGGAAGCCGCTTTCCGTCAACATGTGAGTCAAACTTCACCTGGAATGGAAGCATACCCTGCAACCAAGGGGCGCCACTGCCGAGCTGGCGGCTTGGAGGACTGAAGACGAGTGCTCAGCTTCTTTCTGATTTGCCTGAAAAATGGAACTAAGGTTTCATGGAACATTGGTGTTCGAAGAGGCACTTCGAGGTGCATCCAATCCGTCTCTTGGTCCAACTAGAAGTTTCTCTATGATTGCTTGCGTGGAAGTAGCAACAAATTTGCCGAGACTTCCTGAAACTCGTCATTTTCTTGCTCATAGTCAACAGGAGGTGCAAAGGCTGACTCTATTCGTCTTGGTTGCAGCAACCACGGTAACATCATCCACGGAAATTCTCAAATGTTGGATAGAGAAAGAGCGCAGAAAACAAAGTGTAAATATGTCAGAAAGTGCGATTACATCAAGCATTTCAAGGCAGGTTGTTTGGGTCATTGCAAGTAGGCCTAGTTTAAGCTCTCGTGTTGGAAAGCTGCAACTCAGACGGTATTGTCAAGTGGCCCAAAGCGGACGCGAGTCGGATCCATGATTCAACTGCGGCTCCATGTGGTGGGACCGAAGCCTGATTGCAAATAATGTAGCATGGTGGCTGCTAGCTGACTGTCACTGCTGTAGTGCCATGCAGTAAACTTGGAAGATGGCGCGCCCCACTGCATATGACCGATCTGAATGTGCACTGAGTTGCGACTTAATGATGTCGCGCTTATACCGGAGCCTCATGATCATGCGAAGGCAATAATTATTCTGAAACAGCGAGCCTATAGCCTGGGCGCGACCTGCTCTCAAGTACATTCGATGTGCTGCCATGGATCATGTGTGCAAATGACGTTGCAGATAAACGATCATCTCATGTAAACTTTGCGTCGATCAGGGCAGCGGAGCCATGCACACATGCAGTCGCTCTTTAAACGCGAGAATCATGCATATCCTTTGCTCAACCGATTCCGAAGCGAATTATAAGGCTCCGGCCCCGGCCTAAATGCGTGATCAGATCTGATTATTTGAGCGATCGACAGCTATATCAGCTTATGGACTTCATCTAACGAGCATCCCCTTATCTGCAAACTCAAGCGACGCATCATTAACAGTGCATGCCCACTTCGCATGTTCACTGTTCAGGAGGATTATACACAAGTCCGACAAAGTGAAAATGCACCTTTAGCTGTACATAAATGATCCAATGGACCTTAGGATGAAGCCTGCTACGTTTTCAACATTTAACAACGGCTCCATACTGAAGTGTCTATCGACAATCGCTGGATCGCCCCACTATACATCTCCTTTTTAAGACACGGGCAAGTAACAAGGCCACCTTTGCAGCCGTTACCAAGTGCCGTTTTGCGTTTGCTTGCCTGTCTGGCATACGATTGGCCTCGTTAGGCACTTTGCATCTATGGAAAAAGACTAATTATGTGAGCAGCCTGCTTATCCTTGTCTTCAGAAGCCCTCAGCTGTCTAGGATTAGCACTGCGTCTTAACAACCGACCGTCAGTAAAACCAACATTGGGGGATCCCCCTAGATTCAATGTTGAGCAGAATGGGGGTCGAGCTGTCCCAGCTGCTCCGTAATGTGGTCGACCTGGTTGTTTGCATCCCACCAATGCTCATTAGGATTTTCTGCACTGGCCATAGGGGATCCTAGGCTCTCGCCCGCATTCAGGCTGTCGAGGTCTGGCGTGAACGCCGGCCCGCCACTGTCATCATCCGCGCTTCCAACAGCTCCCGCCAGGAACTGCTCCCAAAAGCTGCTTTCTGCACGGAGGCGGTTCAAACGGCTTGTTGTTAAGGTCTGAAAAGAAGCAGATCTGCTGCGCAGACTGGTGATGACTCCTGGAGTCCGTAGGGGCTCGTCAAACATTGTCTGAACGAGCGAGGATTCCGGGAGGATGCAAGAATCACAAGAGGTTGTCTAGGTTACACGAAGTTCGACTGCCCCACGGCCATCACGGAATGCTATCATTGGCAAACACGGACAGGATTTGAAAGGTGACCTGTACGGCTCCCCAGCAAACCTCTCCATATACTTACAACGAGACAAACAGAAGCTAACACCGCTCATTGCATACCAGACGCATCCTGTTTGAACTTGTAACGCCAAGAGCAGCAGACGCAGCACTAAGCAGCATCCCGCCACCACACACAACTGCGGAAGCGCCATCTGTTCAAAGTCTCACCGTTTGTCACATCGCCCGGCGGCTCCTGCGTCGGGTCGGCCATCGGGTCTTGCATCTCCTCGGGCATCCCCTCAAAGTCGTCCAATCCCCCAAGCTCCCCAAACTGCCCGGGGGGAGTGCTCCGGGCGGCGAACGCCGCTCGGGGATGCGCGAACGGGCTCGGGCCGGACGACGCTTCGCCCGGCATCCCGAAGCCCGGGCCAAAGCCCCGGGCAGTGTCGAGGCCCTCCATTTGAGCGGGCCCGCCCGGATGCTGCTGCCCCAAGCCGTCGGGAGAGGCGCCGGGATGGCTGGTGCCGGTGGCTTCGCTTTCAGACTTCCGCCGGACGATCGCCTGAGGAAGAGGCAACGGACGGGCTGTTACGATGGTAATAAGGGCAGCTAGTCGCGGCTCAGAAGAGGACACCGAATCTCAAAAGCGCCCACCGTCAGAGAGAGAAGTAAGTACAGGGCCATGTTTGAAGGAGGAAGAAAGTGTAGACAGCCCCTACACTGTAGGAAACGAAAGATGTCCGACCCGCAGTCAATCACAAAGAACACATCGGGAGGCATCCAGCGAATCTAATAATATCCGATGGAGTTCGACCTGAGGAGTTGCAAGTCTTCGGCTCTGCTTCGCATATTCCTTTGCAACCGAAGAAGGAGATGGCTTTTTTTGAAATGCTCTCTCCCGAAGGCCTGCACTCCTGGACAACCACTCACTGGACGGCGCAATCTACACAAACCTCCCAGATCGAGCGCACCCTTCCAGAATCGAGAATAGCACTGCGACATTAACTCACAGAATCAAGAAACGCCGGCCTTACCGCGAGTTGCTCCGCCGCGGACTTCATCGAGATCTCCCCCTCATTCGACCCCCCCCTGACCCGCATTCCGCTCTCCGCCCCCTCCCCGTCCAACAGCAGCCCGTCCATATCCCCCGGTCCCGAGTGCGACGACGCTTGGTCCGGCAGGGGGGTCTGCAGAGCCCCGGAACCAGCCCCCCCTTGCACGGGCCCGTACATCTGCTCAAACACCTTGCGGGCCGCTTCCTGCGCGGGGCTGAACTTGACGAGCTGTGCCTGCGCCACGTCGAGCGGGACGCCGTTTGGGAGCTCCATGTCGGCGGGGAGCCGCCGCTTCTTGCGGCCTGCGAAGAGGTGGAAAAAGGGGCGCGCGGTGAGCATGCGCGGTCGTTGCAACGCACGTCAGGCCTCCGCGTTGAGATATTCGAATGTTGGAAGCAAGTAATCGTCGTTGTGAGGTGCCCTGCTAGGGCGTTTCTCGAACAACACCAGAAACAACCAGCGTACCGGCCAGATTTAGCAAACATCGAATCCAACTTTCTCTCGACCTAGCGGGTGTGCTGCTGCAGCAGCCATCCCGTTCCGCCGCGCCCTATCCACAATCCGCGTTCAAGCGCGGCTACAAAGCACATGAAGGCGACTCGAGAAGACTCACTTGCAGCGAGTCGCGCCGCCTGGACCGCCTGCTCCTGGCGGCGGCCCTGCGCCTGCTGCGCGAGGCTCTGCAGGATGCTCGGGTTCTGCACGGCTTTCGCGAGGAACGACATCATCTGCTGCTGCCGCTGGTTGGTCAGCTGCAGGTCGCTCTGCAGCTCGCTCACGACGCGGTCCATGCTGCTCTGCTTCTGGCGCATCTTCACGAGCTCGACCATGAGCACGTTCTTGTCGCGCTTGAGCCGCTCGACCTCGTCCATGATGCCGTAGCTGCCGACCTCGAGTACCTGCGCCGGGGGGTGGGGGAAGTGAGAAAAAGCGGGAGATGGAGAAAGGGAGTGCAAGACGGGGGCGCCGAAGAGAAGTGACATCGGACGGGGTGACAGACATGGAACAGGATAGGGGGGAATGAGCATGCCATAGCTGCCCACCTCGAGGACCTGACGCCAGGGGGGGAGGAAGAACAGGAAACGAGGTATGGGAAAGACTGAGAAAAGCGGAGGGTCAGGGAGGTTTAAAGTGTAGCGAGAAAGTAGTACCATACTCAAGGACCTGGAGGAAGAGCGAGAGAAGAAAGTAGGATAAGAGGCAGATAACACGGAAGGGGGAGGAAAGGAAAACTTCCTATCTGCCACCTCCAGCCCCTGCGTCAGAACGATAAGGAAAAGATGGTGAAGGGGTGAAGGAAGGATGTAAGAAAAGGAGGATGACGGAGACGATACCATAGCTCTCCAACCTGAGCCCCGGGGGGGAGGGGTCGGAAGTGGAATGTAGAGGGCAAAAGCGGAATGGAAGGAAAACAAAATGGCAGGGGGCAAAGGAGACGGGGCTGTTGATTGCAGGTTTGTGTAGGAGCTGAGGGGTAAAGGCTCGGAGAAAAGTCGAAGTGGAAAATTCTTGCTGCAATTTATGGGGGGGAACTCTCCGCGCATCAGGAGCTTCAATATTGTTGTGATGTCAGGTTGCACTCATGAAGAAAGACAAAGCAAGGAGACTTTGAAAGAGAGTGGGGAGAAATGCTAGGCCCCGACGACTCTGATTGTATGGGAGTGTGTCTTGGGATGAGACAAACATGGAGGGTACAGTGCTGTAAAACCTGAGGAGTCTGGTTGCCGCAAACAAACTGTCAGCAATTGCATCAGCGTTTTAGGACGAGCAAGAAAGCATTGGAGAGAGGGGGAGGAAAGGAGGTCCAGAAAGTGGACAGCCAGGATCTTCACACGGTCTTAAGCAGAGTTGAGCCAGGCTCAAAGAAGATGCGATCCAAAGATGGGCAGCAATTGCAACACTGGCAAGTCTACTTGAGACAGAGGGCGCACCCACAATGTTTGAAGGCCACCAGAAAGAGGGGTCCACTACAGCTGCACGTTTCGAGAATATGGTGCGCACATGCTTCCTTTGAGCTCAAATCTCGAGCAGTTGAGTTGACGCAGAAGAAAGCAACAAACATTGCACACAAACAAGGACCAACGGAAGCCTTTTACCACAAGTGGACACTCACCATGTTGTTATTCGCGGCGTTTTGTGTGGCTCCGGCTTGCGCGTTGCCGGGAGGCTTGCGACGATGGATGTTTTTGAGCAGGTAGCGCTGCCCCCGCAGAAAGTCCTCGTTTGCAAATTCCCAGCGGTCGGGGTCCACTTTCCGGAAGCCCTGCACGGAGGAAAGGGCTTATGCAAGCATGCTCTACAGTGGGTTTGTGATTCTGATCATCTCACCGCGTGGGTAGCCATTCTGGTGCTTCTGCTCTTGTCTCTGTCCTAAAACCAGATATGACTGCTGCTCGTGCAAGTTGCCAAGTAATGCAAAGAGGAAGGCAGCAGCAATCTCTGTCAATCGTGCTGTGCGCAGACAGATTGGGGAATTCGCTTAATCCGGTGGGTACGTTCAATCAACCGGCGCAATGCGGCGGGCACGACGTGGGGATCCATTTGCCACAAAATGCTCAGTTGGAGGCTTTCCAATCTGCAGGAAACCGGCCGGTGTACTTCAACCTCCCTAGCTTATTCACGTGGTTCTGCCCATTTGCAGAACCGTACCTGAGTCTTTTTCTTGGTAACACGAGAGCTTCTCTCACGCAAGCAAAGTGAGGGACTCGAGCAAATTCGGCTTTCTACATGCAACAACAAGAGCAAGGTTGGATGTGTTGCTGCTCACATAGGTGTTGAGCTGGCGCACAAAGCTGGAGAAGTTGTTGTGCTTGAAGTACTTTGGCAGCAGGTCGCGAGCAAATTGCGGCGGGTCCCATACGACAAAGCTGTTGTTCGAGCGGCTCCACGAGACGACGGCGTCGGTGGATGGATCGTCGACCATCTCGTAAGTCTTGGTGAGGAAAGGGGGCGGGGCAGACCCCTAAAACAAGAGAGGGGACTGCAGGTGAGCAGGTTGCTCTTGCAAAGATGTGCATTTCATTTGGATCTCCCTGCATTTGCGCAGGCTCAATGATGGCAATCGGGAAGATGTGACGACTGACAAGGAAAAGGCACGAAGGAGTAGGGAAGAGTCTAAACGACTTTGACAACACAAGCTCCGAGTACATTGTGCCCTCTGGATAAAAACGAGCCTCCTCAAGGCAGTTCGAGAATGAGGAGAGTGAGAAGGTGGGGTGCATGAGGCCAGGGTAATATGCAATGGGAGCGTCGTTGACCTTTGAGCATGAACAACCGGACCCCACAGCACAATGCATTCAGACTCCAGTTCTAGATACCCGCTCGTGTCCAACTGGTAAAACATTGTTGGAGGGCCTTACCTGCAATCCATCCGCCGGCTGAGGAGGGTAAACCGGAGGCCGTGAGCTCTGCGGTTGCGAAGGGACTGGTGCTGGCTGGACGGGTATGGTCTGCGGGAGCGCATTGACCACCTCCTGAGGTAATGGTGTGGCCGCATTTACGTCCGGCACGTTGATTGCGAGCGTGCCAAATGACTGGGACTGCGAGTCTGCGTTCTGCATCTGCCAGAAATCCATGGGGTCCTGAGCGTTTCTTGGCAGTTGCTGATTCATCCCAAGACTATCTTCAATGTATTGGTCCTGCATACCCTCCATGTCCCATCCAAATTCTGCTTCAGTGCAACGTGTTCTCCTGTAGCTCGTCGGCACGCCGATCCAGACCCGACTTTAGCGATGATAGTATCTTTTGATGGTTCTTATCAGAGCAGCCAAGAAAATAAGAGGCCTGGCAAAACAATCCCGTCGCTCCCCTGCAGATTTATCGAGAGCCCCTACACTGCAAACGGCGCTGTTGTCTCCATGAATCGGTTAGAAGTGGCTGGAGTAGGACACAGGAAGACGAGGAACTCTCACAGCTCTGGGTATGGGCCAGATGGGCGAATCGCAAAAGAGCGCAGATCTAGCAACTGGGGTCAAAAGTTAAAACAGGGCGGGAGACATGAGTGGCGACATGGCAGAGGAGCTTTTTCCACTTTTGCACTTTCCTTCTCTCCTTTGAGGTGAGTTCAAAACCGTCGATGAGGGATGTAAGAGAGCAGAGAGCCGTCGATGCCGCTTGCTATTTGAAATTGGGGAGTACGTTACCTGGAACTAGGTGTGCGGCAAATCCCCCTCCATCTTCAAATCATAGTACATACTAAGTAGCACGTGACTTCCGAGACTCCAGGGCCGTGGTCAGGGGTCGGCGCAGGTTTTTGGCATGCCATTTTTTGGCTAGTATTGCGCGCTATAAGTGTGCGCGAGCACATGCGTATTATTGAAAATGGCGCAGCTGTAGAGATGGGCTCAAAAGTGTCGCCGTATGACGTCGCAAACGAGGAAGCGACCAGAAAGACTGCATGCAACTAACATACGGTCGCTGTACCACCTTTAGAGATTCTTCGTTTCTACCCCGCCCGAAAATAAATACAATCCGGATATACTGCTCGGTGTTGCGAAACTGCTGTACAGCGTGCGAGTTGAAGTCCGTCAGATGTCACCAAATTCACTTCCTGATATCCAGGTGCGAAGTAGTAACGCTATTTTCCGTACAGCTGAATTAAAAAATTTGTCGTCTTGCATCCACCGGTACCTGGTCGGACCTCCGGTCGCAGGCCGTCCGATGGAGATTCACGCGTGCGAAAGTTTGTTAATCACCGTCGCTTGGTCCGCCCACCTCGTACAGGGCGGACCATTGCGGATATTTTCTGCGACATCTACGGCTGAAAATTGCTCAGTCAACTCAATCATGCAAATGGAAATGTCGGCTCAAAGCCGACTTCCTCCCAAATTCATCGGCTTCTTGCTTGGATTTTTGGGTACTTGTCGGCTTTTGGCTGAGGGCCCTGCCTCTGGTGTCGGCTTTCGAGCCGGGTACTTTTCAATTTTGTCGGCTTTTCCCAAAATCTTGTGTCCCGGGGTTCACTGTTAGTCGGCTTATGCCGACCCCTGGCCGTGGTGCTCAATTCAAAATTGCAGAATCTTATGATCTCTCGAATACTACAAGTGAATCAATACAGATTGATACTTGTGCCAAAATGGCCGCCAGCATATTTGGTTGATGGCATGTAAGTTGTAAGTAATTGGGACTTGCGTGCATCTTGCGTTCTGTTGTCCAATGATGCGCAAGGATTGCAATTTGCAATGTAAATTGATTTCATTTATTTGTACGGGTACCCGTACACATTGGTACTCTGCAGTCGGGTCATATAGTGCACAGTCATGACTACCTATCTTCTAGGAGGCCTCCATATATCTAATGCCAGTTCCACTGAAACGTGGTCACTGCATTGTGCGTACTTCACACCCGCCATTCAAGGGGGGCCGGATTGCAACTAAACATCTGCTGCACTATCAACTGTGTAGTCCATTGTGAGGACGCCGGTAAACATATCCATATGAAAGCGCTGCAATGAAGAACGTCGTCTCCGCTAAATGTCGTCTCCGATTGGCAAGGCCGAGCAAACGGCTTCATTCTACATCGACTCGGCCTTAGTACATATTAGCTTCAGGTCAAACGAGGTCTTTAATCATAACGAGTGTTTCTTCCCGCGTCGCTAGGTCCTTCACTTTGACGGCCTCTTGTGCTGCCTCGTCGCTCCCGATTACGATCAGCCGAGAAGCTCCCACTTGCTCGACCCGTTTGAACACCCTGGAAAGAGGAAGACCGGGTTTGAAAAGGCTACCAAGACAGGAGATGGGTCTGTTACATACTCGAACAGTTGATGAGTTTTTGGTTTGTTCAAGGAAGCAGCATAGGTTTTATGGCCGCAGAAAAAGATCCTTTCCAAAAGGAGCTGACCTCAGCAAGGGCGCAAGGATCTACAGGCAACACTGCGCAATGTTGGTCACGGCGGGGACATGGCAAGAGAGACTCGGTGCATGCTCAAGCCAGCCCAAAGCTTCTGACTTCAAAAAGTGGTAATGAAGACAAGCTGGACGGAGGAGGCGCATTCAAACGGGGGATACACCCTGAATGATCCACAAAAAGAAAATGAACTTCAGCTGTCCGCGATGCATTTTGTTTCCGCTCGAAAACTGCATGTACCGTCCGTTTCAACCAGGCTGTCCGCTGCATGCGAATCTGTTTCCGCAACCTCTTCTGCCAGATTGTGCACATCGCACCGGCTAATCCATATACCAGAACTTCAAGCCTGCGGTTCACCGTGGGGTAGATCATGGATCAGATATATTAAGGCGTCAAGGAGTCCAAACATGCACAAGTTTTCCCATCCCGTGAATAAAAGATCCAAGTGTCGTACAGCCACTACAACAAATAGTTTTCAACGTAGACACACGTCTATGAGCTCTTCTTATTCTTTGGCGGAGTTCTCGTAGGGGAGGGGATGCACACCGTCAGAGTTCCTGGAGAACACCCACTATAAGAAAGATTGAACGTAGACACACGTCTATAAACTCTTCTCCTTCTCCTGGTAGGATTATCGAAGGAAAGGAGACAGACACCGTCCGATTATACGAGACATTATACAATGTTCTGAGGTATGGAGCGAGTCGCTCACCACTTCATTTTCTTGCTCTCTAGTACCAGCTCCACCGACCGCCCAGCGGCCCGCAGTTTCGCAGCCACAGAATTCAGCATCGGCCGGCACTCCTCGTCTAACGTCACCAACACGTCATCCACCACGTGCGGCAGGTCCGGCAGCAGGCCCCGCTCTTTCAGTAGCTGCAAACAAAAGCGCCTTTTGTCGTTTAGGAGCTCAAGCGAGACCGCCATTAAGCATCCTAAGTCTACGGACAGGAGTTTTTCGCCGTCGGCTTTAGGCAGCTGCATCTCTAATGGGGCGTTCTATCTACTTTCAGCAGAAGAGAGGAAAAGCTTTTTCGAGTCTAGAAGATATTTTACCATTCGCAAACGACAACGTGCGCCCGTCGGAAGGTTCGCACTCAATTCTGGAGACCGGAGAACCCAGTCTAGGGCGCACCCAGCCACCAATAAAAATAAGAGATCTACAATTATAAATAGAAACGAAGATAAATTCTCAGATTGATCTACCTTCAGTGGGCACGTTGCAGATTTCGTCAACTCACTCCAACGGAACCAGACGGATCCGAAGATTCAACAGACGTGTAAAACAAAGCCGGATATCGCCTCGGCCGGAATGGTCAAGCGCCGGTGGATAACCAGTGCTGCGACACAACGGTGCAGGCTGGTAGCGAGACTGAAAACTAAAGGTCAGAAACACTTTGACAAATATTTTTGTCTTGTGGCCCTGGAAAGCAAGAGGGAAGCTAAAGGAAGCCAATTCGTTAACAAGCCTACCTCGACGATAACCGCATCCCCAAATCCAAATCCGCAGGCAGGCGTGTCGTCGCCCCCGAACGTCGACAATAGCTTATCGTACCGGCCGCCCCCGCAAATGGCCCGCAGCTTGCCTTCGCGGTCAAACGCCTGGAATCGACGCGAGGAAGTTGTTAACGTCTGTATGGAATCGATTCCGTGCACCGAATCCATTCTTTCTTACTTACGACTGCCGCTGGTTCGGTGTCTTTCCGTTCGTCCGTGTCTCCATCTTCCTCTCGAGCGCCTCGTTGCGTTGAAGAGAACCGGCTAAGGACTGCGGGTGTTACTGCAAAGTCCTCTGAGAGACCAAAGAATGTTTCAGAGCACCTTAGTATCGCTCATTGGCGGATCCTGCCGACGAGCGAAGAGCAACTTTTCGTGGCAGGAAACGATCAGACGCCCCACCTCAAAGACGATCCCCGTGTAACAGGCCAGTTTGATGCGTCCGTCGTAAGTCTAACAAACCTCAACGTTTCGATATTGTTTCAAGGAATGAGCGACTTTTAAGATCGAAGAGAAAGAAGGCTCCCCACCTCATAGCCTATTTTCAAGTAGTATGCCACTTTGATACGTCGTAAGACTAAGAAACCTGAACCTTTCGGTTTTGGTTCTAAGACAGAACGTCTTTAAAGAGCAGAAGAAAGAAGGCCCCACCTCAAACACAACTCCAGTATAGTAGGCCAGCCCTCGGACGACGGACGCATCAAACTGGAGCCAGTCCGCGATGCCGTACCCGTCCGCAAGCGCGAACAGCTGCTTCAGCTCGCGCACCGCGTCGCTGTCCGCGCCCAGCAAGTCTGCAGAGAGGGACGTCATGCGTGACGTCAGCTGTAACGCCGTCTTCCGAGGCGGACCGCTGACAACCTTGGCAGACGGCGGAGCACTGTTGATTGGCCACTGATGACGAGTCAGGAGGGCTTTCTTTTATCGTTAAGGGAAGGGCAAAAGTCGACCCGCCAACAGACTCAGAGAAGCTTCGCGACTCGACCCTTGACTATTTTGCGCGAGCAGGAAAGGCGGCCCGCTGACTCATGCCACGAGTTTCTCCACGAGAGCGCTCTTAACGTCGATATCAGCAGACCGTCTAGCCCCCAAAGCATTTTACTTGCCTTCGGCGCAGCATTTAAAGGGTACCTCTACGCAGGCTCTCACCTTCTAAGCCCGAGAGCGACTTGAGCGTGAGTGCTTGGAGTATCCCGGTTACCGCTTCAGGGGGCACCGAGAGGGCGCCTAACTCCTTCTCAATCTCTTCCCGGGGTAGCTTGTCAATCTGTCAATGGGACAAAAACAGTTCTGAGATAGCCCGAAACGCTGTCACAGCCGTCCGATCTTCACCTAATCAGACCAGTCTGGGCGTTAGCGCTTGGTGACCAGGACGACAATCGCAAGCTTGGGCCCCGCTCTTGAGCTCGGAAGAAGAATCGGAGCCGTCGATTTGTCGATGTTGACAAGATGGACGGTGCGAAAGCCTGGAGACTTTGTCCCCTAGCCAGCCCAAGATCGTGCGCTCCACCATACTCGTAGCGAACGTAACGATCGGCTCCTGTGCGCAACGGTCTTCTTGAAGCCCTTTATGACGCCGTGCACGACAATCGAAAGTTGAACAAATTCATCAGGTCAGTTGACGTAGATTCACGCACCTCTTCATTGTATCCGAAAGGGTTGACATGTCTATGCAAACAATCGGACCAGAAACTGCTGATTTGCTGAATAAGTCCTAAAACTCTCGCCTCGTACTGTCAGATTAGCTTCGCCGTCATCTGGTAGTAGTGTCTCGAGGAGTCCAGAGAAGCTAGCCCGACGGAGCGGACTGCCTTCGAGGTGTTCTTCAGAGACAGGCCGGGCTTTGGAAAGAATGAGAAAATGAAGCAGGTAGGTTCGAAGGGCAGCGGGGAGCTCACCTTATCCACTACGACGCATACGGAAGCGAAGCTCTCAGAAGGTATGCTGTAGCGCCCGAGCACGTCTTGAAGGAGCTGCGGGAACGCGTGGGTCAGAATCGGCACAATCAAAAAGCAATTTATTATTCGTGCTCCTGCTGGGTTAAAGAGAACACCCTAGGACCTCTCTTGAGAGCGGGATCCGCTGAGAACCTGGCGGAGTAGTAAGCAGGATGGGAAGACTTTGAGCGGTCTCGGGACAACGACAGACGAGCGCGAAGCTTGGAGACTAAGGCACATGCATGCACCAGAGGCTCCTTCTTCGGTAGAAGTTCAGATATGTGAAAGGATAGCCTATGTAGTTACCTTTCGGCTCGAAACTCGGAACCCGACGTCCTTTGCCGTCAGCCCCAGGCGCGAGAAGAAGGTGACGATCGCTGAAAGCAGCTCCGCTTCGGCCTGCGTGCGACAAACATTCGTGGTCGATGCAAAGCAGTACCTGACATTCAAACTTCCGATCAAGCAATTCAGTCTAATACAATCGGACGAACAGGAAACTTATCGAAAGGGAAACGTTTGACAACCGTTTTTGGCACACCGGCAGTCAATCACGCCTCTTAGAGAACTAGATGAATCGAAAAATTTCGGAAAGTGGCAGCTACAGCTTGAGTTTGAGGATCACTAGGGTAGGGAAAGCGGATGTCAACGACTCCAAACAACTTGGGTTGATCGAACGAAGGAAGCAGGCTTACCTCGACTCCTTGCACTCCAAAGACGTCCATGTTCCACTGGTAGTGCTCCCGCCTCCTGCCACGTGTCGTCCTCTCGTAGCGCCAGCACTGCCCAATCCCAAACCACTTGGCCGGCAGAGAAAGGCCCTTCCTGAACAGAACAAAGCGGGTGTTGACGAGAGACGAGTTTGGCCGCACGACGATCCTTCATTTGAGTGTTGATTCATGCGACTATAATGAACGGGGTTTTCAGGATCAAACGCCATGCAGTATCTTTTTGCAACTTGTCCAGAAACGGCGGACTACTTCAAAGGAACTCTTCAGGAACTCCGATCAAAAGCGTTTGTAGAGTTGCTCACTTGCGCTGTCGAATTTGGACGAAAAACATGCGGAACATGAAACTAGAACGAGGACGCTCACCCCTTCGACAGTATGATCCGTGCAAGCGAGGGAGTGAGCTCTGGTCGTAGCGCCACCCGGCGCCCCCCTTTGTCGTCAAAGTTGTACAGCTGCGTGGCAACTAGTATAGGGTCACGAACATCACGAGGCCGATCGGATCCCTCTGGTGGCGCCAAGAGTGTTTGGTCTCTAGGTAAGGTCCTTTATCCGCACCGTTCAAAATGAATCAATGAACGACAGACCTTTCACATCGAAGGATACAGAGGTTCACAGGACGGGCACAACCGTCATACGTTGACCCAAGCAGAAGTCAATGTTTTCCCACATAAACAATGCATTGTCTTCAAAGTTGGTGCGGAAAACAATTGTGCGCGGATGAAGTGGTATGCTGATCAAGGCGGCATCTGATGCTATTGAGCAAAGTGCTGATTACCTGGCCAACAATCTCTTCCCCCGCTTTTCTCGTGAACAGCTCTTCTGATTCGAGCACGGGCGCATCGAACTCCTCAAAGCCAAAGAGTCGTGACACCTGTCCACAAAAGATAACAGATCTTAGCTCGGTCTCAGGCGTTAGACATTCCCAATGGAATGACAATCAGGCAACCCGCTGGATTGTTTGAACAAGTGCAGAAAGTAGTCCAATGCTCAATAGTCTTCAGACGCAGGGCGGATACATCATCCAAGTCACACAGTCAACAAAGCTATCTCAAGACATGAAACTGCCTAGAATCTTACGAAGCACCAGACAGAACTTTCTTCAACTTGAAGTTATGAGGGGATTAATGTCCTCACCTCTCTGAAATGGTTGAACAGCCACGTTCTCAAGCGCATCTCCTCCGGAGGAAAGTCCCTTGTCCCCCGAGGCGGTTGTGTGTCTATCAGCGCTTGTTTCTTTGAGCTAGGGGCGGAGACAGAGGGTGTTTTCAGGGCAGTAGAGCTAGCAGCTTTCTCCGCTCTTATCGAAGATCCGAAACTTCTCTGATGGGGAGTGGTAGTCTCAGTGAGAATGGGGTGGGAAAACCAAGGAGTGGTAGCTAAATGTGAGGAAGATGCTAGAGATGACTGGGGTATTCTAGGGTTGGAAGCATAGAAAGAAAATGGTGCTGCAAAGCTGCATTGAAAGGAGCTTGGAGAGGCGCTCGGATGAGAGGCGCCCGGTAGGAGCGCGCGGAATGAGTCAGCGAGTCTGGCATTACTCGCCATTCCCATCCCCTGATGCAAAGCTGTGGGGACCCGCGGGAGAGAGCGTGACAATGCGGGGCCCATGGATGCAGCTGCTGCGCCCCCCATTGCTCTGAGTCTCACTCTGAGCTCGACCTCTGCAAATTCTGCCTGGGTGGTTGGTTATACTAGGGTTTTCTAGTTCAAGCCGTCTTAGTTAAGTTCAACCCTAGGCAAAGATGAGACCATTACCGTACGCGACGGAGTCGTTACCGCAGCTTGTCACTGCGTGCAGCAGGTCGATAAATTCGTCGAACCTTCATAGGGCACAGGTTGCCGGAAGTAAGTTCGACTTTGAACTTTCGAAGAGGCCTTGCGCTGCTGCCATCTCGCATTTCCTCAGAATGCTATTAGTATTAACAGATTCAAAGTGCTATTTACTGAGCAAGCGAAGCCAGCGTGGAAAGCAGAATTTCGTGACAGTGCTACAGCCTCAGGGGAGAGAGGGCGGAAGCACGATGGCAATGGCGGGCAACACGAGCGCGGGCGACCTGCTCCTGTTGCAGGGGCAGATCAAGCGGGACCCCGAGGGCTACAAAGACGAGTTTCTCATGCAGTACCGGCACTACAAAGCGCAGCTTGGCATCTTTTCCCTGCGTCCTATGGGAGAGTCCAAGGACTTCGCCGATTTGGTCATGTTTTTGTCCCAGGTGAGGTGGTTGTGAAGGACACGTGTACAATTTGTGTTATAGTTGATTACGGAAAGTGGTGCAATCCCGTTGTGAGCAGAGTGTTGTGATTGTTAGGGGTTCAGTCCGTGCATGAGAGAAAAGCCTGTACTTTGACCACCACCATCGTATCGCTCAATTTTCTTTGCACAGGGTCCTTGAAAGAACTAGGTATGACGGAATCTCTGAATGAGAGCAGTTCTTCAAGCCTCTGTTCTCATTGCCCACACGTCCACCAGCGCCCACATTGGTCTGGAGGATGCCGCCGTGTTTGAATCTTTGTTTTGACCAAACAATTAGAAAAATCTCTTGCGTACAGAGAGTACTTTCTTCCAAGATCACTGGAAGAAAGTGGTTCATGGCTGGCGGCTAAAGCAGCCAAGCAATCACTTTTCCGCACCACCACCATCACAAGCTAAGTCATGGTCAGTTTTATTGAGTCCGTCATTTAAGCCAGACAAGAATTGGGGCAAATCAAACTTTATATCTCAAGGGTGCTGATGCTCCGTGCCCTCTTGTCAGGTGGCCATCTGTTACCCCAAGGACTTGGCTACTTTTCCCCAAGAGATCATGGACCTGCTAGACCAGCACAGCATGATTCTGGATCATGGCTTGCGCAAGACCCTTGCGCAAGCGCTAATTCTTCTCAGGAACAAGCAGGTGAGGGGATCCCTGTGCACTAGGTTTGGCGGGGAGGTCCAATCATGGTCGTGCACCTTTGCGTCATACACCCCAGCATTGGACTTGGTGTTTCTTGCGTTTTGCTTCTTCTGTTGCAACAGCTATTTATTGATTCCAAGGTCGAAGGAGAGACGCATTGCGGGGAGTGGAGGACTTAGAGTGTATTGCAATTTCCAGAAATATATTGGTTACGTACATTCCAAGGAGTCGTCTGAGTTGGCGCGTCTTAGGCCAGCCTGAAACATGAACAAGCTTGTCCCTCCCCTTATTGCCAGTGACTGTACGCCAATTCCTGCCACGACCTTCTATCCACCTCCCAAGAATCTCTCCACCATTTCTTTTGCAACACCTTCGGTCCCTTTGATGATTTTCCTTCTTCCTCAAGCAAGATAAGTCGATCTCAAGTATATTGAACCGTTTCCGTCCACAAACTGACAGTTGGGGGCTTGAAGATATTCAGATACTGTCCTAGTCTCAACCATAAGATGCCGACTACGGATTGGCGGTTATTAATCTGATGACTCCGTCAGCACCTCACTTCATGCCTTTCCCGACCCGTCGCAGGTGGTCGGCCCCGCGACGCTGTTCCCGCTCTTCTTCCGCCTCTTCCGCTGCCCCGACAAGTCGCTCCGCCAGCTGCTCTTCTCGCACATCGTGCACGACATCAGCGCGCTCAACCGGAAGCACCGCGACGAGCGCATGAACCGCTCGCTGCAAAACTTCCTCTACAGCATGGTCAACGACGAGAACGAGACCGCCGCAAAGAAGTCGCTCGCGGTGCTGATCGAGCTGCACAAGCGTCAAGTGTGGACGGACGCGCGCTCGGTAAACGTGATCGCGAGCGCCTGCCAGCACAGCAAGTCGAGGTGAGTGGTCTGAAGATATTCGAAGTTTTGATTGTTAGGAATACTTGCTTTTGTTACCCTTGCTCTGGGCCTTAGGATTCTGATACTGAGTTGCAGTGTGGTACATCTTCACATTATTGTTTCTTGTTGGGCTGTATCTAGACTAGGTGGAGGTGGCCAGACGCTTGGGGGAGGGCTCGAATGTGAGTTCGTCATCGTCAACAGAGATCTTGTTGGTACTTCGACTCTTTCAGCTGTCACTACCACGTCCTCCTTTCTTGATCGGGTAGGCTTGAAAGGACGCCTTCATTCAGGTACAGTAAGCTCTAGGTATAGTAAGTTTCTACCCTGACATTGAAAATCCAACCCTCACAATCACCCGCTCGGTACCCGCACTACCCCAAACCCCAGATTAACCCCATCCGTCCCAGGCTGGTTAGCTTACTATATCTAAAGCTTCTACACCTAGATTGAAGTCTTGTCGAAAAGACCGCTGCAGAGGAGGTTTCAAATGCTTGACTTTGTTTCGAGCAAGTCTTTTCGGGTCGTCATAGCAGAGTGGTTGTCACTCATCGTTTCTTTCGAGCCCGTTCGACCTGACTCAATTATCATTTGCAAGGCGTCTTCTGTCACTTCTGTCACTTCTGTCATCAGGCTTTTTAAGAGCGGCCCGCAAGTCTTTTCTCGGCATCAATGAGCGCACCAACGACGGCTCGAAATTCGAACCAGTTGTTGCACTTTACGACCATCTGAATCTTTTCTTTCCCCCCTCTACGTGTTGACAGCTATAGCCTGTTCCGAAGTCTCAAAGTATCAACGTACCCCTTCTCAGGATCATGATCGCCGCCCTCAAGTTCTTCCTCGGCACCGACGAGCGCACCGACGACGGCTCCGAATCCGAGTCCAGCGACGACGAAGCCCCAGGGGCAACCCCCGCTGTGCAGCCAAACAAGGAAGATATTTACAAAGCTTACAAAAAGGGGACGGGAAGCAGCAAGAAGAAGAAGCAGGCGAAATTGAAGCGAGTGATGCAGAGCTTGAAGAAGCAGCAGCGGTCGAAGGAGGGCGGGGGCGCCGTCAGCTTTGCGGCGCTGCAGCTGCTGAATGACCCGCAGGGCTTTGTGGAGCGGCTGTTTGCGCGGCTGCGCGCGTGCAGCGAGCGGTTCGAGGTGCGCTATGACCCCTTCATTTCTGCTCCTTTGATCTCTCTGTCTTACGATTTGTTTGTGCTTCTTTCATCTCTCCGTCTAAGGTTCAATTGTGCTTCTTCGATCCCTCGGTCTTCACACTCCTCGCTGTGATGAGATGCGCTGTGAGCTTTCTCAGATACCTACGGTCTGCCTCCCAATTTGTGCCTTCCTGTCACTCCCGAGAACCGCTGATCGCTTGTGGTCCTGTCATTCGGTTTTGCCTTCTCTCTTCTTCATTTTCGTCTTCTGTCTTCCTGTCTTAGGTGTTCGAGAAAGCAGCAGAAGGCGAAAAATAACGACCCCGGACGGTCGGAACGCAATGCACCTTGTAAAGGTGCTCACTTGTGCATTCTGCGGCTCGTCCTTGACGTCATCCAGGTGTTTCTCAAGCTGACGTCATCCCCGTGCTTCCGCGCAGGTGAAGCTGATGATGATGAACGTCATCTCGCGCGTCATCGGCGTGCACCGCCTGCTGCTGCTCAACTTCTACCCGTACCTCCAGCGCTACGTGCAGCCGCATCAGCGTGACGTCACCCACCTCCTCGCCGCGCTCGTGCAGGCCTGCCACGACCAGGTGAGGCCTAATTCCTAACCTTCACGGCAAGCATCGCTTTGAAGCTACATAATTTGATCGGATTGCGAACCCCTTTCTTGAAGGTATTAAGTTCTGTTTTAACCGCTATTCCCTTCTATAAGGGATCCCATGTCGGCACTTTTGATCCGGAAAACTCCATCATGCAACGCACTTTGATACGTGCAGCAGCTTCGACTGCGGTTACCAAAAGTAAAGTCTGGTACAGCTCTGGCAGGTCCCCCAGTTGTGGTGCAGCCGGTTCTACAGCACCTGGTAATTCAGTCGTGCAAGACCGCACGCACATCAGATGCAAAATCATCATCTCCCTCCGCTTTTTCTTCTGGTTCCAGGTCCCCCCCCGATGGGGTCTATTCGGTGCTGCGCCCGTGATTCCATTCACGACCGGCGCGCATCCTGCATGATCAAGTTTTTCACTCTCCCCCCCTTCTTTCTGGTGTCTCAGGTCCCCCCCGACGCGGTGGAGCCGGTGCTGCGCCAGTTGAGCTGGTGAACCGATCCGTGCACTACCACGCTAATTCAGACCAATCTTCACTCCCCCGCCCCTTTTTCCTGGTTACAGGTTCCTCCCGACGCGGTTGAGCCCGTTCTGCGGCAGCTGGTGAACCAGTTCGTGCACGACCGCGCGCGCCCCGAGGTGATGGCCGTCGGCCTGAAGACGGTGCGCGAGCTGTGCGCGCGCATGCCGCTGCTCATGACCGCGGACCTGCTGCAAGACCTCGCGCTCTACAAGAAGTCGCGCGAGAAGGCCGTCGCGACCGCTGCGCGCTCGCTCATCTCGCTGTTCCGGGAGGTAGGGCTTCCTATATGGAGGCCAATCTGCAAGTCGTACCTAGGGGCTGCTTTTGGGTATCGTCATCTTGGCCTCAGCCCTTGGTAAGAGGAGGTTGAAAGCAGATGCCAGGACCTTAGGCGCCGAAACTGGTCTTCTCGCTCAAGACGAGCATTTTCACAAACTGAATCACCCTGTCGAACGACTCATCACTTGAGGAAAGCATCCCCTACTGCTTCGCGCTGAATTCGGGTGCCATTATCGGTTTCATCGATTGACATGGTTCGATTCCTTCCACAGCTCGCGCCGTCCCTGCTTGAAAAGAAGGACCGCGGGCGCGGTGCCGATCTCGAGGCCAAGCCCAAAGCGTATGGAGAAAAGGAGGTTCCGTCCAGCGTTCCGGGAGCGGAGCTCCTGGCGGAACCGGACACGGAATCGAGCGACGAAGAGGGAAGCGACGAAGAAGATAGCGACGCGGAAGAACGGGTCTCTAGAAAGAGGAAGACTTTCGCGGAGGGAGAGGAGGAGATCGGAAAAGAGGCTGAGGGGGATCCCTCTAGAAAGAAGCAGAGAGTGCACGAGAGAGACGCGAATGGGAGTCTGAATGCGGAGTTTGTGGAAGGGAGAGAGAACGAGAGCGGGGAGGAAAGCGAGGGCTTTGAGGATATGGACTCGGACGACGAGGGGGCGGACTCCGACGCCGAGGAGGCGGGTTCCGGTGACGAGGCCGCGGAATCCGGCGGCGAGGGAGCGGACGCCGGCTCGGACGACGAGGCAGGGTCGTCCGACGACAATGACGAGCTTGCTGACGTCATCGCGAAAAGCGGACCCGACGTGGCGGGTCCTAGCGAACCGGCGAACGACGGGACGCCGGCGGTCAACGCCTCGGCGAGCCTGCGCAGCTTGAAGCGCAAGGCGGCGGAGCTGTCGGCAGTAACGGTGGCGGAGGATGACGTCATCGCTGACGTCAGCGCGGACGGGATTTTGTCGGACGAGGACTTCCGGCGGATCCGGCGGCTGCAGGCGAAGAAGGCCCTGGAGGCGGCGATGGCGAAGCACGGCGTGCGGAAAGTGAAGGGGAAAGAGGGCGACGCCGCACCGACCAAGGCCCGCGGGGACCTGAGCGAGCGGCGCGTGGACCCAGGGGACTTGGACGCAACGATACGGAAGAAGCGGGAGAAGGTGAGATGTTCTTGTTTGGTACGAATTTTGACAAGGTGGAGCAAAGTGGGTCTTTCTGTGTCTTTTTCGCTTCGATTTATTGCCTATCCGCTATCAGAGAGTGCCGGGCAAGACGTGTACGGTTAGGCTGGTACTGAGCTGCTGACGTAGACGTGAGTTTGTTGCGTAAACAGCACCTCGGACCCAAAGTTGACCGCGTTCGAGCTCCTCGTGTGCGGAGTCGTCGCTTCTCGGTCTGTCTCCTTCTTTCGCCCGCGCTTCTCCGTCTTCTGTGTATCTTTTACCAACGATGAATCTAAAGGTCTGATTTGAAGGCGCTGTTTACTCCTGCCGTTTACGCGCTTGATTACTCCTCCAGGAGCAACGTATGGCGTCCATCCAAGCCGGGCGCGAGGACCGCGGCCGGTTCGGGTCGTCCAAGGCGCGCGGCAAGAAGAAGTCGGGTGGCGCGAGCAACAAGGAGAAGCAGAAGGCGAAAATGAAGCGCGCTCCGCTCGCGGCGCAGCGGGCCAAGCTCAAGAGCCGTGTCAATCGGCGGAAAGATTCGAAGGGTTTCAAGAAGAAGCTGCAGCGGGGCAAGAAGGCGTGGGGCAGCTAGTCGGGTTTCTTGTCGAACCGGCCCAGTATGCGATCAAGAGGCGTTCACATTGATGGGAATCTGTATCCGCTTGTTGATGGTTCGAGCTTTGAGATCACTCATATGGAAAGGCTGGCCAATTCGAAGCTGGCAAGACTTGTGCCCATTACAATGCGCTAAATGCACGTGAAATCATTGGCAGAGCACCTACTGGCTTTTCAAGAGCTGCTCGAGCTAACCAAAGAAAAGCGCGTCTACGTCATGAACCGATCCATTGCATGTGTGCACAAGTAGTCCGTAGACGTTGTTGGCGGCAAGCCGGCGCAGGCGCATTTCCTTCGGAGTGAATGCGCGCGGCCTGCGCCCGCTCGCCTCGCCGACTGAGAGCACCAGGCTCTGCAGTGAAGTGTTAATGCTGGACCCAACCCATAGAACGACTGATGTTGTTATTCTCAGCAGCTAATCATTGCGGCTCTGCTTGCATGCATGGGATCATGCATTACCCTAGTAGCTTACAGTATAAGTTGTCGAGCTAGTGCGCATTTCATGCAAACCGAGAGCGCACGTAAGCGCTGACATGTGTAAAAGGTTCCAGCGCTAAGATGTGCTGGACCTTTATGAGATGGAAAGTTCGCATTTGTAGCGCGCGTGCATCTGGGCGCGCCGCTCACGTCGAAGGAATGCGGACTGCTGACCTTTCATACATGCTCACACATCTTGCCCGTCTGTCGGTTCTTGCGCGCCCCGCATGCACGTGGCCATGCGCCAGCCTGGCTCGTCGACGCGCTATCCGAATCTGCATGTCCTTACTGTAGCTCTCGCTTGCAAACTGGGACACGGAGCCTGGTCGGACACTTCGTCTCATGAGCTCCAGCGGAAATAGGGTACGTACTGTAGTATAGCTAGGTGGCAGATACTTGGTTATGGCAACCCAGAATATTAAATATCGTCAGTTTAGTTAAAAGTCGAGTCGCCCAACTGGCCTCAAGGAAGCGGATCGTGTTGCTCACGCAACCGACACGTCCGCAACTCGGCAAGAAGTTTTCGAGCCTTTTGTTCAAGGACCTCCACCTTCAGGACTCAAGAGCTTCCAAGCTGCTCGAAAAGAATAGGACGTAAGGAAAGAAAGGCGCAAGAGAGAACCGAGGAAGACAGGCCCAGGGAAAAGCGCTCATCGCATTCATGGCGCGTGCGATGCCCTTCTTCGCGCAGCTTTAGCTCGGCAAGCGAACAGCGCGCGGATAGCTGAAGACCAAGAACTTTCTCTCTGCGAGGCACCAAACATCCACACGCGCCTACCAGTTTTCTCGTCAGCTTACTTGGAAAGGGGCGCCAAGCCCGGAGAGCAAGCATGGTCGCGATGAGTCTCTTGGAGACCCTCGTGGGGAGGCCGCTTGTGTGGACGGTGAAAGGGGTCACCGTCCTGACGGCGGCGGTCACCAGCCCGTTGTGGGTCCCTTTGGTGCGTACCAAGACACGTGGCAGGCGTCTAAGAGGTCAAGAAAGGTGTCATGATGTCTCTCAAAACAGGCGCGAAGGTTGAACCCAGCGAATGTGCTTCTGCGTTGCGTCTTTCCTCATGCAGTGGCTTTCCGCAGAGACAGCTCTTGTAGGGCTGTTTTTGTTCAGTTTGCTGGTTTCATATCTTTCTATTTTTGTCCATTTTGCTGGTTTCAATCTCTTCTGTTTTGTCTCAGCCTCCGAAGTTCGTAATCTTTGCGCGCATGTTTGTTGCTCAGGTATCTTATCTGCACGCAGTGAGATAAGATACTGAATGATGTCAGAGGTACCTCAGCAAGCCGTCAGCAGGACGTGCTCAAAGAGTATAATGCTGCCAATATCTCCTCCACGCCCTATTCGGAGCTGTTTGGAACGAAGTTTCCCTTACAATGCACACAGGACCTCCCTTCGGAGCTCTTCTTTTTGAGTTGAATAGAAACAAGTCTTCCGGTTCCGTTCAGGTGTTCTTCTCTACGGTGGCGGCCGGATTCTGCCTCGTGCCGGCCGCGACGCTCGTGGTCTTTGGGTACTTTCTGTGGAAGGCCTACGAGTGGAAGCAGGTGAGTGCGGCTTTCTTGGACGAAAACTCACCTTATGACACTCTATTCGGTGGGAGTTTAATTTATAATATCGGTCTTTTGAAACGGGGAGCTTCTAAAGGCAAGGCCAGAGAGGAAGTCGATGCTCTCAAGAGCAGAAGTAATCGCCCACGTTCGTAATCAAAGGCAAGAGTGTGCAAATACTACTGGTTTGACCGTGGTTGGAAGGCAATGTTTCGCATATCACAGCAGTAGTATTAATCGGAAGGATTTTAAAGAGGGTAAGAACGAAGTTGTGGGTTTGAGTTCATTCGACAAAGATAGAAGGATCGAATCCTGGGGGTATGGTCAGCAACAATCTATCTTCACTAAACCCTCTGGTTTTCATCTTGAGATCTGGATCAAGCTTCTGCAAGCTCTTCCATGAACCTTTTGTTTCTAAAAAGACTTGGTTAAAATCCCATGAGGAGACTGAATCTTTACGGATTTTTTCTCTTCGGTCCGTTGTCCCTTGCACTTCCGCTAAAGAACTGTTCACGGATGTATTTGAGAAAACACATGCGTGTTGTTGCTTCTGAGATCTTTCATTCCATTTCCTTTAATTTTAGTACTGTGCCACCTCTTCACCTTTCTCTTTCCCCGTCTTGTCAAGCCTCGATATCTAGTCTTTGAATTGATCTATCACTGCTGTTTTCTGTCGCCCAGAAAGCGCTCTTTCTTATACCCTCCGAACTTAGCATCAGCATCCCGCAATTGATGGATTGCTGTTTGGTTCAAGTCAATCAATCTGCGGCTTCTTCTCTGGACTTTGTCTCCAAAATCAGGCTGGATGACATTCATCAAAGAGGCAAAACAATTCTAGAAACCAGTCCCAGAATTTTCTTCCCAAGCAGCTGGGCCATGAACTGCTCCAAATCTGGTTTCTTTCCAAGTTCCACGGAAAGTACTGCTAACAAAGCAGCTAACACATTGCAAAAGTAACCAGTGAACGGAAACTAGCAGTTTTAAATTCTTGGCCTTTTCTGTACCAGATGCTTACCCCTGAAGCTCCCAATCAAGTCCGCCGAACCGCGTTAGTCGAGGAAGAAGAGGGCGGGCATACGCTAACGATCGTCGTGCAATGGACGGTGTCAAGTCCTGACGAGTTTTCATCAAACCCGCGGGTAACTATCTCTACTCTCTTACAGGCAACTACAGAAGCGCCCATCGATCTTGCAAGCAACCGGAGGGCCACAGAATTGGGTTCTCTAAGAACGCAGAGAAAGTAAATAGTTCCAGTTGGGTAAGAGAAAGTAAGCCCTCTGGGTTCCTTTTTCACCTTGCTCCGATCGCCTATCTTTTCGAAAACGCATCTGATGACTCGAACCTCGAGAAAGTTCTTAAGGCCCCTTATTTACACCTTTTCCTTGCGCTGACGCGCAGACTCTCGACACCATTCGCGGCGTCCTTCGCGCGATCAGGAACGAGCTCTTTCCGCGCCCGGGGCTTCTCCACCCGGAAGACACCGGTCCGCCCAAGGAACCGGTTGACGGGCCCGGAACGGCGGAACCGGAACCGACGCCCCCTCAGGCCAAACCGCCCAAGGTCCTGGCCGAAACGCCGGGCCACGAGGAGGTCACCCGGGCGTATATTCGCCCCTATTCGCCCGTGGTGAGTTACAAGCAAGTCAAACTGATCATCATATATCATATGAAGCAGAACAACAAAGATAGTGCTGAAGCATTAATTTTAGAATTTCTGGAAGCAACCTGTCCGCAGTGCTTGCCTCCAAACCTGAGCGCGAAGTGTGGAAGCTACAGAGGGTACAAACACGAAGAGTAGCTGAGACCCGCAAGAATGATTCGTTTCATAGGGAATTCTTTCGCGATTTGATCTTAGATTTGCGTTCTTTGATACACATCGACACTTCAGCATTCTGAAGTTTGAAAGTGTTCATCCCTTTCTTGGCAGAAGAAAGCGGTGAAAGGGACGCAGCCCAAGCACCCTAAATGTTAGGTTTTCAATGATCAAATTACTCGACACATGGTTTCAGCATTCTGAAATCTGAAATCAGAAAGTTTTGTTCCATTCTCCGCAGAAGGAAGCGGTGAAAGAGACGCAGCCGAAGCAGCCGCAGCGGCAGGAAGAGGAGGCGCTCGTCAAGAGGCCGGTTCTAACTGTCCAGGAAAGCAAGGTGACCGTTTTGGTACGTCCGAAATTCTTTTTTTTCGGTTCGTCCGGCCGAATAGCCATTATTGGTCTTCCAGGAAAGCAAGGTGACCGTTTCGGAACGTCCGAATATACTCTTCTTGTCCGCTTCCGTCCTCTGTGTCCGCGTGTATGCGATCGGTCCGTTCATCTGCCCTTTTTGACTGTTAAAAAAAGCAAGGTGATCGTTTTGGTAAATCCGGGTAAACTCTTTGTGTCCGGGTCCGTGTGTTTTATGTGCGCTATCGGGTCCGTCTTTTCTACGCCCGTTCTGAGCGGCCAAGAAGCAAAGGTACCTTCTGTGCTCCGTCCGCAGTTACTTTCTATGTCCGGTTCCGTCGGCTGTGTCCGCGTCTGTCGGATCCGTCCGTTCAATCTGCCCCTTTTGGTCGTCCGGAGAGCAAAGCATTCTTCAGCGGACGCTTTGATCCGTCCGACCTTCTCTTTTTTGTTACGTTTCCCTTCGTGCCGCTTGTTCGTCGTGTTAGCGTCTGCCGCTTCCGTCCATTTTTCTGCCCCATCTCGATTCGGTCAGGGAGCCAGACGCCCTTTTCAGTTGCAGCTTGAATAATGTGAGCTTAGAATCAGTCAAGCTCGCCGGTTGTCTTGAAAGTAACGTAGCTGCAGAAGATCTGCTCCTCCCAGATCTTCCGTGCTTTTTGCGTCCGCCTTCCCACCGTTTTCTACTTTGAACTGCTCGATCGTCCCGGATATTGGTGTATTCTCCCCGGGCAACCATCGCGTCCGAATATTCGCGAATCCGTCTGGTGCCCAACAGACAACGTCAAACTCCTTGAGGCCGTACGCACAGGAGGATAGAATAAGCCCCTCTTAAATTACTCGGATGAAAGAAATATACGACGTTCCAAGGCCTTTTACAGGGTACCATTACTATAGTACGTATCGAAAGGAAGCTGAAACGATGTTCGATTCCCGAGTCCGAAGACAATAGGCTCATCTCAACTACAGCAAATCCAAATCTATAATACGAATTGAAAACATTCCCTCTACGACAAACGAAGCCTGAAACAGATGTAAGGAAGAGTTGTTTTGCTGCAGACGGCAGCCCCAAAGCACCCGGCGGTGGACAAGAACCAGGTCCTCCAGGACGTCTACTTTCTTGAGGAGTTTGTGGGTGTCAAAGACCCGGGCGCGCCACCCCCCCCGGGAGACATCGAGCAGCAGATCAACGAGATTGCCAAAGTGGTGGTCGGGGCGCCGATCCCCGTGCAGGTGGGCACGCCATTTTTCTGGTCGGTGACATCTCCCGAGAGCTATTGGTTAATTCGTGGAGTTTTTTCGCAGCTTAGGTTTTGGAGTTGGGCTAGCATTTGGGTGACAACTTCGGGTCTAACTTCGAGCCTCAAAACAATGTTTCGAGAAAGGAATAGTATCGAACAGTTGCGACGCTCAAGTACTTGGATTCACTTCTACCGCGCACGTAGCAGCTCTGCGGCTCTCTTCGAGGTACGTGATTTTGGGTTATGTGATTCGGGTTACCGTTGAGATAGAACCTCATAGTGACGGTCTTTTCTCGAAGGTTCAGTAAAGCAGGAAGGTCGACTTTGCGCAATCACCGCTCCAGAAGTACATCAGTTTTGCGTAACGGCCACTTCTGCGAGGAGAATGACGTAACTCCCCAGGAGAATGACGTGATTCTGAGCTACTTTTATCTGTTGCAGTGGCCTTCCAACGAGGACGAGAAGTACGTCGTCGCGGCGACGCAGGTGCTGCCCGCGCTGCGCGACTTCATCGGGGTTTAGGGGGTTTATTACCATGTGTACATTGAGGGGGTATATTAGCGAGATTGTACTCTTGGTCCACCAGGAGTCGTCGTGACGGGGTATGGGAATAAGAAGCAAGTGTGAAATCTCTGGTTAGAAAATTGCATTGGGAGCTATGCCGGATAATTTTCAGTTAGGGGGGTGGATTGGGGCTAATGAATCATTTGGCAACAAGGACTGGTTAAAAACTAGAGAAGGGCAGAGAGTGGCATGCAGACGAAGTCTCTGAGATATCAACGTAAGCGTCCGCCACGTCCTTTCATAACTGAAGTCAAGCCGGTTGAAGTTTGCATGTATGGTCTAATTTGTCTAATGAAAGCGGCAATCCAGGGTGAGGAGATACGTTTCTATAGTCCACGCAAATTTATGCACGTACATATCTACATTTCAGCCGCTGATCCAAGCGACGCTCTTGATCTCAAGTGGTTTCTTGACGGTTTCTTAACCAGATCTGCCCGTCACAACAGGCATTCAAAAAAAAGCGGCCGGTACAACTGCAAATTGTGTATCACAATAGGCTCGGCATTATTTAGAATACAAAACGATGCCGGCTACTAGAGGTTTCATCACGTTCTGCCTTTTCCAATGAGGTAGACCGTGATATGGTATGAAGCGGGGGCCCCGATGGCGCAAGCCAGACTAGTTGGCGCAGATCACAGGACATGCAGACGAACACTCTGTAAGATACGCACCGTAGACCCTTTGCGCTTTCCCAAGGTTACTATCAGAAGATCACGACTATGATTGTCGAGACCGCGAGCTTGAACCGTTCTCTAATCGAATCCTACAGTTCAGTGTATGCCCTGCAGCAAACAAGCGCCTATGTACAGTTCGTTACTGCAAAGCCAAAATCCTCAAAACGCTGATTTGATTCTCGTCGTGGCACGCGTACCCGTGCCCAATCTTCACCTTCACGTGCAATGTACAAGCGACATGGTCAGTCGCTCCTGATCCTAGCCTTGTAGCCTACACTACGTGCTACATTACCAGAACCACCTAGTAAGCTATGTACTGTGCTTCATTATAATGTGTAGAAACTCAAACACGCCACTCCAGATATACGAGGCGACTGCGCCGCGCCTAGGGCAGCCCCTTCTTCGCGTTGACCGCCTTTGCGACCTCGGACGTCGCCGTGTTCTTCGCGTACCGTTCGTACGTCCCGAGCAGCTTTTCCGGGTCCGCGAGCGTTTTCCGGACGCTCGGACTGTTGTCGACCGCCGATTTGTACGCCGCCAGCCGTTTCAGCTGGGGATCGTCCCATGGGATGGAGAAGGTCTTGTAATGCTCGAGGACGAAGTCGCGCAGGGGCACCCAGGGGGCGAGCGCGATGTCGACCAGGCTTATACAGGGCCTGAAGAGACGACGTTTTTTAATTTTATTTTTGCGGTTCGGATGCTAAAAGGTTCTCCTCCACTGTATTTGTCTTTCATTGGTTCTACGTCGTCTTGTCACTCAACCGTGTTGCATCAGGGGTACCTTCACAATTTGTGTGAACTTGCTTCAAACCGAACGTTCTGGTCGAACTGGTCCTGAAAGAAGAAGCGAGCTAATCTTCTCAGTTTCGTATTGAATGAAACAGTCTTCCGCACGGCTCGGCCTTGCAGAATCTGAGATCGCCCTCAGTTTCTGGATTCTCCTGAGTCACAAATCCGGAATCAGAATTCCCGCATACCCGGAGCAATATAACACTTTCGAGAACCCACCGATGACGTAATATGACAAGGAGCACTTTCGGAAACCTATCCCTCCGGCCTTCCACGTATCGCATCTCCAAAATGACAATACGACAGCTCATACTCCACATTGAGCATTTCCATTCAGTCCCCAACTTCGCCCCTACTCTGCTCATGAGGCTGTCATCCGCAAGTTGACTCGACCTTTCCCCGAGATAGTTTCGACAGAGGTCCATCCCTTCGTCCCATTCTCGTTGTATGGCTTACCCAAAGAAGAAGGGGCCCTCTGGGGACGAGGCTTCGTATGCTTGCGACAGCTCTCGCAGCGCTGTTAGGTAGTCCTCTTTCGCCTCCTCATGCTCGGCGTCCCTTAGCTGCAAACAGTAGGGCATGGCAATGGACATCTCTTTCAGCCAATTTTCCACAAGCTTGCGGTTAGGATGTTCGAAACAGTGGTGGTGTCATATCTTTGTGCTCTGATCCGCGATAGTTGCAATCACTGGGAGACGGCTGATACATGCGAAAGGCTTCCTTCGAGTTGCTCGAGAGAAGGAAAGTACTTGGCTGAGCACATAGATCGCCTCGAATGAGGAGAGGGCTCAGGAATTGATGATTCAAAGGAAGGAATCAGTGATAATTTATTCTTCTGACTTGAAGCAGATATAGTCAAAAGGGATGCAGTCCGCAAAGCTGACGAGACCTCCAATCTGCTTGATCCCAAGATGAACAACTATTTTCGTCCTATAGCATTCTTTTTCACGACCATGATCATTTGGGCTGTCTAAGGTCCTGAATAGCCTCAGGAAGAAACAAACAATCCTTCTTGCTAACGCAGAAACTGTACTTACTTGGAGAATCCTATAAAAGGTCGGCACGATCTTCTTGTTGATGTGGTCGATCCAGATGCGTCCGACGGCCTTCTTGAACGTGTCGTCTGGCAGAAGCTTCGGCTCGTGCGGCCACGTCTCATCCACGTACTCAGAAACGATCAGCGACTCGTAGAGCGCCCGGCCGTTGTGGTCCAGGGTCGGCACTAACCCCCTTGGGTTTAGTTTCATCAACTCTGGAGGCTGCAGCATAAGTCTTGAGATTAGATGTAGGAAAGCAAGATTAGATTTAGGAAAGAGAGCGATGAACAGGTGCGGGAGAAACGGCTTTACAAAATTCTCTAGGTAAGTAGGAACATAGTCGGTGGGAGAAGACTAGAGCACCAAAGCCAAAGTTGACACAGAGTCCGTGAATTAATAAAAGTCCCTTCCGCGCTGGGCTTCCAATCACTTTCTGAAACTCTGTTTGGAGATTTTGCAAAACCTGGTGCTCTTCTTCTCCTTAATCTGCCCCCTTCTCATTTGCAATACGAAACGCGGACTGCTAAAAAGATCCTCTGCCTTTTGGGGAAGATGGGAACACCACATCAAATAAGTCCCATAAGATCATACTGTCACTCTAGCACTTAGAGAGCCCAGTCACCTTTTAAGCTTTGGGGGAAAAAGGTAGTTGGAGCAATTCTGAGAGGACATTCGGGGGTAGACAAGCGCTGGGTTTGGAAAATGGTGGTGCAGCCTCAAACAACTTTTCAAGCCCCATTCACACATTGCGCACTTCTGTGTCATTCTTATCAGCAACATACCAGATCTTCTTGCCACTTCAAGACGTACTCTAAATATCCCCCAAACCGTGGTGCTCTTGATCCTAGACCAGTGATGGGAGCAACGCTTTCTTCAAAAGAATATATCTGGTGCTTTAGAAACAAGGTCAGATTAGAACTGACTTCTCTTGCGCAGATTCATGCATGGTGCGACCTAAAGCATGGGTGCCTCAGTGGGGTGTCCAGCAAAGGAAATGACGAGTAAGCCAGGACAGATTCCCTTTAGAAGAAGACACCACCACCACCTTAATCGTCACTAGATGCACGAGTGAGTGAAAAGTCCTGCATTCAATGGTATTTTCTTAATACCACACAATGTGAAGAACAACCAACGGCCACTCACCTTTGCGTACGGATCAATCTCAATGTACTCGTAGTCCACCTTCTTCTCCTCTAGCGTGATCCACGATCTCTGCACAAAGGGACAGAACCACGAGCCGTACAGCTTCAAAGAGTCTTCTTTCTTGTCGGCATGCAGCGCCCGATAGGCGTCTGCATTGACAGATAATTCCGCCATGGGACGCAATTGCAATGCTGAGTTTGAAAGAGTTACTATTAGCCCAAGCGGAGAAGATCTTGCTGCCAAGATAGAGAAGATCTTGCGAGAATTGGGTGGAGATGGGGGCGCAAGAGAGCCGCTTCAGCTTTTGAAATCAGCATCGTGGCTGGCGAAGTGGTTTCCAGCTGTGCAAAAAAGGTTTGATATTGAAGACATATCCTTCCTGCCAAGCATGTCATAAGCGAGATTATTTCATAAGAAGCCGTGACTTCTGGCTTCGTAAAAGCAGGCATGTAAGCAGGTGAGTTTATATATATGTCACACATGGTGTATCGAAATCGAAATCGAATAATCATATAGACTGACATGAATATAAGTAACGCATGTAACGCTTTCGACAAATTGCATCGAAGCTGTCTCGCGATGGTTCACGACAGGCAAGAACATAGGAATTCGACACGTGTCCACGTCAGCCCTTTTAGGAATTGAGTCCCGAAAGACTGACGTTCCTGCCAGGACTCGAACCCTGGACCTCCGAGTCGAAACCTCGAGGCTCCGAGAGAGCCGTCCGACCAAACTCTTTGCCCACTGGGCTAAAAAGAGCGCGTACATTTACGGAACCTTCCAAATCTATATAATAAAAGTCTTCGGCAGTATACGGCCGTAAATCCTGGAACCGATATCGACGACCGTCATTCCTTACATGTGGCAGATTCCTATGTTCTTGCCCTGTCGCAACAGCACGAGAGCAGTTTCAACGTTCGACGCGGTTCGGTACGCTTAGTCGATATTCTGCGCTCGTCATACAGAGTCAGCTCCGAAGATATCTACACTTCCGTTTTTTTTCGATCCGTCGCTTTCAAACCCCAGTGAAACAAGGAGGTAAAAAAACACTTGTGAGGATGCTTGCCAAAATTCGAACCATCAGCGAAAATGAGTATGGGTCACGACGTGTATAGCCCGATGCCAGATGGTGAAGACTGAAGTTTGCACAAACACTTGGAACTGTTGAACACCACTTTCTTGGGGTGAGCTTCACTGGCGCCATCTTCAGCACTCCCCTTGACGTGCACCTTGATGGTGCAGAATGCAACCCCTTGAGCACCCAAACCTGGAAAATCCCCCTAACTCTATCCTCATGGATCAGACCAAAGTCCTGCTGAGCGCTGCCAGCCTGGTTGAAGAACTCACTTCTTTCCTCTCATCTGCAAATGCCACCCTCCTCTTCGCCTCGTCCGCACTAAGCACCAGCAATCCTGCTCCACCCCCCCTCTTTCCCTGCCCGATTAACTCCCAGCACAGGGTCCCCGCCACTGCCCTGGCGGCCCACACCGCCTCCTGCCAGGCCGCAAAAGGGGGCTTTAACCTTGAGGAACTTTCTTCTCCCGCGTCTAGTTTCTTCTACGCTGATGCCCCTGGGGTGGTGCAGCTGCAGCGGCTCCCGGTGGATCAGCCGCCGCGGCCACCTCTTCCCCCGCAGTCTTCCAACCAAGAGCAACAGCAGTATGGATCAAAGCAAGGGCCCCCACAGCCTGCTCAGCAAGAGCAACAGGGCTTGGGTGTTCAAGAGAAGAGTCCAGGGTGCGTTTATCAGTGTCATAGTTGGTTTGGTCTTTGCGGTGCTATCACAAGTGAGTTCTAAGAGCACACTACTGTGGACGTTCCATTTCAAAATCCTGTCTGGTGTTGATCATGAGTGCGACTGGGCCATGGACAAGGGGAAGTGGTGCGCCCACGTTCTGTGAAACTTATACAGATTCACCGTGACAAGTTTCCATCAAGAGAGGGAAAGAGAGAGGCAAAAGATTTTGGATTTGAGTTCAGCTTGAACAACAATCCAACGCACCAAGGGCTCTCTTGGAACTAGGCTCAACTGAGGTCCTCCTTGTCTCCACGCAGCCAAACGACAGCGCTGCAAAACGCTGTTCATCACTGGGAGCAGTCCGGAGGCGCCAGCGTATCACACCGGTTCGCAGCAGAGCAGGAAGTCCTTGCTTGGTGTGAGCTGCCGTCCCCCATGCCCCCAGAAGCCGGACGCCTGATTGCAGCTTCGCCCCCGTCGGTTTTGGCGGCCCTAGTACAGACAGGGGCAGCGGAGGGGGGGGTGGGGGTGACGGCAGAAGAGGCGGAGGCGCTCGGCAGTCTGCTGATTTGGCAGTCGCAGGCGAGGGAGGGTAACGAAGGTGCAGAAGCTGAGGTAAGCGGCGGCTGGCGTTGACGCCGCCAGCTCTTGGTGAAAAGGCGAGGAAAGATGATGTTTTTGGCCGGTAGTCTGCGTTGCAACATCTGGCGCCTTGTAACGAAAAGTTGTTGTACAGCTTGTTTCATCCTTTGTGACTATCATCGAGAAGGTCCTCTTTCTTCAATCGATTTCCAACATCGCCACACCTTATTCAATCCTCTCCGAATCTCTCTTTTAGGACTTGGGTTTCGGAAATCGAAGAGCAGGATCATGGCTAGAGTCAGACTTGATATGAAAACCATGTTCCTTCGTCTTCAAATCAGTCACTTCCTGCCAATAAGTGTCCTATCACCCCATTGCTCTGACGAAGTTCCAGTTCCTTTGCAGGCAGACCGCCTGGCCCGTGTGCTGACAGCTGTCGCCCTCCTGCGGCCACCAGCTGGCGCCACCTCCTTCCTGCTGCGTCTCTGGCAGACCGTTTTAGGGGGTCTACTACGCACCCTACCTCCCCTGCAAGCGAACCCCCCTTTCGTGAGCACCGCACAAATGGCAGCCGCTCGGGAAACGCTAAGGGACGGCGTGCGTTTGCGTCAGCAGCGGGAGCAGGCGGGGCGGCCAGAGCCCGGTCGAGCGGAAAGGTAAACTAGGCTGGGGAGCTTTTTCTTGAAGTGCAATCCTTGACGCTCGAGCGAATTAGCAACAGCATCCGCCATTTGTGGGTCCCTTAAGAATCTGATTGCCCTTCCTTTTAAAAGCTGTTGGCCTGACAGGAGATTGTGTCAAGGTTTGCACTCAGTTCCGCCGTGCTGCGTCGTCCCCTGAGCAGGATTCCTCATATCGAAGTCGATATTGTTTTCACGAACGTGCAATGTCGACCAGTCTTGCCCCTTTCCTACTCTGTCGTTTCCCGACTTACTTCTCCATGACTTAAGGTATGGTCCACAACAAACAGACGGCGTTCCCGACTGTTAAATCTCTTCCGACAGTAATCATCCTTCCGACTGGACGTTTTGTCTTTAAGACACTCTATGCTCCTGCAGGCTGGCACAGTACGACTCCAGTGTGCAGACGGCCGCCGCGGTCCGTGCACGGCGGCCCGACTACCGGCCGCTTCCCGATCACGACTGGCTGTTCCGACCGCATGACCCCTCCCAGCCTCAGGTATTTCGCGAAGCGTCCTTACGCTTTTCCGCTGAGTCGGCTCTCTTTCTACACAGGTCGTACTCCCTCTTTTCCATCAACTCATCTCTCGCCATCTGCACACTATTATCCAGTCCTTCGGCCCTCCTCGAGCGCGTATGGTTCAAATCTTTTGACTGAAACTTTTTCAGCCCTTCTCTTTCATCCTTCAAAGATCAGAGAAAAAATGTGTCCGAAGCTTGAAGCGAACACATTTTCGTCTATCCGACGAGAAGTCGATTGATATGACTTGTACCTCGTGCGTACCTTGATAAATTGTACGGAGGCGGGTCCTTCAGCTCTACCGCCTCCGATCCGGCTTCCAAGGGTGCACGGCTTGAAATTATACATCTTTTGCAAGCAAACAACTCTCACTTCTGAAGCTTCGGATCAAATTTTGCGGCAGGCTAACGACGGGCGGCGTAGCCGTGTAGAGCTGCTGGCGGAGCTGCGCGATTTGAAGCGGCGCACCACGTCATACCGCGCCAAGAAGCAAAGGACGCCCCTGCAGGTGAGGGGGAAACGCGGGGTGATATATGTTATTAAAAGTCAATGACTCCCGATCCCGGGGTTTATCTACCTTTTCTTTTGTATAAGTCTGGTTTAACAGATTTGACGCAAGTTAAACCTCTTCAATCCATGGTAAAAGTGGTGGGAAGGTCCTAGGCGAACCTCCGCCCAATCTGCTCTTTGCTGGGGAAAACTTCAGCCTTTGGGAGATCGGAGCGGATACTCTTTCCCGGGAATGCTTCTGAACGGAACACTTCGCAGCGTATGGTTTCAGAAAGCTTCTTGCGAAGCGTCTCTTTACTGTGCGTCTCTGCAAGTTTTTCCATCTCTATCCCTCCTTCGGCTTTGTATGATGTTCCTTCACTCCATGCGACATACTGATTTAACTCGCTCATGTTCCGGCTTGATCTTTTCTCCTGATTTTCTCTTGCTACCCCGTAGCAAATCACGAGTCGAAGGCAGCCGCTTTTGTCTTTCAAGACGAAGCATACGAGAACCGTGGCCGCCCGACCGATTACAAGCCAACCCGGCACCCAACTTACGTCCCTTGCCCTTGCGAAGGTTCTGGGCCAATTGAGGATTTTCGCAGGCTGAGACACATCGGAGCGCTGAATCAATTGCCTACTCATTATGCAGAGCGCCCGAGATCTGATCGAGCTGCGAATGATGCAACTAGAGGAGGCGTTCGGTCCTGCCGGGGGGGCCAAGCAGAGAAGCGATGTGGAAAACGACCAGAAAAGAAGGGGTCCGGTGAGTTGGGACGAAGAAACTGAAAGGCGGGAACGAGAGAAGCCGGAAGCAGCGAGGGAGAGGTGGGAACGAGACAGGGGAGAAAAGGAGGGCGAGGCAAGAAGGAAACGAGAAAGAGGGACAGGCGTGAATTGGCACGAAAGTGAGCGACTAGTGGGAGAAAGATGGGGCGATGATTATCGGGAAACGGAACCAAGGGGAAGATTGGAGGATGACGAGGGTAGGGTGCGGGACGAGAGGCATCGCGAAAGGCGAGGGGAAGGGGAGACGCGCATTCCATATACGGAGCGTGAAGGACGAAAGTACGGCAAGAGTGAGGAGCGAAAACGGACAGGGAGAGACAGAACTGATAAATCAGAGTGGAGGAGTGGTAGACGCGAACAGCAAGAAACGGACGGACGGGATGCGCGGAGGGAGAGAGATGGCAGGGGGGATGAACGAGGATCTGGAAGTTTCGGGGGCGCGCGAGTGAGAGAGAGAGAACGGGGGGGTGCGGGGTGGGAAGGCAGTTATGAAGCAGGGGGTTCGAGAAGGTGGGCAGACGACGTCGAAGAGAAGGGGTCTGGGAGGTGGGGAGAGGAGGCTGACCTTATGGGGGGAAAAAGAAGAAGGAATGATTATTGAGTGGCGGGCAAGAATTGTACCGCAGGACGTTGTTCGATGGTCGAAATGCTTACAAATGGCGGCTTGCTTTGAATCACAGACGAAAGTGCCACCTTGGTGACTGTATAGAGCGACCGCCTAATAAGACAAATGTCAAGACGAAATCGCGCTCATACTTTCACGCTGTTGTTCTGCATCAGTGACCGGCAAAGGTGCACTGCAATCGGATGGCACAGCCCCGGATACGGTCAACTTAGTTTCTTACGAGGTTCATCATGGATTATTGCACTTGTTACATCTTGAAGTGGTCGGGGTGTTGGTCGGAAGTAGTCACTAGCTAGCTACCCACGACTGCTGTTCTCGAAAGCCCGTTGTATACAAACATTCAGGACTAGTGTGGGCCGACTTGCATACATTTTCAAATTTGATTCAGTAATTGATTAAGATACTATCATTGCTGCATGGGCTCAGTACAAGGCAGCACCGTTGTGGAAGTACGGTCAGTGCATGCAGCATGTCCAACATTCAGATCTCATTCTACGCAACGATTCGAAACCCGGAAATTATTGGTGCTGCCTGATTTTGGACGTATACTTACGTCCGCGACATGCAGGCTTTGATAATGCGTATGGCAAGCCTCCGCACAAGGCCTATTCTTGTGCGCGCTTGTAATGCACTTGATTAGGATAGCGCAATCTTTCGTATCCGTAATTGTAGTGGTCACTGTGCACCGTACCTAACTCTGCTAGCGGCACCTATAGCTAAGATTCAGTAATATCAGTTTGAAATATCCAAGTATAAATACACACTAGCCAAAACATTTGGTAATTGACAGACCAAACTCAAGACTTCATGCGCTAGCGACTGCGGCCGCGCTGCGACCTACTTTCACACATGCATCAGATCTGCTTCTTGACCGTTGCACCAAGTCAACAAAGTGATCATAATCAAGACGACACACCCTTTTCCTATGTCCCAAAACCGGGCTCCAAATCATCCATTTCGAGGGAGGCGTTTCGCCTTTCCAACTCAGCCCCCGAGATGCTCTGGTTGCTCAGCTCACTGTGACCGCTTTGATTGCTCAGCACGCCCCGGGACGCCCCCGACAAACCGGCGCTCCCGTCCGTGCTGATCCAGTCACTGCTGGGGCCAGGTGTCGCCAACGAGGATGGCGTGAAAATCGTCCCCAGGCGCAGCGCGGAAACGGGGTCCGTACCAGTGAGCATGCGGATGCACTCGCTCATGGTCGGCCGCAAGTTGACTTGCGTGTGTATGCAAAGGAGCGCGATCTGCACGAGATTCAAGATCTGAAACGTGAGCAGAGTGCAGCGCATGCAACGGGCAATTCTGCAGTCTGGTTAGCGATGCGGGGAAGGAAAGGTTGTCACGGCATGTGGCAGTGCCCGCTTGTTTGTGGCCGAGCTGACGCAGATTTGCCCTTCGTAAGCGTGTTGACCTTTGATTACCGTCGTAGCTCCCGCGGTGGCAGAATCCGTTTCGATCGGATGTCGCCAAAAAAGTGGCGCGTATGGTCTGCGGCGACAAGAACAACAATGCACGTGCTTCTTGGTCGCCAAATGCAGATGCCACTGCGTGCGCGTTTGTCTTGCGAAACCAGAAGGTTCATCTCTAGAGGCCGGCAGAAATATCTTCGGAAAACGGGTCGCTTCTACTCGCCGAATGAGTAGGTCTTCGAAAGACGAGAGCCCAAGGCGCACGGCAAAAGCTCACCCTTGTAACCCTGTCGATGGCCGTGGCATGTTCCTTTAACGCTGACGTCAGCCTGACGTCGAGCAGCTCCCGGAGCGCGTCCGCTTCCGCCAGGGTCCAAGCCCACTCGATGAGGTAAACCTGGAGCAGCTCTCGTTCAGTCGATAGCCGAAGAGTGCGCCCGGCACAGATTCGGAGACAGTCGTGAACGTCATTCTGACATCTCGATTGCCTTTGTTCGTTTTGAAATCATTGCTTTTAGCCGGAACGAGAAAAGCATGGGCTCCCGCAAATGAATCGGACACACTGACATCCAATAGGGCTGCAGATTCCGACCCAAAAGGCCATCAGTTCTCACAATCTATGTCGGATTAGCATGACAACTGCGCCGCTCCATGTCGCTCCGAATCCTACCTAAAGGAGGCGGTGTCAGTCGGCAAGTTCGCTAAGGGCGCCGAGATAGCCTCAATTAGGAGTTTCCGCAAAGGGCTAATACTCTGAACTCCAAGACCACGTGAAGAAGCCTGCCAGCTGGATGGAACTCCCAGCTGAAACCCAAAAATGCGTAATTTAAATTCCCGCCCTGCAACGATTCAGCTCTTGAAGGAAAGATCGTTCCAATTTTCTTTTCAATGGACTGATGCGAGTCAAGCTCGGCGGGCAATCACTTTGTCCTGTTCTTCGAGGGGCTCTATCGGCCGCCGTCCTGCAATCAACGTCAGCAGGACCACCCCGAAGCTGTACACGTCACTTTTGTCGGTCAGGCGGCCGGATGTCGCATACTCGGGCGCCATGAAGCCCCACGTGCCGGCGATGCCTGAAGGCAAAACGGATTGGTTGTGCGAGCGCCGCCAGCGAATGCATGCGTCTCTTCAAAGAGCGGGTGCTCCGTTTCCTTTGAGAAGGCTTTCACAATGTCGATGGAAAAAGTTCCATTCTTGAAAATACGACTATGCACAGTGCAAGCGAACCGACACGCGCAGAAACCTGAGAGAAGCGTTTGCATTGGGTCTGAAGCACACTTCCAAAGCGCACTTCCAAAGTTCTTAGGTTTCATTTGAGCAGTCTTAGAGGACACCCAGCAGGGGAAGCCGGGACGAAAGTATGTCGAAAGAGAACCATCGGAGCTCTGGCGTGTTCCAATACAGTCGTTTTCGAAGCCCAACAAGAAGTTCCGCCGGCTGGAAAAGGTGAAGCGGCTATAAAAACAAAGAAACGTGCCTGAAACGCTCTGGCAGAAATGAAGCTCTCTGCAACGAAGTCGATTCAATGTGTAAGGACCAGTACGGCGAAAGGTTCCGGACACGGCTCTGATTGTGTCCGCAGTCCAAGACAGGGCTAAAGAAATTGTCACGCACACATTCGCCCATAAGCTAGATCCTCAGCACCTCGAGATGGGACTCTATCACAGCGACTATGCACGGCCGTTGTTCTGGGTTCCTTCCGGGGGCAGATCTTTGTTTGCCCTTCGGAAAGGAAGTCTAGCTTGCGCCGGAAAAGGTGCGAGCACTGTGCTTGTACAGGCTTTCTATTTCGTAGTTTCTAAGCATCTCCGTTCTGTCAGATCCTTCCCATGGCACCGTTCAACTTGAAAGCGAATTCGAATATTGCGATCTTTACGCAGGAGCACTGCGCGGTCCGCAAAGACGAAAAAGGAAAACGAAGCAGTGTCCTGAGACTCACTTGCAGTGAGGTGGGTGTCGCCGTCCGCGGTCAGCTTGGCCAGTCCAAAGTCGGCGACCTTGGCCTCGAAGTCGGAGTCCAACAAGATGTTGCTCGGCTTGATGTCACGGTGGAGAATGCGGGGCTTGCAACCCTGCGAAGATTGCAAGGCGTTTCCGTAAATCAAAGCCCGTTCTAAAAGAGCGTCTGCGCGACACCATCACCGGGCAGTTTGAGCAAAGCCAAGTGCTCGGGGGGGGCGAAAATGCTGACACTACTATTTTGGCGACAGGCTCCACTAACCATGCTCCTTCGTCGCTATGTGTGGCACTACCGGGGCCAAGACGTCCTTTCTAGAGTCAAAGATGGTTCGAAACTCGTGGAATGAACGGATTGAAACGACAAAATGCGCAGAGATGAAGGCGCCTCAACAAGACAGACTTGGAAAGCAGAGTTTTGATACGTTGCGTTTAGCCCAGCCTCTCGTCTCATCTTCCAAGCGAGCTTTCGGGGAGTGTAGTGCTTGGAAGTCGATTGGCAGTCTGCCCCACCTCATGGAGGAACGCCAACCCTTTGGCTGCCCCGAGCGCAATCTTCATTCTCGTCGGCCAATCCAGAAAGCGGGGTTGACCCCCGTTCTGTGTCACGTGTGCCCCTCCTCGTGGCCGGTACAAATGTGCATCTAGACTCCCGTTCTCCATGAACTCGTGAACCAAGATATCTGCGCAAAGGTGGCGGGAGTGGGCGTCTTTGCACTCCTACCCGCAAGAAGCTACTTTGCTGAACTTTGAGGTAGGTCATGTCTCCTCTCCCGTGCAGCGTGCCAATCCTCGCAGATTGCATCGTTTGAACGCAATTGAAATCGTCAGAAGTACACTCAGTTACAGATGGGCTAGTCGACAGGTGGAAGTGCAAACAAAGGTGCCTGGAAACGAAGCTGTCACGAACGAACTCAAAGGATCGACGACACTGATGCGACCAGATACGAGGGCCATAGACGGAGAGTCTGACTGTTTTTGCCCCACATGAGTCTGGGCTTACTCAAGTTGCAAACTTCTGCAGTCATGACAATACCGTGGCTGTTACCCAGCCAAAGGTCTAGACGTCAAACCAGTCATTCTGCGGATGCTCCACCAAAGGACTTGAGCATCCGTAAGACAACAGAAGGCAGCAAGAAATGGCACAAGTCACCGTGGTCTTAGCAAATCGCACCTCAGACATTAGCAAGCAATGACGAAGGTACTGACCGTGCTGATACTGAAAAGGATTGATAAAGTGGCGAGCGCGACTTTGGAGCCGAAGCTTACAGTGCTTCGGTGAGTTGCAGCAGCCTTCCAGGCTGACCAAATGACGATGTCGGCAGCGCGCCATCGACAGCACCTCGTTTTGAAACTCCTGCAGCAGAGTGCGTAGACTCAAGCACAGGTCAATTTTGGTGAAGGCCTCAAGGGGCGGACGACACGACTCCCTTGTGCCTGGCGTTGCGAAAGTCCGGCCAGGGAAAGGGAGAGGGCGGGGTCAGGTACCGGTCGCTCCGGACTGGGTGACGTATTACAGGTGAAAGGTAGAATATTCCATATCATTACAGATGGTCTGTCCTTTGGTCTGTCAAGGACAGGAACAGTGCTTGGCTTATGAGCTTCAGACTTGTTGTCAATCCTAGCGGAAAATCGAAAACCTCTCGACCTCTGATAGTCCCAGCTCAATCGCGTCTCCTGCAAGGGAACTTTGTAGGTTACGCGTCTTCGGCTCCTCAGCATCAGGTGTCCTCTCCCCCATAATCGAAGGGCGAAAAAAGGCCTTTGCAACAGACACAACGGTCAGGTCGACCGTAGCTTTCTCTTACACACCAGCTTTGAAACAGCCCATGAACTCGCCTTAGCCAGCAGAAGAAAACGCCCCACCTTGGCCCCTCCTGCAAGGGTCTCCCTGCTGATGACTTTTACGGCGACCCGCTTGCTCCGGAGCTCCCCCATGAACACCTTTCCCGAGCCGCCCTGGCCGAGCAACCGGGTCTCATCGAAATTTTTGGTCGCCCTTCTCAACGCGGAGTAAGTGAAGCTTTCTAAAGTAAGCCCGGGGATTCCTGTCCACTGCTTTGAGCCCTTGATCCCGCTGCCGAGACACCCGTCTAATCCCTTGTTCGGTAAACGCCTTTTGTAGACGGAGGCAGTTACGAAGACTATGATTAAGAAGGCGATGCAACTAAAGACGATCCCGGTTATTGCTGACGGTGTCAATGTGCGCGAAGTTTGGATCAAAACACCGAGCGCGAGCGGGGCCGGGTAAGAAAGAAGGCAGTTCAGGCGGGCGGAGATGTCGCTCAGGGAGTCATAACGCATAAGGTAGTGGCTCATCACCATGTTCGCACACAGCCACAGAATCCGGGGGTTGGAAGAGTTTGCTAGATACGCCGTCGTGCTTTCTAGTTGCATTTGACAGGTGTTGTTGGAGCAGTTGGCTTGAATTGGGTTGCACGCATCCATCAAAGGCCCGAGAAGTTGATCAGGGATCCGGGCGTCGAAGTTGGAATAATTGTAGCATCCGGCCGCGAAGAGGAAAGGGAATGGTCCAAGCTGGCATCGCTCAACGACAAAGCTCGTCATGACACCCGCTTTGACCAAGCGGGAGTTGACGGCAGCGCTGCATGCTTGGGCCTGATCCTGCAATCATAGATTGGACTTTGCCTCGCTTTTGGCTGACTTTACTTGCAACTAATCAGGAAAAGTTTGGGTTTTTCCGAGGGTCAATGGATCCAAATATATGATTGGACGTACGGCGCTCTCTGAAGCTCTGCTTGCTGTGTCAGACAGGGAAAGTAATCTAGATGCAGACGTTCCCAACACCTCCAAGGAACTGAAGGAAAGAGGGCCGGATGAGTTCGAGGGCAGAAACTGGATTCAAAGGACCAGCTACTCCACTCTCAATATAAAGGTGCAACAATTTATTTCATTGGGTTGGCAGATAATCAAGCGTCGTTTGGGTTGAGGAGGTGAACTACTGTGTTAGGGCAAAAAACGTTCGTTTTCATCGCGGGGGGGTAATTGACGCAGACAGAAAATGCAGAGGCACCACCTTATTTGGTGCCTGACAGCAACGCCATCTGTTTCCAAGATGGATAGTTAAGGCACGCAACTGGCGAAAGCAATCAAGCGGATACTGACCACGCTGGGTCAAAGTTGCATATGAAGAGGGCAGTCATCGAGCAGTTCAGATGGACGGGATGCTTAACAATCATGACTCGGAAGCAGGAGCAGACGATACATAGACGAGAAACGTACGTCGTCTTAAAGCGAGGCAACTCCGCGGTTGGGACGTTGTAACGTCCGAGCGGTTTTTGTATTTGTCAGCGGTTTATTCGAGGCATACCTACGTCCGTAGAATGCGCCTGCACGTTTATGCAGGCTAAAATCGGAGGTTTGATCCTGAGGGTCAATTCAACCATGCCAGATGTTGATAGTTGAGCGAAGTTTGTAACAGGAGAAATTGGCTTCAAATAAACCAGCATAGCCTTTGTCCAGATTTGCCGAGATAGGATTCGGTTCGGCGCAACGCCAAAGCGAGATTCATAGGAAATTGAGGAAATGTATCATATGTGTGAGAGCGCCAGACCCACGGCTGACACGCTCAGATAGCAACCCTCACGTTCCCTACTTGATTTCTGAGGTCTCAGGTTGACGGAACCCAAGAAGTAACCATAAAGGACAAGATTCAACTCAACCCAGCCTTGATAACTTTGTTCAATCAAGCGTGTGCAAGACAGACTTATGGAGACGAGTTGAATTCACCTGCGGTATGGAGTGGCCGGTTTGGTTGGCATAGATGCTGTGCGCTTGGCCGGCAATGCCGAGCATCAAATCGCAACATCGGTCACTGCGGATCTGAGCCGACCCACAACTGAGGGCCACCGACGAGAAGTCTATCTCGTCCAAGTTCAAGGCGTCACAGACCGGCGACTGGTCCAGCTTCACAATGGGCACTTGGCGGATGCACCCCGAGATTCCGTTTGCAACCACAACAGGATACGCCGCAGCAGTCATCGCAATCTCGCCCAGTACTGAGAGCGAGAGGGGTTAGGATGTCAGAGATTGTTGCTGGTTAAGAGTCCGAAATCTGTGGATGAGAAGAATCAAGTTGCTTGGAAGGAGGAGTGGGGTTCGTCGAGCCTGGGTTTGTGCGGGTACAACAGAAAGGGACGAAGGTGGAAGAATGGTCGGCAGAGATTCAGACCTCGTCGAAGTTTGAAGCGAAGAAGCTAACAAGATTATTGACAAGAATGCCTCAGTGAACTGAATATGATAGTCTAGAGTCAAAGCCTTCCTCACAACCTCTCGGTTGCAGGAAAGTGTCGTCTTCAATTGCGGCGCAGAGCAACAACCTTTATGAGGAGCACTTTCGTTGCGATTGTGTGTGCAAGTGGAACGGCTTGTCATGAGTAGCTAAGTAAGGGACTTTAATTTTGGGAGAGAAACTTATTTTACCATCTGCAAGCCCCCAGGTGCGCTAGTATAGACGTATAGGCTCGTCCTACTTTGACTTTTTTCACAGAGCCAGATCTTGTAACAACCCTAGTCACCCTGGCAATGAGCTGCAAGTTGGAAAATGAAGTGTAGCCACTCGCCTTGGCAAGCGGGGGTGGTAAGCAAAGTCGCGTTGCCCCTCAGAGAGGCAATCTTTGCGTTGACTTGGGCCGTACACGCCGCCAGTCGCCTGTTTAAAAGCACGAGGCTCCCGCAAGGCCTGGCAGAATGCATGCAAAGTCTTGTTTCACCGCCATGAAAGCCTTTTTACGAATGATAGTAGGCTTAAGTTCACATCTGCGCAGGTGACGTCGATTTTGGGGGGAGTTTTGAGCCACGCCACAGACCAGCTTGTCTCCAGCCTTTCCTATTCGGCAAACGCACTGAAGTGGACAATCCTCCAACATGTGTGTTAGTTCAGCAAAAAGTCTACTTAATCAGAGACTTTGCAGCGGTGAGGCCAGCTGACCTGTGCCTAGCTTGTATCTAAAGTGCAGCCCTTACAGCATGAGTCACACATTGGAAAGGCACGCACCTGGAAAGCTGTGATTGGACGCTTACCAAAAGTCTCGAACTGTCAAAAGCTCGGCTCCGCATGGAACTCCGCTCTCAATCGAAAGGAAAGTGCTGTTGATGCCGCATGTGGCAAACAACTGGTCAGCACCGGGAGCAAATGCCTCTGCGGATGCCTGCGAGGGAAAGCTGACGGCCAGTGTCAGTGTACGGTCCTCTGGTCGGTAGTGCTATTTTCACTAGCTGTTTGATTCGCAATCAAGGTAAAGGACCGAAGAACTTGATTTTACCAAGCTAAGGCAATCTACGAGGGAAGCCTTTTAAGAAAGTATAATTCCAGGTGATGCAAAGCTTCCGAATGCCTGAGACTCGACCATTGACTAGCTTCTTGCTACCAGAGCAAACATTTGAGTTGGATGCTGTCTTTCGTGTAAGTAAAGGCATGTTAAACCACAGGACCCTGGAATCCTCCGAGGATCAATGAACATTGCAGAGAAAGTCTGGTCACTGCCAACTCGCGTCCCCATGATGCGAGCAACATTGAAAGAACTCATCATGTTCCGTAGAGCAGAGATCCAAACCTTCCTTTCTATTCCAAAAAGCCCATGCTGGTTTGTAAGGGCAGCCCCTAGCAGAAACGCACCTTGATGCATGCATCAGCGGATGACTGCGGCAGCAACAGGACTCCGGTCTCATTCGCTAGCTCACCCTGCTCTGAAAGATGAGCCCCTCCAGAGCGCTGCAGCATGACGGGCTAAGGACAGGGTCCTTCGCTTGGAAGTCTACAAAGGAGAAAGATCAATTTTGCAACTCGCATGATATCTTTTGGAGGGCCCCTTGTTGATTTCCTTCCCAGATGCATACGATGCGCTTTCACCACCCACAGTGCTTGGTCTTGTTGGAGCTTTATGCACAGCAAAGCCAAAAGAAGGGATGTTGAGAATGTCAATGACTTCAAGAGGAGAATAAAAAGTCACTTTATCAGTGCTGATCCAATCACCGACGTCTACCTCCGAAGGATTTTTATCAACTGGCGCAGATTGGCAGAGCTTGAAAGGTGTTAAGCTACCTTGCAATAGCCGCAAAGCTCAGATTGAAGGAAGCTGCACAGCCTTTATAAGCACAAAAACGGCTTCCCAGATGTCCAAGCGTGTAACGAGGTGCTTTTACTGAAAGAGACATGCATCATCCACATGTGCATTCACATATGCACACTGCAGAAAGTTCTTATGCACTGGGAATGAGAAAGCCTGTAGCAGGGCCTGGATGTTGAGAGGTCTCACAAGAGAAGATATCTTTCAAAGAAAGAGCTTATGGAATGCTCCCACAGCACAAAGACAGGTACAAATCAATCAATCTCCGATCATTGATTTACAATCATTCTGCTTGCACCACCTTGTACATTCTTGCCCTGGAGGAGACACTCGAAGCTTCAGCAACAAACAAGTCAGACTATCCAATCCTTGATTAGACGGAAGCGACTAGCTTCTAGTTGGAATAACACGTCTGAGGCATGCTCACCTGCGGGGCAAAAACCCTGGGCGTACTTGACGTTGACCTTCTGGAAGACGTAAGGGCATTGACCTGGAGGAATGGCAGGGCCAGGACTAGGGCCTGTAACGACATAATCTGAACTCACAAGGCCTATCCAAAATGCTAATGCTGCAAACAGACAAGAGGCCTCCCTTGCCCCCATCTGAAATCGTCAGGATGGAACCGCAAAGCTGTCTTGCCGCATCTTCTCAGGCTATTCACTTGGGCTCAGAGGAATATTTTATCATCTCCAATGTAAAGAACAATGTTCTCGCAAGCGGCCTGATCATTCCCCACTAGGGCATGCCGTCAAACAGAATGGCTAGGCTTGGCGTCTTCAGCCTGAGCTCCTGCTGATGATCTGTAATCGACAATCTGCGCCTGTCTGCACCTGGGTCCTGAACAGCGATACATGTGGCAGCTTCGCAACGACAAGTTCGCAAGCAACGACTCAAGACCTTCTAATAACCCTATTGGATCCTCAACTTGGTAGTCGCCGAGAGCGGCCTTGCGAGAGCTTCCCAGTACCGTTAGCTATGCAGCCTATTATTGCCTGTGTAGATATGCATCTTCGTGCACAGGCGAGAGGACCCCCTTGCCCCTAGCTGCATTCATGCCAGGCCAGGACGTAGCCAATTACTGTAGAGTTCACTGTTCAGCCGCCATCTGCATTATTCATCTAGCTTGTATAATCAGGAGGCTGCTTGATCAAGCCTCGGCCCTCAAGGGTCGCCTGCTGAAATAGAGGCCGCCGGGCGTCCGGCCGGATAATTCTCAAGAAAGATAATAGTAAGCCAAGATAATAGTAAGCTTCGACTAACACTAAAAACCCTAACCTTAAAATTAAACACCCGCTCAGCACCCGTATCCACCCTAACCACCATACTAACCCTACCCGTCACAGTACGGTTACCTTACTATTGTCTCGGCTTACCATCATTTCTCTTGAGTTTCATGCCGGCCGGGCACAGACAAGATTCGATCAGCGCAGCCAGCTGGCAAAAGGAGAATTAAGAGAGGGAGCCCTTATGACGACAGATCGAGGTCAGATGTCGTCATTGCGATTATTACTGATTCCTGACCACAGTGAATAGTAGTGAGTCCGCCAATCTCAATTGCCAGGCCAGCATGATGGTCAAATTTGGAGCTCGACGGGAGTTTTTGGGGTGGAAGGTGGGCAGACGATGTCGTCGGAAGAGGAAGGGACTGGAAGGAAGGGGGAGGAGGCCAACGAAACGTCGAAGGAAAGAAGAAGGATCGGGGTCGATTACTCAATGTATGGTGGTCACAGAGCTAATAGCAGGACGTTGTTTGCAACTTCGGCACCCACATAAGCTGCAGCAACGTTGTAAAGCAATCCACGTCAAACGAGGGCTGAAAGGATCGAGGACACCGAAAGGCTCTCAGTTGCCCTATAAGGTTTTGTACGGCAGAATACTCTGTTCAATGTCGAGCGTCAGTGGGCGGCATGCTGCATGATCATGTAATTAGTAGTGACTCCGGTCAAAAGAGCGTGCTCAGGTTGACGGAGATTCCGGCCGGACTGGTTCACGCACTCGCATACAATCTTCGATCGCAAGCTTCAATCTGCAACCGTTAGGTGTACATGGTTAACAAGCCTACAAGCGATCAATTGTCTTAGGATCCGGGGTTGTACCCCAATATCCCAATACCTAGTTTGCACCCGGTAAAATTCAGATTCAGAACAAATATTACAGAAACAATTCCTTAGGGCTAGTATTGGGGCTACGCTAATCATACTGCCGGCATTGAATAGAAACTGACTGGGGTCACTCCGTGTTCTTGTTCTTAACGCATTGAATGCAGCGCCCTTGCGCGGCTGCTCGTGACCGCTCGCCCCTGGTGTCATCCGGTCGCAAAACTTTCAAACGCTGACTCCTAGCTCCATCTCTGGAAGCAGAATACTACCATACAACTCAAAATATCTAGTATTCAACAGCCAAAAACGAGTGTGCTAGAAGAACAAGACCGCGCTGCGGCGTGCTCTGGCACTTTCTTCGTTTCTTGGAAGTCATACCGAGTTTGTCATCAAACACACTATCATGCTACGTCCCCATGCCGGGCTCCAAGTCATCCGCTTCGATGCCCCCGGTCCGTCCGGCGAACTCAATCTTCGACAAGCTCTGGTTGCTCAACATGCTGTGCCCGCTAACCACGCTCTGGTTACTTAACACCCCCCGGGAAACCCCCGACCACCCGGCGCTCCCGTCCGTGCTGTTCCAGTCACTGCTGGGTCCCGGTGTCGCTAACGAGGATGGCGTGAAAATCAGCCCCGGGCGGAGGGCTGGCACTGGGGCCTTACCGGTGAGCATGGCGATGCACTCGACCATGGTCGGCCGCAGGTTGACTTGCGAGTGTATGCAAAGAAGCGCGATCTGCAATAAAGAGAAGAGTGTGAGCGGAGGGCGCGCATGCAACCCACATTTTGCAGTCTGTCTGCTTACGACGCAGGGAAGGAAAGAGGTCGGGGAACGTTGCGGTGGCCGGTTTTTCGTGACGGCGGAGATGCACTTTCGTCCGTTATAAGGGGCTTTGGCTTCTGAGAGCTGACGTGGCTGGCGCGGCCATCTCTGACCGCACGGTTTGGCAGGTTTGAGATTGCGGCGACAATACGAGACAGCGTAGTAGGTGCTCTCGTCGCCAGTTGCGGATGCAACTGTACTTCATTTGAAGCGAGACCTGATGGTTCATATCAGAGGCCGGGCCAACTTTTAACGAGCACGAGCACCCGAGTGCTTTCGTTTTCAGGCGGACGTATCTCCCAGAGTTTGAGAAGGTGCGTGCCGTTAGAACAGCCGAACGAAGCGCGTCCACAGCTCACCCGTGTGACGTTGTCGATGGCCGCGGCGTGTTCCTTCAGCGCTGACGTCAGCCTGACGTCTAGCAGCTCCGGCAGTGCGTCCGCTTCCGCCAAGGTCCAAGCCCACTCGATGAGGTAAACCTGGAGCAACTCTAGTTCAGTCGGCGGTCGAAAGAGTGCACGCGTCAAAGGCGTTTCAACAAAGGTGACGTCGTGCTGACGTCTTGGAGCGTGAAGCTTAAATCCAATGCTCTCAGCCGGTCGGTAATCGCAAACAATCCAACCATTGGAAGCGGACAAATGAATAGCAGCAGAGCAGCACGGAGAGCAAAGACGATTGCCCATCTGATTTCCACAATCTGTTCGGACATGGAAGGAAACTTCCGCTCTCCATATCGCTCAAAAGAGGGATCTGACTCAGGAGGCGGAGTAAATTTGTTCTTGGTTGCTATACCAAATCTGCATCAGGGGATTCCGCGGGATACGACCCGCAGAGACTGAACCCAAGAACGTGCGAGGAAGCTTGCCACGAGTGGCTGCGCAGAACTAAGATCAGCAAGATTGGAAAGTTCTCACACATCCGCCTGGCAGAAGCTCAATTCACGAAGCCAACCAGATTCCACGTACCGAAACATTCTTCACGGAACGATCAGGCTCGGCGGAGTCTCACCTTGTCCTGCGCTTCGAGGGGCTCTATCGGCCGCCGTCCCGCAACCAACGTCAGCAGAACCACCCCGAAGCTGTACACGTCACTCTTGTCGGTCAGGCGGCCGGATGACGCGTACTCGGGCGCCATAAAGCCCCACGTGCCGGCGATGCCTGAACAGGAACAGGATAGGTTAGCGCGAGCGCCGCCTGCGAATGCATGCGTCTCCTGAAAGAGCGGAATACCCTTTGAGAAGGCTTTTAGAAGTTTGGGGTTGCCTTGGGAAGACATGGGAACACCGTGCAGAGCACCCGGGGACTCAAGAAAGAGGTCCGAGCACTGTTCTTGGACAGCCTTCACTCCCTTCGCTGCGCGTTCCCGTCCAGGGTCAGACTTTTACCGTCAGCACTTAACCTAACCGATTGAAAGTCTGCCTGACTGAAGCCGAAGCACTGCACTATCGGATGAAAACAAAGACGGAAGCCAAAAGCATTGTCTGGAGACTCACTCGCGGTGAGGTGGGTGTCGCCGTCCGTAGTCAGCTTGGCCAGTCCAAAGTCGGCGACCTTGGCCTCAAAATCGGAGTCCAAGAGAATGTTGCTCGGCTTGATGTCGCGGTGAAGGATGCGGGGCTTGCAACCCTGCGAGCGCGTTTCGTGGTATGTTTCGTGTTGATAGAAGAGCATTTGTCGGTGCCAATGTCTTCGGAATCTCTTGACAGCCTTCCTTTTGAACCGCCAAGTTTCTGTCCCTCAGAATCAATCGAGGAGGATCGACGCCATGAGAGCAGGGTTGGAAGGCATTTGAGATGCGCACGTGAGATTTCTTTCTTGGCCACCTTCGGATCATCCAGAAGACTTCACAATTCACGTCACTCAGCTTCAGCAAAAGGAGATCTTCTGGTAAAAGCGCGTTTCAAATGCAATGATGCTTCGAACCCGTACGTTTGACTTCTCGAGCTGCTCAAGGGTCAGAAAAGATCAAGGCGCCTCAAGCTGAAACTGGTCCTTTGACCGTCAAATGAAGAAGAGTCAGTACGCACGTTTCTGGTGGTTTGACACAAGCATCCTTTTGTAAGTCAACTGGACAGATGTGTCAAGAACAGTTGCGAGTAAGGCCAAGTCGTCCGTCAAACCCCCCGAGACATTGCCGTCGTAAACCAGGGTCGAAGTGGTAAAGGGCAATGAACACGAACCCCACCGGACAATCTGGAGGGTGGAATCTGGGGGCTGCCCTCGTTGACCGACGGTTCCAAAGCTTTGTTGCCAGGCCCACGAGCGGGCCTTAAATGACCCAGTAGACAAGCTTCATATCACATTGCATTGTGACGGTATAAACTCAGCCCTCAAGCCAGCTTTCAATGAGTGCAGTGCTTGGGAGTCAAAGAACGGCCCTACCTCATGGAGGAAAGCCAACCCTTGAGCTGCCCCGAGTGCAATCTTCATTCTTGTCGGCCAGTCCAGGAAGCGGGTTTGGGCTCCGTCTGGTGTGTTGTGTGCCCCTCCTCTTGGCGGGTACAAATGGTCGTCTAGACTCCCGTTCTCCATGAACTCGTAGACCAAGACATCTGCGCAAATGCGACGGGACAGGGCGTCTTTGCATCTAGACCAGAAGGACGCTACTTGGTGCGGACATCTGAGATTGGTCATGCGTTCTTTCTCGTGCAGCGTGCCGTAACCGACAATAGGTGACCGGCCGAATACAAGTCATCTATCTCATCTTTCACATGGGCTACGACAGCATTTGATTAAGAAGCAATTCGCAAAGTTTGAGATCAACTATCTACTATCAGATGTCAACGCTTGACGACTCATTGAGGCGCCCAGTTGAGAGTTGCTAAATTATAAGTCGTCTGCTCTTTGCCTTCCGAGCTTGAATCTATTAGGCTGCATCTTTCGGCAGCTACGATACAACGGTGGCTGTGTTTGGACATAGAAATGGGGGAGGGCGGGACACGAACCAGTCACTCTGCGGCTGCTCGAATCTCACATCTCGAACCTTTTGAGCATCCGTCTAAGGTAACAGAAGGCAGTACAAATAACACAAGTCACCGTGGTCTCAGCAAGACACGCCTCCATCATAAGCAAGCAGGCAAGCAAGGAAGATATGATACCTGATTGTACCGGTACTCATTAAGGAGAGAGTGAGATTCCGAGCCCGACGTTGGACCCAAAGCTTACAGTTTCGTGGGGAGTTGCAGCAGCCTTCGAGGCTGACCAGGTGACGATGACGGCAACGCGCCATCGACAACACCTCGTTTTGAAACTCCTGCAAGAAAGCAGAGATTGAGCAGGCTCATTTGCGTGAAGGCCTCAAGCGGCTCACAACAAGACTCTATTCTGTCAGCTGCTGCGAAAGTCCATCCCGATCAATGTGGTGAACAGTAACAGCCAGTGAACAGTAACGGAGACGGGTAGGGTTAGTTAGGGAGTTAGGGTGGGTATGGGTGCGGAGCGGGTGATCTTTTGGGTTAGGGTTTTAAAGAGGATTACCTACGAAGGAAAGGGCGGATTCACACTTCATTTGAGACTGGGTAAAACCGAGGGCCGAACGAAACCAGCTGATATTTAGAAGGCATTGTGACACTCACAACTGCAGAGAAATGGGAGAAAGAAAGGAGGCGGGCGCGCAATCTTCAAATTCAGAAGACACGAAGGGAAGACGAATACCTATTTTCGGCCTCGAGAACGTTGAAGAGTAATTGACCGTTGGGACGCAAAGGAGCGAGACTATAAGCTCGGCGCTCTGGCCGGCATTCAGCCTTCTTCTCCGAGCCAGACAAGTTAAAGTCAGTGTCACTTTTTCTCCAAACGCATACCAGGGACAGATTTTGCAGGTTTTCGTCTTCGGCTCCTCAGCCTGCGGTTTCCTCTCTGCCAAAATAATGGGCAAGTGAAGGCCTCTACGCCAGACACTTAGTCAGGTCAACCAGGACCCACTATCACCTTCTTCTTCCTCCTATACCGCTTTCGAAACAGCCGTAGAGTCGCCCGAGCCAAAAGACAAAAAAGCCTCACCTTGGCGCCTCCCGCAAGGGCTTCTCTGGTGATGACTTTGACGGCGACCAGCTTGCCCCGGAGCTCTCCCATGAACACCTTCCCCGAGCCACCCCGCCCCAGCAACCGGTCCTCACTAAAGTTTTTGGTCGCCCTTTTTAAGGTAGAGAAACTGTAGCTTTCTAACGTGAGCCCGGGGATCCCCGTCCATTGCTTTGAGCTCTTCGTCCCGCCGCCGAGACACTCATCGAAACCGTCCTTCAAGGAGCGCCTCTTGTAGACGACAACAACGACTGCGACTATGAGCACCACTGCAACGCAAGTGGCGATGATCGCAGCTATTGCTGACGTCGTCAAGGCGCTCGACTTTGGGGCCAGGACGCCAAGCGCGAGCGGCTCCGGGTAATAGATGATGCAGTTCAGGCGGGCGGTGATCTCGCTCAAAGAGTCGAACCGCGAGAGGTACTGAATCAACACCATGATATTGCACAGGTTGTAAACCTGGGGGTCAGACGAGTTCGCTAGGAACGTCGACGCGATGTCGAACTGCGCCTGGCAGATGCTGTTGGAGCAGTTGGCTTGGTTAGGGGTGCACGCGTCCCCCGAAGGCAGCAGAAGGCGGTCGGGGATCCGGGCGTCGAAGTTGGAGTAGTTGTAGCAGCCGACCGAGAAGAGGAGCGGGAATGGCGTCAGGTTGCATCGCTGATACACGCTTGTCGTGACGCCCGCTTTGGTTAGGCGCGCGTCGACTTCGGCGAGGCACGGTTGGGCCTGGTCCTGCAGGGAGTATCAATCTTGAATGAGTTGTTTGGGCGTTATCGCACCTTAAGTTTAGCTCCAACTGGAGTGGAGGACTCGGTCACTCAAAAGGATGGAAGTCTTGAACCTTGAGCTAGTCCCATTCCTGAATAATTTGATCCTACGGCCTGTTTTGATTTGAAGTACTCCATGGAAAAAGTGGGTTTGTCCAATGGTTTTGAGTGGGTCAGGATTAAGAGCTACTACGCCTTTCCCTGAGCACTGCGACTGAGGATCAAATGCGAAGGTGTTGATGCGGACGGAAGGGCCGGTGGGTGGGATAAGGAAGACATCCAGACTACTGAGACCTGTTGTGGTGCGGTTCTGTGACGATTGAGCAACCCTCGTAAAGGTGGCCGTGAGTACTGCCTTTTTTGATTTGAGGATGTAAGCATTTATCCTGACAGTGACGAAGACGACGAGGCACCACCTTTAGTTGGTGCAACAATGCGAACGCGAATGAGCCAAGCAACCGTCGATTGGTCTGACTCGTACCCACCGCGCTAAGTAATAGATGAAGCAGATACAGCCAGCTAACCAACTACAGACCAACGCGAACTTACAACAATGAAGCAGGACCGACTTTTGGTTTTAAGGACGCGGTACGGCAAGCTTGTGATCTTTTCACGTCTGATCCTTTTGCGGGGTTTGTCCACCCGAAAATGAGCAATACCTACTGGGAAGTCCGCCTGCAAATCCTGGGCGGGGAAACATCTTCAGTCCAATCTTAGGCTTGTTTACCCTAGATTGATCAATACCTACTGTAAAACCCGCCTGCAAAACCTGATTGGAAAGGAGTGAAGTTCAAGACTCGCTCGCAACAGGTCATGTCGGCGACGCCAGATATTTCAAAGTTGGGGGCAACTTTGCCACAAACATATGCAGGCTTCAAAGTATCTACAGATGCAAACGAAGAAACATGAAATCAAACCATATTCACCTGTGGCATTGGATGGCCGGTGCGGTTGGCGTAGATGCTAAGCGCCTGGCCGCCGATGCCCAACAACAGATCGCAGCACCGGTCACTGCGTATCTGCGCCGACCCGCAACTGAGGGCTACCGAAGAGAAGTCGATCTCGTCCCAGTTCAAGGAGTCGCAGACCGGCGACTGGTCCAGCTTGAGAATCGGCACTTTCTTGACGCACCCCGAGATCCCGTTGGCAACCACGACGGGGTAAGCCGCAGCCGTCATTGCGATCTGGCCGAGTGCTGTGGAAGAAAGCAGTCGAGAACGTTCAAAAGAGTTGAACCTTATTCGGTGAGGAGTCGAGAGCTGTGCTCGGGAGAAATGAATTTGCTTGGATCTCCTGTGGCTGGATGTCGGGGGTGGGTTCTGATAAACGAAAGGCTTGTCCCTAGGTGCGAAGTGCAGTCTCCTAGAAGGGTTAGCGTAAGGTTGCATGGCACGTCAGAAAGGGACAGATTCTGAAGGACGATCATAAATACGTTGCATGGTCTGTTCCATTGACACATCCTGCTGACATAAAAGACTAAGTCCCCAACTTCAAAAGGAGAGTTCCCTCGCTGCCTGTCTGACCGCAGAGACGTTGAGAGATCAACAAGGATTTCAGGGCAACGAAAATTTTGGAACTGATGCCAAGACATCTGGGAGACATGGAAGAGTGCAACCTTCACCAGACGTTACACAAGAGTCAGGCGAAGGGACTACCGCTGCCTGCAGAATGGTATCAACTCTTCTTATTGAGGTCCACCGAATTTGACTGGAGCGCGCTCTTGCTTGGCAAGCGTTGCCTGTCTCCATGATCTCGCCGTGGTTCGTTAGGACTCAAGAACCAGAAATGGGGGGACGAATTGCCTTGCTGTGGCTGTACGCAAAATATTGACTTCCCTACAAACTCATCAAAGTTTGGCGTAGAGGTCACAAAGACTGCCACAGCCCTTGGCAGAAAACGTAGGTCCACATCACAGCGTTCCGGCGGTAAGATTGCGGGATTCCTATAAGACCTTTACCGTTTCTGGTGACACGTATCTAAGAGATTCGAGCTTCTGCAACTCACCTTGACAAGCGGGGGAGGTGAGCAGAGTCGTGTTGCCCCTCAGAGAGGCAATCTTTGCGTTGACTTGAGCCGTACATGTCGTGCAGTCGCTTGCTTGGAAGCACGATGCGCCTGTGATGCCTGAGACAAAATCGTGCAAAACGGTCACTTCCGGTTCCACTGCCACAATGGCCTTTCACTATTGCTATAAGCGGGCTTTATCTCGTAGCTGAACAGCCTTGGTCTCGGTTCTTGCACCGTTAGAGCAGATCCATGTCGCTCTCTGTTGTAACATCCACTGGACAAGAGATTCCTCAAAGTGTCTCTTCAGCTAAAGTCTATTCTTCAAGAGCTTTGCTGTGATGAGGTTGGATAAAGCAGCCTAGGCCTCTCAAGATGAGCAGGAGGCCAGGAAGAGACACAGGCTCAACAAGTTCTCTAAGCACCACAAGAAAGACAAGCTTCTTACAAGGAGACCTTTACTGTTCAAAGGTCCTTACCTGCGAAAGCAAGAAGCAAGCATCCTAGGGCTTCAATATCGAAATAGGCTTTCTGGTGATCACATTGCGGTGTGCTTGGCTCCATTAATATCAAAGTGGCCTGTAAAGTTGCTGCCACATTCCAGCAAAAGTTTCAACATCTGGATGCTTTAGCAAGCTCAACTACGACTCAACCATAGCTTCGAAGAACTTCACCAGTAGAACTGAGAATAGCTTAGGTATATGTGCTGAGATTGGCCGTGCGCTTGCCTGCTGGAGCATGCAATCCACATGCAGAATTGAGCTTTCGAAAGGTGCCACTTACGCAGAGCTTCTGCAGGCCTATATGTCTGCAAATTTCTCGACAGTTCCAAGCCGTTTCCTCATAAACCAAACAGAATCCTCTGTGCCTAGCTTGTTCCTGAAGCATCCATCAAGCAAAAGTCACATGTTGAGGCAGCACGCACCTGGGAAATAGTGGCTCGAAGCTTCCCAAAAGTCATAGACTGTCAAAAGTTCCGCTCCGCAGGGTGCTCCGTTCTCAATTGACAGGAGAGTGCTGTTAATACCACATGTGGCAAACAGCTGTTCAGCCCCTGGACCAAATGCCTCTGCGGCCGCCTGCAGCGGAAACGTGGGGCGAGCGTCAGCAAAGTCCTCAGCCACAACAGCTGTTCCCTTGGAGCGTTTCATTTAGCCAACATCCACCATGGTTTAGATTAATTTGAACATGAGCTGCAGCTTAGCGACCACAGAGGGATCAATTCCCGTGTTAAGAGGGAGTCTGTAAAGGAACCAAGATCTCTGGTGAATCTTAAGTGGCTCCAGAATTTGAGACTCAAACACAGTCTCTCGGTAGCAGGGGAAACACTTTAACTTGGATGTTGTCTCCTGTATGAAATACGCTGTATAAGCCAGCAGCACTGAGGATCAGTGAACTTTGCATCAAGGACGATGGCCAACTCATGCCTCCATGCGAAAAGTCTAATGACAAGTATTCCTGTCAGACGGAGCCAGCGCGCAGTTTTTTTAGCAAGACCAAAGATGCCTATGCTTTAATGCCGTTTTGTAAGGGCAGCCCCAGCAATAAACGCACCTTAATGCATGCATCAGCGGATGACTGCGGCAGCAGCAGGACTCCAGTCTCGTTAGCTAGCTGCACCCTGCTCTGAAAGAGGAGCCCGTCCAGAACATTGCAGCATGACGAGCTGAAGACAACGTTTTTAGCTTGGGCTTCTGCGAAGGGAGAAAAATCAGGGTCGGACTTCCACGGTGTTCCTTGGAGGAGCCCCGTTTGAGGTGCTTTTCTTGAGGACCGTGAACGCTTTGGTGCTTAGTCTCCTGGACCTTAAGCGCAGCAAGGCCAGACAGATGGTAACAGAACTCAAGAGATGAACTCGATTATGGCTATTTCACATCATTTTTACCAGAAAGGTATTATGGTTTGCTTGATGCAGATACAAGGAATGTTCTCACCAAGTTTTGAAGCGGAAAACAATCGCTCCTGAATACAGACTTCATGTGACGCTCCTTGTTGTACCATCTATCAGAAATGATCCAGACTTAAACTGAAAAGTCCAGGCAACCAACACTGAACCACTTCAGCCAGGGCGAGCCAACGCGAGTGCAAACAAGGTTCCGCGCGAAGTGATGTTGGTGAAGCTAGCTGAATAAGTGCAAAAGCTAAATTGAGGTGAGCACATCGGTCCTGAGCCACAAACAACCTTCTAGACGACCGAGTGGGAGAAGAGACCCAGATGGTCTCAAATGTATCATCCAGAGGTGCAGAATGGACGCATGTTTTGAATGAGAATGTGCATCGCAAGCAGTTTAATTCAGAAGCTTCATCGCACAACAGATCCTCAGAGAGAGCTTCCAAAAGCTTTCACTGCAGAGTCCGGTAAAAAGGCTTCAATTTTGACTCTCTGAATTTAATGACCGGTTTGCGTGGCCTCTTGTACTCTCTTCCCTTTAGATGACAAGCATTGCGTTAAGCCACTCGATTTTAACTCAGATAGATGATGTATCCGCCAAAATCTCGTTAAAAGAACGCGAGGCATTCTCACCTGTGGGGCAAAAACCCTGGGCGTACTTGACATTGACATCTTTGAAAACGTAAGGGCATTGACCTGGAGGTATGGCAGGGCCAGGACTAGGCCCCGTTACTACATAATCTGTGCTCACAAGCCCTACACCGAACACAAAAGATGCAAGCAGACAAAGGGCCTGCCTTGCACCCATTGTCAAGATCGTGGTGAAAGAGTGTAGCTGTTCTGCAGTGTCGTTCCTGTGTAGGCCATGTGCTTCTTCAATCAGAGAGCCAGCTTTTCATCATTCTCAACCGGCCTGACGCCTCTACTAAGGTAAGGCTGGGTGAGCGCTGGGGGAGCGCTGGGCATGCCGTCAGGAAGCCTGCAAACCAGGCGCCTTCAACTTGAGGGTCTGCTCGAGGAAAAAGGTGGTGAACCAATCTGCGCTGTAGTGCTGAACAACATGCATTAGACAACTTTGCAACGCCAAGCCTGCACTCAAGGACTCATCTTTTCCGAAATGATCCTCAACTCGCAGATTGTGGATCAGGATGGCCCCTCAGTGCAGAAATTTAAAATGATTCAAACATGTTCTTGAGATCCATCCTGCATAGCTACGTCTTGTCAGCTGGCGTCTCTCATTCCCCTCGTTTGAGGGAGCAAGAGGATCCCCTTGCCCATGCCCAGCGTGAAAGCCTGCGGTTTTGCCGTTCACGAGGTCGGAGCTGAGCAGCACAATGCACATGCATTGTAATACGCAGCGGGCATGCTAGCAGTCAGCCGCCAGGTGCATAATGCATATTGCAGAGTCTGTAAACCTGAGATTGAATCCTGAAGCTGCCAGAGCGGGGTCAAGGAGAATCAGCAATCTGGCGATCGCACGCGATCATCGGGGCCGGAGAAGGGCTGTTGGAAGTGCTGACGTGGCGGGGTTTAAAGGCGAACCTTGGGCTGGGCTTCTTTCGACCAATCATTGACCGAAAATCCAGGGTCAAAAAGTTAAAACCCCAAACCTCGCCACGTCAGCTCTTCCAACAGCATCTCCGGCGGCCCCGGCCGCGGTGGCCGGCCAAATTACTGATTTTGAAACGGGGGGAACGATAATTTCACGGCAGCTTTAACGACCGAGCATGAGACGTCGTCGCTAAAAATTACGGCCCGGGCCCGGGTGTATTCGGCAGCTGTACATATACCGCAGATTTTGCCAGGATGACGGTCGTATCCTCGTCCAGACATCACAGGCTCAGCCAACGATCACAGTCATAAGAAGCATGCCCCAGGCTTTTGCATATGGCAGCATCTGATGCAATCGACTTCGACTTCAATGTCCAATGGCACCGATCATGTGCATGATTTAGTGAGTTCGGTCAGCAGGACTGCAGCTAAGTAGACGGAGATTTAGGACTGAGACACGGCGGGCAATGATATGACGTTCGACAAGCTTCAAATGGCAAAAGCTAATGTTGCAACCGTTAGGAAAACGTGGTTACCACGCATCCGAAGCAATGATCCGTATTAGTATCCGGGGTTGTGCCCCAAAATCTGGTTTGCACCTATAGCTCAGAATAATTAGCGTTCGCTTGGTAAGCTTTGGATTAGCACGAAAATTGAAGAATCCACCCCTTAGCTAGGGCTAGGCTAATTATACTGCCGGCACTGAATTGAATCTTACTGGGGTCAATCCGTATTCTTAATGCATCGCACGCCGCGCCCTTGTGGTTGCTTGTGGCGCTCGCCGCTGTGTCATCAGGTCGCGAAATTTCGAACGCTGACTCCTAGCTCCAACTCTGGAAACAAATTACTACCATACAACGCATAATATATAGTATTCAACAGCGAAACCAAGTGTGCTAGCAAAACAAGACCGCGCTGCGACCTGCTTTGGCACTTTCTTCGTTCTTTGGAAGTCGTACCGAGTCTGTCATCGACACAAAATCCTGCTACGTCCCCGTGCCGGGCTCCAAGTCATCGGCTTCGATGCTCTCGGTCCGTGCGGCCAACTCAATCTTTGACAAGCTGCTCTGGTTGCTCAACATACTGTGCCCGCTAACCACGCTTTGGTTGCTCAGCACCCCCCGGGACAATCCCGACCACCCGGCGCTCCCGTCCGTGCTGTTCCAGTCACTGCTGGGGCCCGGTGTTGCTAACGAGGATGGCGTGAAAATCAGCCCCGGGCGGAGGGCTGGCACGGGGGCCGTACCGGTGAGCATGCGGATGCACTCGACCATGGTCGGCCGCAGGTTGACTGACGAGTGTATGCAAAGGAGCGCGATCTGCAGGAAAGAAGAGAAGAAAGCCGTGAGGACATGCAACCAACAAGTGTGCGATCTGGTTACCAACAGGAAGGAAAGCGGTCGGGGAACGTAGCGGTGGTCGATTGTTAGTGACGGCGAAGATATGATTGGGTCCGTTATAAGGGCGTTGGACTCCAAGTACAGACGTGGCTTGCGCGGCCTTCTGATGCCTCCTATGACCGCACGATCTGGCGGTTTGAAATTGCGGCGACAAGACGCAACAGCGTAGGTACTCTGGGTCGCCAAATGCGGATGCAACTGTGCGCTTCTTTTCAAGCGAGACCAGATAGTTCATATCAGAGGCCGGGCCAGATATAACACGAGCACGAGCACTCAAGTGCTTCTGCTTTCGATTGGACGCAAATACCAGGGTTTGAGCCCTTAGAAACAGCCCCATGGCGCACGACTAAAGCTCACCCTTGTGACGTTGTCGATGGCCGCGGCGTGTTCCTTCAGCGCTGACGTCAGCCTGACGTCTAGCAGCTCCTGGAGCGCGTCCGCTTCCGCCAGGGTCCAAGCCCACTCGATGAGGTAAACCTACAGCAAATCTAGGTCAGTCGACGGTCGCAGAAAAGACGTTTCAACAAGAGTGACGCCGTGCTGACGTCTTGGTGCGTTGAAGCTTGAAGGTAGTACTCTCGGGCCGGGACGGAAGTTGCAAAAGATTTGCCACCATTAATAACACTTGGATAGCAGCAGAATTGCGAATTGCAAACTCGATGGCCGAACTTGCGCTCTCCATGGCGTCAAGAAAGGGATGCCAGTCAGTCTGTCAAGCGGCGGCGTCAGTTGGCAAGTTCGTTTAGGGTCCCTTTTACCAAATCTGACTCGGAAGCTTCCGCAAGAGACGGACCGCAGAATATGAACCCAAGAACAGGCGAGTAGGCTTGCCAGGACTGAGATCCCGCAAGATCAGCAAGGGTAGGAAGAGTCCCACACATCCGCCCGGCAGGAGCTCAATCTACGAAGCCAACAGAAATCCAGGTAATGAAACATTCTACATAGAGCAAGCAAATCTGGCTCGGGGGGCACTCACCTTGTCCTGTACGTCAAGGGGCTCTATCGGCCGCCGTCCCGCAACCAACGTCAGCAGCACCACCCCGAAGCTGTACACGTCACTCTTGTCGGTCAGGCGGCCGGATGCCGCATACTCGGGCGCCATAAAGCCCCACGTGCCGGCGATGCCTGAAGGCAAAAAGTGAATGATTGTGCGAGCACCGCCTTTTGAAAACATGCGTGTCTTGAGAGAGCGGATTGCCCTGCTTGTTGAGAAGGCTCTCGGATTCAGAACTTTCAGGCTTTTACGGTTTCCCTTCAAGACTAGCAAACGACGAAAACAAGCGAGCGCCGAGGTTCATAAGAAGGTGCTAGCTGTCCTTAAACAGCCTCGCCCATAGCTCCGCGTTTTCGTCCGGGGATGGTCAGCTTAGCCGTGAGAAGTCTGCTTGCTTACTAAGCATTCCCCTTACGATGAAGACGAAGACGGAACAATGTCTGGAGACTCACTCGCGGTGAGGTGGGTGTCGCCGTCCGTGGTCAGCTTGGCCAGTCCAAAGTCGGCGACCTTGGCCTCAAAGTCGGAATCCAACAGGATGTTGCTCGGCTTGATGTCACGATGGAGGATGCGGGGGTTGCAGTCCTGCGCAGATTGTTCAGCAAGGGTTCAGATTCACAGCACGCTCTGGAATCGAAGCCGTGAAATAGGGCAACGGACATCAGATTAATAGAAGACCATCCGAGCCAATCCCGGGCTTTGACAGAACATACAGCTTGATGAGACAAGTCTTGGAACGACTCTTGAGTCGCGACAATCCGTTTATTGTTGTTGGTTCTTCTCAAGTCCATGAACCCCACCTCAAGGATCAAAGATGTTCTTTTCGGAGCTTTCAGGTTTTCAAAAGTTGATTTGAAACAAAGCAAAATGACGTGTTGAGAGCTTTTCACAGTCGTCCAAGCACAATTAGAATGGGCTCTACTTCCCACACACAGCTGACCTTACCTCATGAAGATAAGTCAACCCTTTGGCGGTCCCAAGTGCAATCTTCATTCTTGTCGGCCAGTCCAAGAAGCGGGTTTGACTTCCTTCTGGTACTACATGTGCTGGCCCTCCTTTTGGCGGATACAAATGGTCGTCTAAACTCCCGTTCGCCATAAACTCGTAGACCAAGATATCTGCGCAAAAATGGCGGGACTGAGCAACTTTGCATTCAAGATCAGCAGGACGACGAAAGTTGCTAGTTTGGTCATGCGTTCTCTCCCGTGCAGCGTGCGAAATCCAACGAAAAGGCCCGGACGGGATCAAAATTCAACTTTTAAATGGGCTAGGACCGCCTGTGCTCACGAAGCTGACCGCCGAATCTCTAATGAACTGCTTATCAATAGATTCTCTACGAGGCGCCCAGATGAGAGGCGCCAAGCGGTTGGTCTGCCTGCATTTTGCCTTCCGAACTTAGATCAGTCAGGCTGCAGGTACCTACAGGTACAACCTTACCGTGGCTGTACCCAGATTAGCGGTCTAGACACGGAACGGTCATTCTCCGGGACTCGAATTTCCCATCACGAATAGTTTTGAGCATCTATCTTAGGTCGAAGTAGAAGCATAAACAGTACCAGTCACCATGACCTCAGCAGTACGTCCCTAGAGCACAGGCAAGCAGGTAAGGTGGTGCCTGATCGTGCTGCTACTGATACGGAAAGAGTAGAAACACCTAGCACGACGTCGGAGCTGAAGCTTACAGTGTCGCGGCGAGTTGCAGCAGCCTTCGAGGCTGACCAGGTGACGATGACGGAGGCGCGCCATTGACAACACCTCGTTTTGGAACTCCTGCGGAAAACCATACCGTATCAGTTCGACGTCGATTTACGGCCAGATCAAGTTGAGTCACTGGCGACGGGTAAGATTGGTATAGGGGTGCAGGGTGGGTTAAGGTTTGCAAAGTACGTTGACTCTGGGGTTAGGGTCTCCGGAGTCTGAGCCCAACGTGATTACTGCAACTGAATGTAGGCCTGACTCAGCGCAAATTCGAGGTGCACACAAGAAAAGCAGAAGACTGGGCGGGGTCAGGCAGAGGTCAGGCAGAGGTTAGGCAGAGACTAGGCACATGTCAGGCACAGGTTAGGCACCGGTCAGGCACCGGTCAGGCCAGCTTTGCAGATTCGATTAGTGACTCCAAGGGCGAACGACATGACTCCCTAAATTGGGCACTGCGGGAGGCGGATGGGTTCCAATCAAGGAAAGACAGGAGATGGGCGGGTTAGGGACCGGTGGTTTGAGGCTGGGTGAATTTTTGGGGCCGGAAGAACTAGATCACTATAGAAGGACTTGTGAGACCGTTTGCAGACGAAAAGCGGCGGGGCGCAGACTCTTCGAACTTTAAAAACACGACTGGCTCTAAGCAACGGAGCGAGGCAATGAGCAAGAGGCTTCTGGTGATTGAGTGGCCTCGAGGCATGAATTTCCTTCACGCAGCCTGATGATTGAGTGGCCTCGAGGCATGGACTGAAAGTGGAAGGCTTCAAGAGCGAGCAGCATGTTTCCAAGACAAGTTTCGCTTACTCAATTCTAGACTCACGAACACCTTCAATCAGCCTCTAGAAGGTCCGGTTTCTTCTTGAAACTACTCGCAAAGTTGATCCTTTCGCTAAAGCATACACGCACGAGAGAACGAAGCTTTTCCGTCTTCAGCTCGTCAACTTCTCTGCAAAGGCTGCATAAAAAACTCCAGAACCGTCCTAGCCAGAAAACTAGACGCCTCACCTTGGACCCTCCTGCAGCTGGCTCCCTGCTGATAACTTTCACGGCGACCAGGTTGCCCCGGAGCTCCCCCATGAACACTTTTCCCGAGCCGCCCCGCCCCAGCAACCGGTCCTCACTAAAGTTTTTGGTCGCCCTTTTCAACGTGGAGAAACTGAAGCTTTCTAACATGAGCCCGGGCATCCCCGTCCATTGCCTCGAGCCCCTGCCAAGGCACTCATCCAACCCCTCCTTCAATGAGCGCCTTTTGCAGACCACAGCGGTTATAGCGACTAGGATGAGAAGCACGACGGTGCAAGCGGAGACGATGCCAGCTATTGCTGACATCGTCAGCGCGCGCGACTTCGAGGTCACGAAACCAAGCGCCAGAGGGGCCGGGTAGTTCACGAAGCAGTTCAGGCGGGCGGTGATCTCGCTCAGGGAGTCGTATCGCGCGAGGTACTGGCTCATCACCAGAAACCCGCACAGGTTCGTGACTTGGGGGTCGGACGAGTTTGCGAGGAAGGCGGACGCGCTGTCGAACTGCGTTTGGCAGATGCTGTTGGAGCAGTTGCCTTGATTGGGGTTGCAGGCATCCCCAGCGCCGTCGACGAGGAGATGATCAGGGATGCGAGCGTCGTAGTTGGAGTAGTTGTAGCACCCGACCGCAAAGAGCAAAGGGAACGGTCCCAGCTGGCATCGCTCCGCAACGCTCGTTGTGACGCCCGCCTTGACCAAGCGGGAGTTGAGGGCGGCGACACAAGCCTGGACCTGGTCCTGCAAGGTGTCGCCCTCTTCTTTGAGAAAGTTCACGTATGGCCGACTTTCATCGCGACCAGTCGCTGAGACAAACTGATTCGGTGTGGGTGCTTAGAGACCGTAATTTCAGTCACCCCGTTCAGAAGGGTTTCGCTTGAGAGAACAGGTTGCAAAAGGCATATGCAACCGTCACCAAATGAGACTGCGTTTCGTTTGGTATGAAAACCAGCTAAAGGTGTGCATACTTTTTCCGACATGTGTATCAGAATGGATATTGAACAGTCAAAAACAATCAAACGAGGGGGCACGTCCGCACTGACCGCACTATGCGAAACTGTGGAGAACGGTTCTCCAGCCAATACTTCGACGCAATCCTTGAGAAGCACGAAGCAGAACAGACCATGGATAACGTTTTCGAAAGGAGGTGAGGTGGGGTAAGCTTTTTACCCAAGAGCAGAAGTCCCCAGGCATGCAAGAGAAGGAACAGGAAGCTCAGCCGTACTTACCTGCGGTATGGAATGACCAGTCCGGTTGGCATAGATGCTGTGCGCCTGGCCGCCAATGCCGAGAATCAGATCGCAGCAGCGGTCACTGCGGATCTGCGCCGGCCCACAACTGAGGGCCGCCGACGAGAAGTCAATCTCGTCCCAGTCCAGGGACTCGCAAACCGGCGACTGGTCCAGCTTGAGAATCGGCACTTTGCGGACGCACCCCGAGATCCCGTTGGCGACCACGACGGGGTACGCAGCCGCCGTCATTGCGATCTGGCCGAGGGCTGCGAAGAAGAGTAGAAGTTTGAAAAGACAGAAGCGTCCGAAAAACGGCAGCCGCCGTCATTGCGATCTGGCCGAGGGCTGCGAAGAAGAGTAGAAGTTTGAAAAGACAGAAGCGTCCGAAAAACGGCTTAGTAGTGCCGGGTTAGCGGAGAACCGCGAAGGGCAACGAAGACAGTCTAAAAGCGGTTTGAGTAGGGAACAGGCGATAGGGATTATGTCCTTGATTGTACCCGAGATTAGGAGTCTCAGATGACTCGCACCGAGATGACTCGGCTCCAGTCGCACCAAGATGACTCCGCTCCAGAGAGCGACTAGAGCCGGGAATCTGCGGCACTTGTGCGCTTGCTTTCAACTTCAGCAAAGTCCAGCTTAGAAAGCATGCAAAGGAATCTTGACTGCCTCCCATAATGCCATGGTACATCGAACGTCATATGGGACAACTCCCAGTGAACCAGATTCGACGAGGTGCTGCTTCCACTAACCTTGACAAGCAGGGGACGACAGCAGAGTCGCGTTGCCCCTCAGAGAGGCGATCTTTCTGTTCACTTGGGTCATACACGCTGTGCAATCGCTTGCTTGGAAGCACGACGCTCCCACAATGCCTGGCAGAGAAACGCGCAAAGTACTGTTTTACTGCCACGAACCTCATCCTGCCTGACATTACAGACTCGTAGCCGCACAGGCTCTTGGAATCCTGTGAGTAAGTCCCTCAAGTTGGCCGCACCCTCAAATCAGGCTTATGTCATCAGACGGCGTCCTGTGTACAGAACAATTGCATCGTCTCGTGATTCTCTTTAAACTCTCTCTTACATTGATGGTATCAATGACAGGCTTTTGCTCGAATGAAAATGACCTGTATCCTGCTTCTCAAGCAAAGGAGTGCACCCTGAAATGTAACGCACTTTCATCAGAGCAGAAGAGTCAGGAAAAGACCCACACAAGAGGTCGCCGCAAGCGCCAGCAGAAAAGAGATATTCCATAACCGAAAAGCTGGTTCAAAAATTCTTTGTTCCTTTTTGAAGCAGGTCATTAACCATCTTACTGCGTCACATCGTTCAGGGTGTGCTTGGCTCCACTCGTGCCAAAGTCCTTGAAAGTTGCTGCCATTGTTTAGAGGGAAAGAAGAAGCAAAAAATGCCATGCCAGATCTGTAAGGGGTCAGCCATGCCTTTTGCTACAGTTACCTAGATAACATGAGTCTCACTTAGGTCTGAAGTTAGCATACCACTGAGACTGAAGTGCGCATGCACGCTCGAGCACGCGCGTCCTCGGGTTAGACCTTGAAAGGTGCCACTACGGCAGAGGTCTGGATTGCATGCCCGCACCCTTGGTTCATCCTCAAGAGTACTGGGATTCTTTGTGTCTAGCGTGGTCTTGCTGTTTTATCTAATAGCAAGCATGAAGTATCAGAGAGCACGCACCTGGAAAGCTGTGACCTGACGCCTCCCAGAAGTCATACACTGTCAACAGTTCTGTCCCGCAGGGTGCACCGCTCTCTATGGAGAGAAGCGTGCTGTTTATCCCGCATGTGGCAAACAGCTGCTCAGCACCTGGAGCGAATGCCTGTGCAGCTGCCTGCAAGGCAAAGGTGGGGCCAGATTTAGTACAGTCCTCACCCATACCGTTTTGTGAAGCTGTTTGGCTAACATGGGCAGATAGGTTCGCGACCCAGAAACTTGATCCGAGAATAATACTCCTGAAAAGGAAGAAGTCTAGGAAGCTAAGGATACCAGAGAGGTGATAGCCTGTATCAATCTATACTCAAAACTTGTGACGAAGGCGTTTTACTGGCGAGCAAACAGATCAAGTTGGATCTGCCTCGACGGTGGTCATTACAGGCTCTCATAGGAGAAGATTTGGATGCGTAGTCGTATCAGAAGTAGCAAAACCGCAGTCATGGTCTCTTCTTTCAGTTTAAGCATGCACAAACCGTTGCGAGGGCAGTCCCATGAGCAACGCACCTTGATGCATGCATCAGCGGATGACTGCGGCAGCAACAGGACTCCAGTCTCATTGGCTAGCTGCACCCTGCTCTGAAAGATGAGCCCCTCCAGGGCATTGCAGCATGACGTGCTGAAGACAGGGTTCTTAGCTTGGAAATCTGCAAAGGGAGAAACATCGTCTCTGAACCTGCATGTCGTGTGAAGGGGCCTCTTTTGAGTTCTTCATAGAAGCATTTCATGTGCTTTCATCGCCGGACCAGTGTTTGCTTCCCTGGAGCTCTAAGAGCAGCAAAGCCAGAGAACAGAATGATACTGAACCTCAACAAAAGCTCGAGATTTCACCTTATCATCGCTAAGATACACCAAACATTTACCTCAATGGGTACAAAAAGTTGATTGATGCAGATTCAAGGCGAAACCTGACAAGCGCTCTCACCCCACATGTTACTTTGAGGCAGCAGGCATTGGCTTCTAACACCACGTTCAATGTGACAGTTCCTATTGCACAGTGTATCAGCGACACATGTGGCAACTTACATCCAGATAAAGCCAATTTAGCCAGGGCGATCTTGTGAGAGTGCAAACAAGATCCTGCCTAAAGTTACCAATGGTGAAGTAGCTGAAAAGGTGCAAAAAGCCACCCTGACGGTAGCAAAGCGGTCTCAAGTCATGAAGATTTCTCCCTAGATGTCTGCTTGTTTGAAGACGTCCTGACATATCTCACCAAGAGGTGCAAAGCGACCTCAACTTATACATATGCCATGACTGAGAAAGCTCATTGCAATCAGGGAGGTGGAGGAGTCTCAGGAGCCGAGAGATCCTCAGAGACGGCTTCGAAACAGCTTTAACCGCAGAGAATCAGACACAGAAGGCCCATTCAAATTTTGACTCATGATCAGCTGGTCGACTTGCATGGCCTCCTGTGAACCTTTCCGTTTGGATGGATAATCAAGGCTCCAGGCAGGGATTGCATTTAGCCATCCGACTGCAAACCAGATCGTATCAGCTAAATCTCATTGGTAGGACACAAGGCATTCTCACCTGTGGGGCAGAAGCCCTGGGCGTACTTGATGTTGACATCTTTGAATACGTACGGGCATTGACCTGGAGGTATGGGGGGGGCGAGACTGGGCCCCGTGACTACATAATCTGTGCTCACACGCCCTACACTGAGCACAAAAGCTGCAAGCAGACAAAGGGCCTGCATTGCCCCCATTGTCAAGAATGTGGTGAAGCAGTAAAGCTGTCCTGCAGCATCTTTCCAGTGCAGGCCATGTGCTTCATCAATCAGAGAGCCAGCTTTTGTCTTTCTCAACCGGCCTCATGCCTCTCCTAACGCTGGGGGAGCGCTGGGGCATGAAGCGTGCAGACCAGGCGCCTTCAACTTGAGGGTCTGCTCAAAGAAACAGGTGGTGGAGCAATCTGCGCTGTGGTGCTGAAGAACAATGCATTTTACCACTTTGCAAGGCCAAGCCTGCACTCAAGGACTCATCTGTTCTGCAAAGATCCTCAACCTGCAGAACTTCTATCAGGATCGCCCCTCATTGCAGGAAATGATTCAGACATGTTCTTGAAATCCATTCTGCATAGCGAAGTATTGTCAGCTGGCGTCTCCTATTCCCTTCGTTTGAGGGAGCGAGAGGATCCCCTTGCCCATGTCCAACGTGAATGCTGCTGTCATTGCTGCGGTCTGCCCTGGAAACGCGAAACTCGTCGAGCCTGCCAATGGGCACATCCAGAGAATGAATCCTGAGACCTGAAGGCTGAAGCGTGTTGCTGAACTGGCACCAGCAGCCAGCTGGAAAGTTCGTTCGAACGATCAGTCCGCAATGCGCATCTAGGTATTTGACACAAGGGCCACAATCCGCTGAACAGATACATACATACATACCGTACCTGGTAAGTTTCAGTGTCAAATACCATCTACCACAGGCCACGAGGGACCTAGCCGAGCTGCCCCGGGGGGAGCGCTCACTGAGCAATTTCGAGCGACCTAGGTACCTATTGTGGGGAGTCGTGACTCGTGACTTCCTGACGGACGTCGCTGGCCCAACTAACCAACTGTTGAACAGCATAAAATCCAGCCGCTCTCCTGCCGCCACGTGCCCCCCCTTTCCGCTTGGAAGGCTTCGCCTCCGCAACCTGGTCGCCCCAGGCTCGCCGGCCCCGGGGCCCGGGGGGGGTTGCCCTGAACCGTAAAAACGCGTCCGAAACGAAAAAGAAGCGAATTTTGCCTAAAGGGGAGACAGGTAGCGCTTTTTTGGTTTGTCTATCTTATGAAGTTTCCTAAAACCCTAAACCATCGGGCCTCAGCTTCTGCGTGATCGAAGTCGAGTGCCACGCCTGAGTGGCAGTGTGGAATGGCTTTGGCGCCGCATTCACTGGTCTCTGCGGAACGTCACTAGTGAGGTTAATGGCGTCTGCCGCAGTGCTCTTTCAAGTGGCTGGGGCGAGAACAATATGTTTGCGCAGGCAGGCAGACATTGCCCCTGCGGCGAACCAGCTGTTCCCTTTGAGGACACTTCCTCACCCTCTGTTTGAAGGATCGAGGCTGGGCAGGTCCCATTCCGAGGACAGGGTGGGCTCAGGACTGAGGCGCTTCTTCCCGAGGGCGAAGATTCCCCAGGGGCAAGCAGAGTCTACCGGAAGTTCCAACGGATTTGATAGTGTGCCTCAGGCTGAACAGGTCAAGGACGAGGCACAGGCCCTCAAGTCGAGTATCCAGCGTGCGGAGAACAGGATTGAGCGCTTGGAGAACCAGATCGACACTGCTGCGGCTGCAGGCAAGAGAACGGAGTTGTTGGAGCAAAGACTGGTGGCGTTGGAGCAGAGACTGGCCGCGCTGCGGCAGAAGGAGGCCGCGCTGGAGCAGCGACTGACCGCGCTTGCGCAGGCGGAGGTGGAGAAACTGAAGCTGCAACAGACACCAGGTACGTTTCCCGTCGTCTGACGCGTGGAGAGCGGTCTCCTTGGAGCGCCCAGCAAACCAGCGCACAGATGGGGAAAGACCATGATCGGCGTTCTGCTGCCAATGTTTTGCTGCAGGCAATTCCCCTGCTGCTTGTCGATGTGTTTCAAAGAGAGTGGTAGGGCACACCGCATTGAGGGTTTTCTATCTGTCTTTGCCTGCAGTTCAGGTGTTCAGGTGCCTGCTCAATGAGCCATGGCAATCTTCCTCGATGGTTGCTGCTTTAGAAGGATTTTTGTGTTTAAGTCTGCCTGAGGTTGGTATGTTGCTCAGTGGGTCATGGCAACCTGCAGGCGGAAAGGTTTTGCGGTGCAGAGAAACTACTTTCAATCCCATCGCCTGCTTAGCATTTGCAGTTGGCTTATCCAGTGACTGCGTGTGGAGTGCTGACAGATAGCTTCTGTCGCGTGCAGCGGCGGGGGTTCCAGACCCTGCAGTCTTGGGTAAGTCTTCGTACCTGTCTCCACCTGTTGGCGTGGTGTGCTGAAAGCACTTGAGCGCACCTGTGAGCATAGTCGTCTGCTTGATCGCTGTTTCAGGTGCTGTTTGACTGGTGTAGAGTTTCTGCATTTGCACAATCTAGGTTCTGCCACTGGGTAGTGCCCACCACAAAGTCTGCTGTGTGGGAGGCCGGTGTGGCGTTTCTTGCATCCGCACGAGAGTGTCTGATCTGCCGGTGGTCAGCCCCTACCACACTTATGTCTTGCTTTTTGTTTCAGAGAGGCTCCAGAAGTACGCTGAGTTCATTGCGCAAACGGACACTGCCAGTGGAATCATCCAGATTCCGCCCGAGCTTCGGGAGGGACTGCCGCCAGGCCTGAGGGATAGCATTCTAATTCGGGAGTGCTACTGCATGGTGCTGAAGAAGCTCGAGGCTCTTGGGGACGACTTTGCGGTTGTCCTGAGTGGCACCCCGGGCATCGGAAAGTCTGCCATTGCTGTCCTCCTACTGCACCACCTGGCAGAGCAGGGGGCACAGGTGGCCTACAGGTACACTTACACCTCTCTTGGCTGGCCAAATCTGTAACTGCGTGCTCTAACTTGTGTCGCTGAGCACGTTGCTTCTAACAAGGCCTTCCTCAACAAGAGAGATGCTTCCTTGTTCTGTGCCAACCCTATGTGCCAACTTTATCAATCTGCCTCACAGGTACATGGACACCATCAACAAGGACACCATAATCTTCTTCGATTTCTCCAATCCGTCTGCGATCGACGTCAAACAGGCCTCGGAAGGCGATGCTGACTGGCGATCCCTTCGAGGTAAGCAAACAGGTGTCATGATATTGCAACTGTGAAACCCTTGTTTGGCATCCAAGTGTAATTGGCTTCTGGCTTCAGATCATTGTAAAGGGCTCATGTTGGTTGATGCTCGATGGGAACACACTTCGCTTTTGAAACCAGGTGACCGTGTAATCACCTAAAAAAACGCACTCTCTCTGGGTCTTGGCTATTGACGAAGTGGTGTGTGACCGGGCTCTGCTCGCGTTCACCAGCACTGATTAGCCAGAGATAGCAATGATTGTCCTCTCTGGCTACAGCTCTCTGCAAGCGCTCTTCTGTCTGGCTAGTACAAGATGGACGAGCTCCCCGTGAAACGCAGTTCCCTGGTTACGGTCGCTGGGTGGTGCTGTGCTCGCCCAATTCTGACAATTACATGGAGTTCGTCAAGGGGAAGTAAGTGTTTGGACCAATGTCAACAGACGCTCCAAAGTAACTTCTTCATGGTTGGCGTGATCTTGGACCTCAAGTTGGCCAAGGCCCTTGGTTCTTGCATGAGCTCGCATTGCGCAAATCGAAGTTTGCTTGCTGCTCGTTCCTTCATCTTATGCTGTTCTGTTATGGGTCGATTGAATTCTGGCTGTATGTCTCTGACGTTGCAGTTTTGGCAGGGTGTCCCTGAATCCTCTCAGGTTTCTGATTACTTAGCCTTTCGCTGTCCTACAACTGCGTCTTCCTCATCAAGTCATTGGGCATAAACAGACTTCACCCCGTCTGACCCCTCGCTCTTGCCACAGCAGGCACTTTGCTTCTGTGACCTGCTCATAATCTGGCCTAATGTCGCAGGCATGCTGAAGTCTGGTGGCTCCCTGTGTGGACGCTAGATGAGTTGCTGGACTGCCGGCAGCGCTTCTACCCTCACGTGTCGCAAAAGCAGACGGAGGATCGCTTCGAGCAGTTTGGCGGGGTCGTCAGGAGCGTCTTGGCGGACCCCGGCCGATCCTTTGAGCGTCTTGCGAGGTCGCTCTCAGCTTTGGAGGCGGTGGACCTGTATCGCCTTGGCGCAGCAGCTTTAAAAAGCGCCATACGGCATGCATTTGCGCACATTGAAGTGAGTCAGCTTGAGGCAAAGGAGGCTCGACTGATAGCCGACCATTCAGAATTCGGCTCGGTCTTCGTAGTGCTCGTGCCTTTACCTTGGATGGCATGCATATTTGCAGTGCGAAGGCAGGTGGCGCTGTGCCTGGCTCTCATAGGTCTCTGGCATGTATACGACGGCATCCACGCACTTACAGAGGGACAATCAACGCTGACTTCCGTTCCAATCTGTCTATGTAGGCTACGCAAGATCTGGAGTTTGATGGGTTCCGCCTCGGTTCGCCGCGCATCGGGGACCTCGTCTTTCAAAGAGCCAAGGAGGGCCGATGGCAGGACCTAGTGGACCTGCTGCACGCGGCTGCCAGCAACCCTAGGGTCGGCGAAATGTCAGGGTCCTCGTTGGAGGCGTATGGGCATGTGAGGTGCGTCCTGGGCGCAGACCTGGACGACGACGACATCAAGGAGGTGTTCCGAAAGCGGCGCGGCCGGCCTCGGAAGCAGGAGGGAGCGAAGGAGGGAAGGAGGGAGGGCGGGGACGTGTCCGAGAGTGACCCGGGTCAGTCGGGAAAGCGGGAGGAAGCGGTTGAAGAGATCAAGGAGGCGTTCCGGAGCTGCAAGGATTTTGTGTCCGACAGCAAGGAGGAGGGGATCAATCCGGCGAATCTGAAACACACGTACGTCCGGCCAACCACAAGAGATCAAGAATCGTGGGATGGGCTACTCTGCCCAGGTGGCAATTGGATATATGCTGTCCAGTTCACGCGCAACCCCGGGCATGGGATCAGCGCGCAAGGAATGCTGGACCTTCTGAAACGGATCGGTAGAAAGCGGCTTCGAGTGGTCCTTGCGGTTCCAGGAGAGAAGTTTGACAACTATGGTTGGCAGCCATGGACCGGTCCAAAAAGGAAAGGGGGGGATGGGGAGACGGTCATGACAAAAGGCGCTCTCCCGGAGAACGAGATTCCTCCCGAGCTGAAGAGCATCAAGCAATGGGTGGTTCGCCTGAAGCTGCCTGATGCAGGGGACGAGGTTCCGCGCATCCCCGAGAAAATGTTAGTGTTGCCTAACAAAGAGCTGTCCGATGATGATTTGCCTGACGACGTGTCTAGATAGAAGTGGATCGTGCAATGTGTCCAGATAGAAGTAGATCGTGCAAGAGACGTGGCAGAATGCTAGTCGGCTGTGGAGGACCAAAGCCTCAGCAAGAGCTCAAGCTTGTAGCTGAGCTTTATTCCTCCGTTGCTCTTTCAACAACATTAACGTCTCTAAAAATCGGCCGTGCTGAATCAAAGAGAACCACGTCTCTAGTGTATGGATGTCTTGGTGGTACATAATGCCCGAGTGCTTGAGTGAAACCTGGAATTCGCAGGACACAAGCGTGTGCTTTCCCATACAACTTTCCGCAATCACGCTTTTAAGCGGGATATCAAATGTTCCAAGTGAATGCAATTGTATTGTATGGATCTGTTTGAATACCTACGAGCGCGAGAAGCCTATCGACCTCACATTGTAGGCGGACCTTCAGTCGATGCTGCTATCGTTTGCTTCCCTCGTAAACTTAGGACATCAATGTGTAATCAACGTCAACTCAAAGGTCTGAAAACGACCATGCAATTCTGTTGCTGCTGGCCTGCATGAGTGGCTGCTTCAACATCTCCTTCTCTGTTATAAAGGGTAGGCTTTGAACATGTCCGAACGCTTGGAATGCACGCGCAAAGTCTGGGCAACACTCCTGCATCATGGCCGTCAACTTCCACCACAATCCATCTCAATATAACATGCAAGCGTAGTCCGGCGATGCCAGAACATCAGCATCCATCATTCTCCCCTCCGTCTCTCAGTCTCTCATCGGAAAGATGCTTCTTGCCTTCCGGCGGATGCTGAACACCTGATTCTCGGAGGATGAAAGTACAGCGCATCTCGGATGTCATCGTGCGTCAGCGTGCGCACTTTACACCTCGAGAACCCAACTAAATATACCATCAGCACAAAAACGGCCAGCCACAGAGCGCCACGTGTCCCCCCCTTTCGGCGAGGCTCGCTGCCAAGGTCGCCCCGAGAGCCACAGGTCGATTGCTAGTTAGTACTGCAGGTCTACAAAACCCGGCGTCCGCTAACCTGATCGCAGTTATCAAATCAGTTTTTGCCGTCCGAACAAGAAGTGCCGTCCGATCGCGAGCAGCGCGCGCATGTTTCACTGAGTCGCGCGCGGCGCGATCGGACTTGTCACTTTTGCAGGCTATGGTCCGGTCACTGACTGGCTTGGCCCCCCGATCGTGCCACGTGGAAAACGAAAAGGATACGTCACCGTCGATAAAGCTTTAGGAAGTTGCTGAATATGAAAAAGGCGGGCCCGACCCGGCATGCAGTCTAGCTCAGCAGGGACTGTGCAGGTTTTGGAAGCTTCCGTCTGAGTCAGCACTGATTCGGAAGCTTAGAAGCTTCTCAGAGCATATCCTTCTGTGATTCAGCATTTCAGAAGCTTTTAGGAAAAAAAAGACACCCACATGAGAACGTTCAGAGCAATGGAAGTTTCCGACTGACCTCTCATTACCTTCATTTAGAGTTTCGTCGTCTCCAGACTGAGTCTCTTTGATATGACAGCACGTTTTCTGATGCGCATCTCAGCTTTGACTTCAAGAAGACCCAGCGCTTTCCAGTCTCTGTAAGCACACAGTCTGCGTGTGATCGGCGCAGCTGGAGACAGGCTGGCGACCTGAGCGGAAGCTGCCATCTTGGGCTGCGCGTGGCGTGACTCCCTTCTTTCCATCAAGCTGATTGGCAGCAAGGCCCAGGATGCCAGGAGCCCTGCCATAGCCTCAGGCCGCCTGCGCCTAGGTTGGGAACCCAGGTGAGTGCGTCCCTTGCAGAGTCGTCTTTGGACTGTCAATTGATCATGAAGAGCTCGAGCTGGCTGCAGACTCAATACAGGCGGAGTCCAAGTTGTTGTCGGGTCTGTCAACCCTGATCACCAGAGTCATCTTGAGCCTTAGCAAGCATGCATGAGTTCAAGCTTGGACTCTCCTTCGAAGCTGGTATGCAACAGGGTTGCTATAGCAAATTTGTGCTGAAAGCCCGCTGACAGTTGTTGGATGCTCGCATCCCTAGGATGCATGCAGCATGTGATTACTTAGTGACAGCAAAACATGGAGAGCCGTGCACATCATCGCTGATCTGTTGCACTTTCAGCACGGAAGGCTTCTCTTAGAGCCCCCCCTAGAGCTTTCGTGGTCTCGCGGAAAGTTACGCAGAAAGGGTACTGGTGTCTGCCTGTTTGCTGTCATGTAATGCCAGAACTCTTTGCGACCAGGCGATCTGATCAGAAAGTGAAAGAAGTTCAAAAAGTTTCTTGGAGTTGGAGGCTGTATTCAGGTATTCTTAGAGTTAAGTAAGCTTCAATGTAAGTCGTTTCACTTTTTAAGCTTTAGCTATTCTTAGAGTCAAGTAAGCTTCAATGTAAGTCGTTTCACTTTTTAAGCTTTAGGTATTCTTAGAGTTAAGTAAGCTTCAATGTAAGTCGTTTCACTTTTTAAGCTTCCTCTACTAGCGTAAGTACTAAGCAGCCTGGTCGCAAATAGCTGTACTCAGCCTGACGTTTGTCAACAAACTTTGTTGACTTCAAACCTTTTCCGTCCCGCGGATGTCGCAGAGGAGGAGTTCAGAAAGCATCTGGACAATGCTGGAGACAAGTTGGTAAGCTAATCGCCCATCATGACAATCCTATTGGATCAATCACAGTCTGCAAAGTCCGACTGTGTGGGTCGGCCTGTTGAAGACATCCCATATACGAGACGGCTCACTGAATGCTAGACGGCAAGTATAGTCGACTTGTTGCCTGTATTCTTGACATAAAAGTCTATCGATCTTGCAAACGTTTGCTCTCGAGTATTTGGGCAGCCTGCTTCATGCTTGATATCCACATGTTTGAACTTTCTTCTTTGCTATTATATCTGGCTGGAAGGATTAAATCAAGCAGTTTGCTTCACATAAGACCAGAACTTGTCATCAATGGGGCTTTCGAAATTATATGTGCAGATTCTGCCCGCATACAAGGAGAAGGGTTATCAGAGGGTTCTCGACAACAAGGACGGGTCTTGTGAGTTGCTCAGACACTCTTCAAGTTTCTGCCAGCTTAGGGCTTGAGTTTGGCCCGTAAGGATTGTCAACCTGCCCAAGCTAGCTTCCTCTACCTTACGAGTTGCTGACGTCATTGGCACCACTGTGCACCACTGCACCCGATCAGGTGGAGTGTGTTCAAATACATAGTCCTCCATGCAGATTCTCTGTCCATGATGCTGTCCAAGGTGTCCAAGCTGTGGCCTAACTTTTCCCAATCACTTGTGTACCTGATGTCATCAACTCCGTGTCCTAGACTTGAGTGGTGCCTGTCAGAAAGACTCAGAGTCCGTCAGAGTCGGACTGAACTCAAGGGGAGGACATTGAAGGCATTTAGGGCATTGATTCCGCTGCTCACTTCGTTGAGAGGTCTAAGTCTGGACGGTCATCACAAAGTCTTTTTGAAGAGCAACGCCTCGAACACTCGTGTGCAGCAAACTGGTCAGGTCATGGTTCTCACTTTCACCGTCGTCTCTTTCAGATGGAAGGCCCGTCGGATGAGATTGCAAGGCAAACTCTCTACAAGGGTCCATTTGAAGAATTCCAGAGACGCTTGCGAGCCGGAACAGAGCAGTGGAACAGCCAGGTGGGGTTGTTTGAATTCACACCTGAACACAAGCCAAAGAGTGATTACCTGATTCTACTTGCTGGGAGCTGTCTCAAGGACTTTGTGACATGGTCTTCCTTCCATAAGATGGTAGTCTAAATAGAGTCATGAATCTTCAAGAGGGCAACACTCACGCAAGTTGCATACCCTCACACAAGTTGCTTGATATGCAGGCGCAGGATGGCGGCGCACCCTCCATAAGAAGCAGCGGAAGCAGGAAGCAGGAAGCAGCGGAAGCAGCAGGCCAGAACCGGGGCCGGAAGCGCAAGCTTAGTGGCGAGTCAGCAGTCGAAGAAGGGGCAACAAGCGAGCAGACAGCAATTAATCTTTGCGTAGCAGCCACGGCTATCAACATCAAAACGGCTGAGACGGAGGGTGCTATCGTAAGTTCTGGCGGCGTTACGCAAGATGCGCATATGCATGCCGAACTTTGAATCCGGCAAGTTGTGAATGAAAACAGCGTAGCACATGTGACAATTGACTTTTAATAAACGCCGCGTGCCATGCTTCACAGTACGGAGTTCTTGAAAATTCGCAAGTACGCTTCTAGCAGGTGTGCAGTCCCTTATAGAGCTGGCGCGACGTGGTGGTTGGAAGAGATGGTGACTATGAGTACCCTTGGCTGCAACTCTGCCGTGATCTTACAAGCACTTGGCTACGCTCTCGTAACTTCGATGCTGAAGAGGAGCGCAGCAGTTCCTGCAACAAGTCCTCGGATCTCCACAGTAACGATTTTCAATCTGCTACCTCCAACGCCGAAGCCGAACAACTCTGGAAACCAGGCACTATCGTCGAATGGTGATGATTGCCAAGGCGCTGGCGAGGAGACTTTCGAGTCGGGCGAAGAGGAGACCACATTGGACCGGGAGATGCTGGAGGATTGTCCTCAACAGGTCGAATCTGTGCACGATCCTGGTCCTGCGAATCAAGAAAGAGAGATCGATGCGGGCGACAAGGTGAGCTTTTCATGGACAAGACAGAGAGAGGACGGAATAGACGGCCTGGACACCATGTTGAGTACCTGATGGTTGTCAAATCCCGCCGTGGACGGGAGGCACGCTGTCATCTTGAGGAACTCTCATCTACGGATTTATCTTCATGGACGGCTTGGACGGCTTGGACGGCGCGGACGGCACCTCGGCAACAGATCACAATCTCGAATTCCGGATTGGACAGGAGTGCTGTCCATGTAGAGGAACTCTCATCTACGAATACGTCTTCGTGGACGGCGTGGACGGCTCGGACAGCACTTTGGCACTAACTCACAATCTCGATTCCCGTCTTGGACGGGAGTGCTGTCCATCTAGAGGGGAACTAATTCACGAAGCTGCCTTGATGGACGGCGTGGACGGCTCGGACAGCACTTTAAAAGCAGCCCGCAATCTCGGCTCCGATGTGAACAAGACCAGAAACACCCAACGAGGCTGCCTCCAGAACACCGTTATCGACTGAATGCAGGGGCCGGACGGTTCTGACTCAACTTCATCAGATGGCGGTGACGATTGCGAAGGTGCTGACGACGAGTCTTCTGAATTGGACGACGAGGAGACTCCGTTTGACAAAGAGATGCTGGACGACCGTTCACAGCCGATTGATTCAGCACACGACCATCGTCTTGCGGACCAAGAAAGAGAGATGGGAGCAAGTACAATGGTGAGCCAGAACCTACTCGAGTGTAGCTCAATCAGCGTCTCTATTCTGAATCTGATCGCGAACGGAACTGCTGTCCATCTAGCGGGACTCTCAATTACGGATCGCGCTTCATGGACACCTTAGACAGCTTGGACATCACTTTTGGAACCAGTAGCTCAGTTGGAATCTGACGCTTTTTCACTATTAATCACAATCAGCGACGTTGGTATAAAACCTGTGGCAATCTTTGCCAACCTGGCAAGCTCCGGCCTTTTCAAGCTCAGCCGCAAGCTCTTTAATGACGTGTGCAATCAATGATCAATGATGATGACGTGCGCTCATTTCGTAGTAACTTGCTGACCTCGTCATCCTAAGTGCCCCGTCACAACGCAGGTAGAGCCCTTCATTCAAAAAACACCATCTGAAGCCCTTCGATAGGACCCTTCGCAGCGAACCAATTCTACAAGGAACTGAAAGGCCATGTGACCTTAATTCCGATCGACCTCGTCCAAATAGTCCACTCTATCAGAAGGCGTGTCGGAGCCCAGGAGCATCATTTGCAAGCATGTGACGCTCCATTTTTCAAGCTTCTGCCACTCGACCTTCTGAAGCAAACGTTCTGCTCTTTTATTGTCGGCCTCAACCTGCTGCTGAAATACTCCGACGGACAGGATTGCCGTCCATCTAGAGAAAGTCTCATTCACGAACTCGTCTTCATGGACGGCTTGGACGGCTGGGACAGCACTTTGGAAATTGCTCACGTTTGATGTGGCTTCGCCGCTGTTGATCTTGG